TGTAAGTCCAAAAACGAAAGAACCGTGTTTTCTCTCACATAGCTAACTGTCACTAGCTATTGGAATAAAAACGGCGGAGAGAAGCGCCTGTCTCTTTGGGTACCTCTATTTGAGATATTTCTTCTGCTGTGCATGCTCCATGCTCAAGCAAACTGTCAAACGCATGTAGGTTTACAATGATTTCCCAATTTTCTTCGCAAGTTTTCCGTAAGAACCTTCTATACAGTATTGGGAAACTTTTAAAAAAAATATGAATGAAATCGGTAAAGTCTTTCTCAAGTTATGGCGTGACCACGGGAACTAGGGATTCATTTTTATATGTATAGATTATATTGGACCTGAAAACCTGGTAGATAAAACAAATTAGGAGGTATAAATGAAAATGTACGTATCGCGCTTCGCCTGTAAGTTAAAAGAAACAGGATGATTTAAGCATAATTTGGGAATAACTTACCGGAAACCAGTGAAGCATTGGCAACTGGCAATCTTTCAGAAGCCAGCCTCCGAAAGGAATAGAAGCACTTGGCCTGCAATAATGAAAAATGTGTCAAACTAAACTCCTATTATTATAGAATTGTTTTTTGATACTTACACTGTCATATTTACAACACACTTTGAATTTAATAGAATAAAATACCGGCAAACCGACGTTTTGAAATAAACGCTATCACTACTGTCAAAATTGCTAATACCACCTACCTATTACCTGTCAAATTCAATGCTTCGCTGTCATTGGTCAAGATTAACTACTGCCGAAATTAATTAATTAAATCGTGTATCAGATTTAAAAACATGAGGTTCAGAATTCACGTTCTCTTCAAACGTGACGTTTTTCATAATTACGATGATTTTTTTACAAATATCGGTGAATATTTTAAGGAAAAATATTTTACGATGAGTTCATCTCATTGGTCGGAGTCTGACCAATTGAAAATCTTTGCGGAATGTCCTTATAGAAAAAATGTATACTTACTGACTGAAAATCCAAATCGTCATGTACAAACAAGACCGAATTCTTCAATTTTTGAACGAAAAACTCTCGATCTGCATGATTCATGAGTCACATAGATATAAATCTTTGATCAACTGATTACAAGAATACGCATCATCAACACATTGAAAGAGACAATGGATGAATCTTGAAAAACACCTATAATACCAAATTTATGAAATATCCAATATTATAATAACAATACAAAAAATCAACATTCAATGATTTCAAGTTGCTACTGACATCTAGCGGTTGCGTTGAATCATTAACTTATTGATGAATTCCTCTGAAAGTATTTGACGCGCCATCTATGGCAGTATATTTTAACATAACATGTCTTCTTCATGGGTTTCTATACTCTGAAATCGGAAATACCCTGTGCTACTAACAGATGGCGCAGAGAACTTCTTTTCCGAATTGTAGTTTATTTCCATTTTTTTTCTAATTAGATACTTTATGAAACATTGTATTTTCAATCTCACTCGTCTCAATTTCGGCTACGTTTTTCTATGATTGTGAGAATTTTACTATGGACATACACCAAGTACCTAGGTACTGCCTAATTTTTCACCGTGTGGTAGGTACCTAAATTTTTCGCGGGTTAGGTGTAGGCGCTAGTCAACCTACTTGGAGCGTAAGTGGAACCTCAAAAAAAGTGTTAGAGCGTCAGTATTCAATTTGATCAAGTCCTCAACATTTAACATTTCATCGAATCGTTTTTAGTAGTACTCTTGACATTAAGGTTATCAACGACAATGAAAAAAGCGTTGTTGCGTTAGAATTTTTTCCTAGGAATCATTACAAATCCCTGACCATGACCGATTTTACCCACACAAGACGAAAACTTTGCTACGTTTTTCGTCGATCTCTATGGAACGGATTGTAAGACGATTTCCTGAGGGTGAGTTTGGTTGGCCAAAACGGGTTTTACCAGCTCACGCATACCCCACAGGAAGATAAAGATGCAAATGCAGCGAATTGCAGATGCAGATGTGTGTAGTTAAGCATGGAAAATTAAAAAATCACCTGTGGCTCTGCAAGTTGTAGCGCAAGCGCCCCAGTGGTCATCTCGTTCTAAGGAATATGCGACGCTGCCAGGTCGAACATAAAGAATTTAGATCCTCGACTGTTTCTGTTCATCTGGTGCGAAAATGAGTTAGGACCATACTAAAAAAGTGGCGTCGAGTAGGATGACACTTCCGACACAATGCAGTGACCAGGTTTAAAACACAAGTTAATTCCTCTCAGAATAAAGATAGCTATAAACATTTATAATTGTGAAATTATTGAATGGATCAGATCAGTCAAATAGTCCAAAGTTTCGACCCAGCTTGGAAAAGGTTTCTGCTATATTCGTTATTCACAACGCGAGTATTGAAAATATTTCTATCATTTTAAACCTTAAGGGCAAATACACGTAGAAATATATGTGTGGAATATGTCTAATAGGTGCGTAGAATTATCCTCCCCTACCTTTTATAACCCTCAAACCCTCACACCTCCTCAAAATGAACGATAACGCCCCCTCTAGGTAGGCGATGAATTGAAAGTTTTAACCCAAAAAGGACAAGAGTCATATAACACGCTTGGTATAAACTACTTTTGGGCGCTGGAAATTGGTTGTTTTATAAAGTGCACAGTAAACGAAATACATTTGAGCATCAAAAATCGAACTTTGAGTGATTTTTGTATTTCTACGTTTTTCCATTTTCGAAAATCTGCAAATCTTTTTCGTCCTTGGCATAGTTGTACTTTTATCTCAAATATTCATCAAAATCCTAGGAATACTCCCTATAGGGGTCAACGATTAACGGACAGACCGACGTAAATGAGACTGACATGGCAAAAAACAAAATGTCTCATTTTCAAAAATTTTCGCCATTACAATACAGGCCTGAAAAATTCCAAGGCTGAGTCCCCTCTCCTGATCGTTTTGATTGTGCTCATCTCAGCATCTTTGTGTAACTAGAGAAATTTCTGTAGAGGATATGGCAACGTCGCCTTGTAGAAAAGTTATTCTAACCACCAAAGTGGTACCTAAAGTAGTTTAGCAGAGGCGTAAGTGCGTTAAGTGGACTGTGATATGGCATAACATGTTTTAATAATTAACAAACAGTTTAAACCGGTCATCAAACGAATATGTAACAGAAAAAGTGCTCAACACTCTATGAACTTGTATTTGGGTTAGTTTTGTTCCTGCTTGCTTCTGTGGAATTCGGTAGGCGTAAAGTTTCAGTATTCTACAGTTAAAATATCTCAGATTTTTGAATGTGTTATTTTTCTAATACTACATTCTTTGTTATTATCGTTCCTTGTATTATAATGCTTGCATATGTTCGGCTATGGAAATAAGAAACTGTGTTGTTTTTCAAGGTTCTGTTTACTTCTAATAAACATTTTTCGAACCCACTTTTATTTTTAGCAGTGACACATTAAACATTGCAAAATAATCACATAATATACATAGTTTTGTACTGTTTATGCTAAAGCTAAATGGTCTTCGATATTAATTATTGCAATTATCTTCTTAGCCTCTCATGTTAAGCTCGTTTTACATTATTTTTATGTCGATCTACATTTTCAAATATTCTTCTCGTTTATCATGAACCCTCATAAAAATTTAACTCGTAACTATTTTAATACAAAAAAATAGCATTTCAAATTTCATACACATGCATGAAACATTCGACCGTCAAAATCGGTTTAGAGGCTAGATTTAATCAAAAGGACAGGGTCGGGCTCACTACACCCGAACTTTCAGTCATCCAATTAAAAAAAGGGATATGTTGCGCCATCTAGCGACATTTATTCGGAGTAAATCAACTCCATGAGCGGAAGTACACATGTGACAGGTCCTTGAGAAGCTACAGTACTTTAAGTGGGGTATTGAGGAAAGATTTCAATTTTAAACCAACAAGTATTTTTCTATACTAGACTAAATCATGTAATTTCCCTCATAGGACCCTAAAAGCTGATCAGTTATTTGTCAACATTGATTAACATATTCTTCTAGAAAATATGAACCAACTATTAATGGCAGCCCAGGAAGAAATTTATAAGTTAAAAAATGTTTATAGCCATAACAGGCAAAATTTAGTGATTTTTTGAAAAAACTTAAAAGTGGCAATATCTCGAAAAATAGAAAACTTTTACTGAGGTCATCTTGATTTTATCTGATTGATCTCAAACCAATCTACTTCTCGTGTCACTTTGGCGTCTTATTTCTGGGACACCCTGTATAGCAACATCTGTGACAAATTCTTATGGATTTCTGGGATAATTTTTTGGACGTCGGAATATAGCATTATGTTGGCTATGTTCAGGTAGAATATGTTAATCAATGGAGTCAACTTACAGGTTTTGCAAATAGCTCCTGTTTCCAGTCCTTTATTTTATAACAATTACAATTATACGTATCCTTTCGGAGAAAGGCAGTATTATTAATGGAAGGGTGCAATTCTTCATTTAAATTCTCGCCCATCTACTAAAAATCCTCTCCTTCTACGAAATTTTTGTTTGTGTTACCACGCAATTATGAATCACGCTGTTGCGAACAGCATATTTTCCACTTAGCGCATGTTTGCCTACCATTTTTTCAGATAACGAATTTATGGACCGATTATACGCGGCAAACTCACGGTGTATGTTTTGCTTTTGACTCACTATACTACGTGGTAACCATTCGTACGTATACGCATTTAGCTCGCAAAGAAAAAAGGTCTGCCATTCATTAATGACAAAAATAGCACTGTTGGGTTAATGACATGCATATGCGACAGACAAAAACACTTTTTTCTCCTTTCCTGTCTATTAATTTGAATGTCATATATCGCTTTCTCACACATAATGACATTATGATGTTCGTTTATTTTAGTTCGACGTCGGGAAGCTTTCTCGGAAGCCTTCGAAAACAAATACAACATGAAAGTGCGGCCGCCGCTAAATATAAACAATTTATATTTATGTCGTCAAAATTTCATCGAGCAAAGAGTATAACCACCTTTCACAATAACAGTTGTTTCCTGCATTCATTGATGTATCAAAGCTTAAGAGTGAAGGATGAAGACAAGATGGTTCCGTATAAGCTCTTATATAAACGGTATCTCTTCGTTTGATTCCGGCATATATTTCACTTCACTAAAATTGAGATATACCGTTCCCCACCCCCCAATTTGTCACCCCTCAATTTTTTTTCAAAAATGGTCGGAAGGCTGAGTTTGATCGATTTTTAGTTTCCTGACTTTTTTGCCCCTGGATCGATTTTCAAAAACATCTTTCGTGATTTTGACTATAAGTACGGCAGTATAGTAGTGTATAAAAACATCCTGAAGCCCCACCTGCATGCTAAAAATCTTATCTCATTTTGCGTACTATTGTAGTAGATAACAATCGAGAGCTAATACACATACCAATTTTTTTCACAATCTATTCTGTAAATATTTGAACATTTTTCGGATCAACAAAGTGGATTTTGTTTTGTTGCAGTACCTGCTAATTCCATGTGATGCAAAAATGTCATATCGGAGCTATAGTCCCACGATTATTGGTAGAGCTGGTGAAAATGGTAAGCACCTACAATGTTTCATAGATTCACGTACAGGGTGTAAAGTTTTTGGTCAATCAGCGAAAGCCAATACACACCAAATTAACTCCTATATGTGTTATACAATTATTGATTAATGTATTCAGGTAGAATCTTATGTTTATGAAATTCACTAGTTCAGGTGATGTTTCCACTTTAGTGAAAGAAGAATCTTGATCTCGAAATTAACGCTTCAGGTATCCATGATTCTTTTGCTTTAAACTGCATCAAACAACTCAGTACCTTTGACCCATGATACTATAACCCGAGAAGATATCTTTATATATAGAGTGCATTGCCATTATGAGAAGTTGGTAGTCTGGCATTTATACACTTTGTCCTCTAAATAGCATAGTGGTTAAAAGTACCAATTCCAAATCTTTTTTTTTTATTTCGCTGCTAGTTATGGAATTTCGGATAACACATGCAGGGGTTAATTCGATAGGTACACCTTGTATGCTATTTCTTGCAGGCTACTCTTGGTATGAGTGCAGCTGCTGTCCTTATGGATACCATATTGACTTGGATTTTGTTCGCTACTGTGAATCTATCAGTAAAGAAGCAGATAGTCGAACAGGATCCATCAAGAGAAGAAAGGACAGGAGAAGACAAAGACAATCTATGGAAGTACTATTGGGACTTGCTCCTCCTATCATAACACCTTTGGAGCAAAATTACCAGGTTTAGTCCGCGGGTCCGATTTTCGAGCTGTTATTCTATAAAAATATTTTTCAGGTCATAGAGGAGAAAAATTCACCAAATATAACGAAAACATCAAGGAGTTTTAGTTTTAACGACGGTTTCAATGATGCCGTTTCCGACTTCGAGAAAACTTTGCAACGATCCAACAAAAAGAGACTGTCTAACAATTTACCTGATGTCACCGCTGTTTCTGGTGAGTCCACATTGATAAAAAATTTCAAAATCTGCACTCTTTTTACATCGAATATCCCAAACTTTTCCCAGACTATCCCATGCATCATTTTCATCACCCTGCATTTCAGCTTAAAAGGGATTCGTTGAAACAATCCGAGGTCTGTAAGTTAAGTGATAGACTGGCAACGTAGCGTTCGATCCGGAAACACTGGAGGCGTCGGGCGTCGAGCGGAGACAACGAAACATGTGATCCGCCTTCAGTAGAAGTTTCAACTCGCTCGAGTCATTTGGTTGTCGGTGGCGATTTTTTTTTTCATCTACAGGAACCGATGAAAGTATCAATAGAATCCGGGATCTTGTGCGTTCAGATCGAAGAGTTAAATCTGACTCACACCACCGTTCATCAATCAAGAACAACTGGGTGCATCATCACAATAATGCTCCTTGTTGTACAGCAGTGACAACAAACGAGTTTTTGGCCAAAACTGTAACTATATTTGCATAAAAAAAAACTGTCTCATCACTTAATTTCTCGTTGGTTGGGGTTACATTTTCCATAAGCGCTGTACATAAATCCGTTATAAAATTGAGACTTTGTGGCTTCGTCATCCTTGCTTTTATCAGAGACCGTCGCAAAAATATAGTATACGATGTTTATGGCGTTTATAATACCTTCCTCTTCTATAAAAATCGGCAGACTTCCACTATCACCCGGTATACACCAGGTTTGGTGATTAAATTCAATGACCCCAATTTTCTGACATAAATTTCAATATCTCCAAACAAATGCCCCTATTGCGTAACTATACATGAGCGTTACAAATTGGTAAACGAAAACGATTAACATTTTATTACAGAACTACAATGTTTTTACTTTTAAACAGTTAGGTATATTATGCCGGTATTTAGTCTGTATGGAGTTCAACGAAGAACATTAAAATGACATTTGCATTAAGCCACACATTTAGAAATGGCTGAGAGTTTGGTATGGTTTAGGTAAGGTATTGACACAGGTATTTACAAATTTTAAATCAAATCGATTGATTTGTTCTTGAGGTAATTCCCTATTAAGTTGATAAATCCGTAATTCAGGTGTACAAAACTTGAGCAGCGTAAAAACGTGCATTTTATTTATTTTTCGAAATATCTAGCTGTTGCTGCTAAACGTGTTCTGTGCCACGATTTGTGAAAAATTTAATTTCCGACTATCTGGATACCAATAAGTGATCATTTTACTCCAATTGGTGGAAAATACTGACGTCCAGGATACTTATAGAAATGTGATCTACATCTGATGACTACACTGGAGAACATTATTGATTGCAAATAATAAGAATACGTTAAAAAAGCCGTCAACATTGTCAAGGTACTTTATGGTCACGAATGTCCACGTTTGAATTAAGTACTCATAAAAACTCTGAACATCGTAAACAAAGAATAGTAAAACTGACAAAAAATATGCACGTATTCATAACGAAGTTTGTAGCAATTTGGGTCAAAACATTATAAACGATGTTTTGAAACGCTGCTCATTAGAAAATTTTCTACACCTGACCAGGAATTCGTAAAACATACGAAAAATAAACCCTGAGAGTGTCTCGAGAGTTTTGGGCCTTTTGCCCTTTGTTTCTCAACTCGGGTAAAAAATATGACAGCGTTACCTAGTACGACCCGTCCCTTCCAACATCAAAATCGGTGCAACGGTTACAGATAAACAACACCAAACGCCAAGATCATTAAGTGACAGATGCTAAGCGCACGTCAGTTCAGCCCTTCCCCTATTAAAATGAATGTCGCACGACCATGACCGAAACCCCTCATAACTTGTACGGTTTCCCGTTGAAAACGTTCAACTTTTTAACGTCCCAGCCCGCATCTGTGCGCAAACTGATGTTCACTAAACCTTAACGATTGTTATACCATTATTTAGTCCAGTATATTTATGCTTTATTCTTATTTCTCTTGCGAATCGTTGGGTGTGAATAATGTATGGAAGTAAAAATCGCTCAAACTTCGTTTTTTGACGTTTCGGAAGTCAGAAATATTTTTGTAGCGGTTCGGACCTTTTGAGTTCGGTGTGTCAAAATTTTGATCAGTCGAAACGTCTTTGAAGATGCGTGTTACCAACAATCACATTGGGGGTTGTAAGAGGTAGGGAAGGGTATGCCTAAATTGGACATATTTCACGCATCATCGATTTGTCCGTACATTTGCCCTTAAAACAGAATGATGGAGAGATGTTCCTGATATGCGAGTCTGCTTCTGCTTCCCTGGGCTTACCGGTGGGCATGCTGGTCTTTATGCGGGAGGGGCGACGTTGCCAGATGGACGGTACTACCGGTAAGGTAGGGAAATAATGTCTATGGACTAATTGTGTGGCCTGTTCGACTGACTTGATCCATTTAATTTCTTTATTGTACTTGTTCCTAACTTTTTTCTCAGAGGGTCTAACTTGTGCTCAGTTAGATCCTTTATGAACTAATGACGGAGATGCGCGGGGAGTGCAGAGTCAACCCACTTGACGCCTTTTTTATACATTGAAATCTATGAAGTTTGACGTTGAACATTACGTGTACTGTATCCCATAAAAGCTTGTGTAAATGCTTTTATGCAAATTCCTCGAAGTCATTTAGAATGTGCCAATACCATTCATAGGTGGTATAAAAACTTCAGGTATTTTATAAGAAAAACAGGTGCTCCTTAACGAGAGTTAACAGCTCTTGGCTGTTATTTCAATAATAAACCCGGGTGCTGTTGCGTCTTGTAGAACTCACGATTTCACTGTTTTTTCCCTTAAAACTTTTAGAGGGTAGTCTGACTACTTATTTTTTGATTTATACTTAGTCGGAGTCGCCTTTTATTTTGCCACTGTTGTTTGTTTCAGTTTGTCGTTTTTGTGATTCATTAATTAATAATATACATATGTATATAAATATTCAACTTTTCATATTTTTCCCTAAATACGGAGCTCAATCCGGCAACGCCGCAGGCAAGCGCCTCTCATATATGGCATATCCATAGACGTCAGTGTCATATGGTAGATGGCGGTGGAAATAATGGGGTAAATAACTGCTAAAAAATACAGTGTTTTGGGGAAAAAATTTCATGAAAAGCGTGCTTCATCCACACTTTTTATGATGTAAAATAATTTATCAGACTACCCTCTATAAGTTTCAAGTGAAAAAACAGTGAAGTCCGAAGTTCTACAAGACGCAACAGTACCTAAAAGCGTACCGGACTAATAATGGTATAAGGAACCATTCAGATTTAGCAACAACAGTTGTGTGTGCATAAATGTGTTTATTTTTCCTGGACTATACCATTATTGTTCTCCATGGGAAACGGCGAACACGCTTGCGCGATGTCCAATTGTACTTTAAAGCACTTTCATAACTAATTCGTGTAGCGCGGTACGACAATCATTTATGGAGAATATCAATTTAAGCAGTATTATTTATTTTTTCTTGCATATTTGCTATGCGGTAACAAGTAGGTTACTGGTGCTTCTTGACAGCTTAATTTTGACTGATTGGAATCAGTACCTGTCAACATACAGTGAGTGTTAATTTTAATATGGTTGGATGATCTTGATTTCGTGCAAGAGATCAGTGCTTTGTTTATATTATGATACTGGTGTTTTGGTGAGACGTGTACTTCCAGGTGCCACATTGATCACAATAGGCTGTGCTATGGTGCGGGTTTTGTTATATTGACAGCAACGGTAGTTCTTTCAATGACAAGTGTCGTTTATAGATCAGGAGATGTGTAATTCTAAGATCAAAATTCGTTTTTGCAAAAGTTGGAAAATTATTTTCCGTCAGATCCAGACAACTAAGCGACTCATAGGATTTTTTATATACAAAGATAATATGTTAGTTCATTCTATGCTGTTTGGCGGGTCACACTTAAAGTACCGGCATCACTTCACACATATTTATTAGGGCATGCAATTATCGAACTCTTCCGATTGTGTTCTCGTAAAATGTAGCTGATACAAACGTCAAAATCGCGAAGTTTTACTTGTGGAATCCCTGTAAAAGTCATATCAGTCGAAAGCCTGACGGAGTAGCTATATTTGAAGCTGGTCTATACAAATTGTGTAGTGCATAGTCCTTAATTAACCACAACAATAATTTGGACTGTGCTATTTTTTGCTGGCATATTTGTGGGACAGTTTCCACTTTTTGTTCGAAGTGAGTTGTGGTACCTGTTCACCTATGGCTGAATGAAAATAAAATGCCGCGAGGAGCGGACTCTAAAGAAGAAATTAGACAACGATAAAGAAGCAAGTTATGTAAAAATGATATTGTTTTTTGCCATTACAATAACCTACTTGTTGTTCAGTCTGATGTGCGTGATATCAACTACATATACCGGGTGTTTCTGTTAATACGCAAAAAACCAAATTTTCCCAAAACCGTTGTTAATTTTTTCCTGATTATTTGTAATGGGATTTCAAAATAAATTGCACATTAACATTGCCACTTTTTCTGCTCTACGAAATGACAGCTTATAACCTTGTATGACCGGCTAATTATTATTTTTGCTGATAACAAAACTAGAATGTTTTTGAAAGCAAAACACCTAAACATTAGATCTCTATTGCTATCAGTAAATTGAGTTGAACATGTCATCTAAGAACAAAATTTCGATCTGTACTGCCTGTCAGGGACTTGGCTCAGCATTAGAAAGGAAGCAGTGCAGTAAATTTTGAAGGTTATGACATATTCAGAAAAGATCGTGATTCCAGGGGAGGTGGTTTTTGTTTTTTCATAAAAACCATTTATAGTATTGTAACAGGTGTGGCTTGAAATGGTTCAAAAAATCAATCAATAACAAAAATTTCCTAGTTGTAATGACTTTCTCACGATGTGGAAATTTTTTCAGTTTTCGAGAATAGTTTAAGTACTATCAGAACTATCATACCATCAGCTAGTTTATTGTGAAATCGAAAACCTAAAATTTTAAGCATTAGTCAAAACTTTTTGAGAAGCGCTGTCAAGTAGGCGAACTCAGTCTATTGTTAATGTGCAATGGAATGGGCTCATCAAGTTAACAATCCTTTGATCAGCTTCCAGCCCACTGTCTGGCTTGTCTTCAACGCCAGACGGCTCTGGAAGGCCAGACCTAGATGGCTTCTCCCACGAATGGACTGGTATGAGTCCTTTGACTCTACAAAACATCAGGGAGCAGATGGCATTGAGCTTAGAAAGGACTAAACAGTTAGAAGATCAAGTCAAATTACTACCGGAACTCAAGGTAACATTGGCCCTATACCAAAGTGAAGGTATACCAAGAGAAGATATATAGACAAGGTGAATAAAATTAGAGACATAGATTGGATAAACCGATTTGAACTCAGACTGCACCGAATTAAGTAAAATGTTTTAGACATTTTTCAAAAAAACCCTTTGGAGTTCAATGTCTTGTTATAGTTCTGATATATCCACCCAATGCCAGACAGACAGAAATTCGATTTGCAATCTGATGGTTGATATTTTACTGCGCAAAAAAGGTCAGTGTAAAAACGTCTATGCGAGTATACAGGGTGTCAAAAATTCAATGCAGCATTGCCATATTGGTAACCGCTAAAGGTATTTTATAATTTTCAAGTGTCGTTGCCAGATTATTCTTAGAACGCAATTTTAAGAAGTATTCTGCTTCATAAGGTAGCAAAATGCAAAACACTCTTGGTATACCTTCCCTTTGCCTATACATTGAACCCGAGTTTGATTTTCATATCCGACTATCTTTGAATTAGGAACAACTATCTACGTTGAAAGAAGAAAACCAACGCTTGTTAACGAAACTGAAAGACGGAAGGACAGAAAAACTAAACTCTTTGAATAAAACTTATAATCGCCAAAGATCACAATCGTTCACAGACGACTTGGACGGTTTAGATTCGCTAACGTCGAGAAAAGTTACACCGCCTAAAAAAGATTGCGGAGTTATGTGTGGCGTTCTTACGCGTAATGTAGGTGTGGGCCACCAAAATCCAAACACAAAAAGTGTCTCTACGAGTACTTTGGATACTGAGGGTTTTGCCGACAAGTGGCTGCACGAAAAAGCGAAGCTATTGAACAGCAATCATTTGCTGAGCGCGCCTGATTCGTATAAGAAGTTTACAGTTTCTAAGGATACTCAAACACAACGAAAAATTGCTAAAGACGCTAGCGCTCAGTTCAAGTTTGAACCCCCACCTGTTCCTAAACATGATCAGCATTGCCAGACAGCGAAAGTAAGGAAGAGCGTAAATCATGTTGGTGTTTTAGTAAAAACAAGGTCCTCGGACGTTTCTATACAGAAAATTGTAGACAGTTGTACAGTAGGATCTTCCGAAGACACTGTAGATAGTATCATATGTGATAATTGCAATAAACTTAAGAAAACAGTAGGTGTAGGTCCAGATAGAAACGAAGATGCTTATACATCACCAGTATCACTTGCTTTACTTAACTCGAGGAGCAAATCCTTCAACCTAGGCGAAGATAGGTTGAATCTGACTAGGACTAGAACAATAGGATGCCAGTATGACAAACACAGTACAAATAGGTCTTGTCAAGCAGACATTAAACTGAAATCTCACGCGAAATCTTGCCAGTCAGAGCCAAAGTTGTCAGAAAAAAGCACACAATATGAGAGAAATTCAGCTTCTAAAGGTACCGACATGTTCGAACTGATCCCATCAAAGAGGCATGTAGGATGTGAAGCTAAAGAAACTAAACCAACCACAACTGATGCAGCAAGCAACACGCACGAGTATATGTGTGGAAAATGTGAGAAGGAAAAGGACGAAATGAGGGATAGTTTTAAAAAAGAGGGAGGTAGTCCGACACCGTCTAGGATTCCTAGACCACAAATACCAACGACACCAGTGGAAACAAGGAAGCTGCGAAGGCAGGACACATACACCAAAGTGTACGGATCACCGACAGAGCAACACTCTCCTCTAACAAGGTGAGTCTAGTTATATTTTGTAGTACGCAAAACGTTTTTTGACTACTGACTTGAGAAATTACATTGCATCATCCTAATGACAAGTAGTGTTTTTCTTCCCAGGTAAATAATGATAAAAAGACACCTACATTCCAGTCATTGTTCAATCAGATACTTTATTCGAAATTTACTTACTACTCCTACTGGAGAGGAAGTATTGTAATCGCGAAAAATTTCGAAAATGTCTTTGCCAGACATACCTGTCTAATGATGTCTACAACTTGGAAAACGAAAAATAAAAATCGCAGCAGCTTTGTTTTCTAACGTTTCAGAGGCTTCTGATCATTTTCAGAAAACCGAAAGGGGTGAGAGTATTTTTTTGGCGGCTATATATTTACACGCTTCCAAACCCGGTAATTTAGTACATATTCCATAAATCATGGATAATAATAATAAAAATATTGATGTCTTCAAAATATACACTATACTCAAAACAATATATAGTTAGAATCAGACACCTGAAACCCCTGAATTTGTATGTGTGCGTAGTTGTGAAATACAAAATAGATTTACGTAATTACGCACAATTGTGCGGAAAGTACTTAGTCAATCTCCTTGACGAAAATGACGAAAAATACATTTTGGCACCGATCCCTAAAAATTGTTTTAGAGCGGACATAATATACCAAGTATATACAGGGTGGTTCACAAGTCGTGACCAAAATTAATGTCTTCAAAACCGTCAACTGGAATGACCTTAAAATTGTCCACATTCAAAAGTGTTCACTCAAAATTAACGTGCACCAGTGGCGGAGATACAAGGGATTAGTGGCATTACTTTTCCAAATAAAAATAGTACGCCACTGTTTTTTTCGAAACGAGTTATTTTTCGAATCTCAGAGAAATAAAAATAAATGTTCAAGTATTTAAGTATTGAACTCGTTTATAACGTGTTTGTCTTTAATGCCCCTGGCGCCTGTACTAAAAAGCAAATCGATGAATTGGGTAGCCAGGCAAGCGCAAAAGAAACATTGCTTTATTGATTTTCCTATGCGAAATCTTAGAAAACGTCCGAATTGTTTGCATAGTTACTTCTTATATGAATGACCATCAATAATACGAATGATGAGTGAAAGTGATCGCAGGACTCGAATGATGTCTTCTAGTTGTTCTGTGATTGCTTTGTTGCCATGTTTTGATTTTGTGGTAAAACCGAAGAATTGCCCCTCTAGACGACTTGTCAAAACAGCTGAAATATTGAGATGAGTTTGGTGCACGCAAATGTATTATCTAATGTCAATTCAAAATTTCCAAAATTGTTATTTAAACGTATAATATCTTGAAGCCACTCAAAAACTGGTACTTGCAGGTCGCCTTTAATTCAGGAATACACTAATTCTCGTCAAAGGTTAGTCCAATCTAAAGAAATAGCACTTGCTTTGGGTTCCCGGACACAGTGGATTACTAGGTAACGAAAGAGCGAATAAATAGGCGTCTAGTTACCTAGGAAAAGATTTTTACTTCCTACGTTACTGTCTTGTCACTTGTTTCCGTCTTTCTATCGGTCTGTCCACTAATCATTGGCCCTTCTATAACTTGCGAAGTACCGGTCGAATTTAATATCGCAATTCCCGGATACTTAAATGCCGTTTTTCAAAATTATTTTAAGCCGTTCAGGTATCAGCTTTGAACACATTTTCCCGCGGGCTCCACCCCCTTATTCACCAAATTCTCCCCCTAGATATGGCAACATTGCATTCTATCGATACTGTCAGTTCGAGTCCGGGTTTTCGCTTTGCTTCGTAGCGCTTATTTTCTTTTTATGTTGCTATGGAATTGGTTTGTAAATATATATAAACAACTGAATAACGCATATATGGAAAAAAATCAAAATGCAGCATATCACTCATACATGCACAAACATATTCTGTTGACCAGGTAATTTTTTCAGCTCTGTTTCCTTTGTTATCTCTTCTTGGTCTATTGCTTTTAGTTTGATATTTTAAATCTGATGTAAGTTACTTGCAATTTGATAGAAAACTTTGCCTTGTTCAAATTGAATTGATCCTTTTTTGTATCACGTTATTGACATTGGTCAGAAGCGCGACCAAAATGGCCAGAATCACTACTTGAATTTTAAATTATCGTTGCTGAAAACAGACAGTAACTCAGCAAGGCATTCTTGTTGCGATAATTGTTTCTGAAAGCTGTAATAAATTATGGCGCGAACATGTTCTCGGTTGAGTTCCATTTTTCTAATGACTTGGTGACACTTAAATATTCACTGCAGTGAGAACACTGCACGTATTGTTGTGAAAACTTTATACTTAAACTTTTGGGTTTTGCATGAGGAACGTAATAAAAAAAATGTTGACCCTAAAATGTTAAAGATATTTATTTCCGCGCGTTTTGAATAATGTGAGTCGATCTACTTGACTCGATTTTTTATCTCATTTTCAAGACAAAATCCTGATAAGTTTTCGATTTCTTTAACGACTGACGAATTGATTTTCAGGTTATCGGGATTAGACTTGTCACCTAAAGGAGAAACATCACCTATCGATAAAGTTAAGCAAAACTTTAAGCAATTAGCAGACGTATCAACTTCTCCAGGCGCTCAAAATGGTGTTTCCTCCACACCAATCACCAAAGTTCACGTTCAGGAAATCACACTACCCGTATCAGAATCAACAATTTTCCAGCCTATTCATAATCAAAACAGAAAAAAGTGAGTATACTGTTTTATGTTTCAATATACCAGAAATAACACGCCAGGGTGACACAAGAGGTAGATTGGTTTCAGATCAATCGGATAAAATCAACATGACCTTAGTAAAAAAATGTCTAATTTTATAGACATTGCCACACAGTTTTTTTTTCAAAAAATCACTACTTTTGCTCCTTTTTTGCCTGTTATGGCTATAAAGAACTTCTAACTTATTTAATTGAAAATTAGAACGGTACGCTGTTGGTAACTTACAGAGCTAGGGAAGTTTTTGATGCAACTTCAATCCGCGCAGTATGCTCTCTTTGTATACCTTCTCTCTGTTACTGTACGAGGGTGGTCCCAGAAGTACCCGACCCAACGAAGAAAATATTTTACTGTTGTAAACGAAGGAGCGGACTCACCCAGAGTAAAATCCAGTTCAGCTTTTATATTGGTTGGGCTGAGGCCTTTGAAATAGAAGTATTGTACCACATAACGATGACCAATTTTCTCCATTTTCACAAATTCACGGAAAACGTTCAGTATTGATGGCTGCCAAACAAATACTAAACAACGTGGCGTCTTCAAACTTGACACATATGCATATCTCTAGGTCAGGCCGGGTACTTCTGGGACCACCCTCGTAATATTAAATGTTTGTCATTTCCAGGGCTGTACCAAGCAAGGAAATGCAAGGAGCTATGAAAGTCCTGAATGACATGCTCCAAAAGACTGCTGCTAAAAACCTCAAAAATCATAGTGCTACAAATATCATCCAACAAGAGTGGTTCACAATATCAAGCCTAATAACTGCCAATCCCCTAGATGTAGAAGACTACTTGGACGCACTAGAAGACATGTCAAGTCATTTGCTAGAATTTGTGGTGAATCTGAGTGACTCGAGTGGCAACACTGCTATGCACTATGCTGTGTCTCACAGCAATTTTGATGTTGTGTCCATTTTGCTGGACTCGAAAGTGTGCGACATCAACAAGCCAAATAAAGCTGGGTATACCAGTGTCATGTTAGTGTCCTTGGCCGAAGTCAATTCACAAACTCATGCCAACGTTGTTAGGAGACTTTTCCAGTTAGCTGATGTTAATATTAGGGCTAGCCAGGTGAGAACAAGAACTACTATTGATTGAATTTTGAAACCCGAAATCTAGTCATAATGTTTCGATATATTGACATTAGAAATAATAGTGCCTTTAACTTGGAAGCCTTCCCTGCGCGAAAATAATCACACCTACAGTGGCACCTCCAACCACTATATACCAGTAGACCACATCTACTGTACCGCCAGAATCGACAGCATCTAACAGTCAGAGTGGCGACTCTTCTGTCAAACGCGAACAGAAATTTTCACAGTTAATAGATGCCACTTCGTGCTGTCTTCTTTTGCAGATCTTATAACAAAAATGTAGTTCGGTTTTATTCTAAAAGAATTAGGTGATAACAGTCGATGTATTTGACTCAAAATCGGTATAATTTCAGCATGGTCAAACGGCCTTGATGTTAGCAGTAAGTCACGGTCACCTGGACATGGTGAAAATGTTACTGGAAGCAGGGGCTGATATCAATATTCAAGACGAAGATGGAAGTACGGCTCTGATGTGCGCCGCTGAGCACGGCCACATTGAGATCGTTAAACATTTCCTCAGCCACCCAGACTGCGACTCCACTCTTACAGACGTGGTAAGTGCTTTAAGCATATTGCATTGCTTCAAAATGTCGTTTTATCTATTTTTCTTATACGCATATTAGAACAGGGATTACAATGAGTGCAACAGAAGATTTGCTAGTGATTACAGGCCCACAAAATTAAAAAAAATGCCGATTTTTTTCATTAAAAATTGTTTCCAGGATGGTAGTACAGCACTGAAGATTGCGATGGAAGCAGGCCATAAACACATTGGTGTTCTTTTATATGCCCATGAAAGGAACCTCCAAAAGGCGCATAGTGGCAAATTGAAGAAAACCAAATCCCTCAGCCCCAAAACACCTTTGTCTCCTTTAGCTGCTAGAAGCAATCGTGCCTTAAACGAAACAAGACCTAAGTAAACACTTAGTTGATAAACAGTCAATAATGATGGTTGTCGTTTTAAATTTATATTGAAATAAATCCCCACGAGTGTGCTCAAAAGGAGAACATATTGCCTAATTATTTTTTCTTTATAAACTGTTGACATGGAGGAACGTTTTCTAGACAGTACAAATATACTTTTTCCATATTATTGTTTTTATGTCTATAAATGCCAAAAGTGTACCATTTTTGTTTTTAAAAAAAAAATCACTATTTTTATTATATTAAAGACGAAAAGCTTCAATCAAGCGGTTCGAAAATTTGGATTTTACAAAAAATAATAAATTCGCCTTTGATCGTTTAAAAGAAAATGAAACTTTAAAATAATCATTTTTTGGCTTGATAGAAGACGTTTGACCATCTATCTTTTAAATCATGCGTTTCTGTGTTATTGTTAAACATGTCTTATTGTTATTTAGATATTTGCCCAAAAAGGATTTTATTTTGAAATTTTACTTAGTTCATATAAGAAAGGTCAACAAGATGTGCTGAAATTCTCACAAGGTGGCTTCGAGAGGTGCATAACTCGGTACATCCGCTTATCTCAGAAATCAGTCTATGTATAATAGTATCAAATACAAGAGTTTTGTGGTTAGAAGCAAACTTTCAATTGATTGCATTTTTGTATATGCAGTTTTGCCAGTCAGATATTTTATTCTATTTTCTGATTCTGTGAATAACTTACATTCAATTCAATTGACTTTATTAAAAAATAATAAAAATATGCACCAGGTTATTTTGTTTGGTTTTTAAGATTGAGATTTATTTCTTGGCAACGTCCTTGATAGATATGACTGTATTCTTTATTTCAGTTCATCATATACAAGGTGCATAAAATTCACATTTGACATTAAGGCCACACTCTGCCTGATTGGAGGAAGATATCTATTTCATGGTGTGTATAGAGATGACTAAAAACAGTGTTATCAATTTTTTGGAAAAAATGCAGTTTTTGAGCATCTTTCTTCAGTTATCTCCATAAACACCATGAAAAATGCTTTAGTGCTAAGAATGCTCCAAATAGGCTGTTGGAAAAAAGGGATGTGTGACGTTTATCAATGGAATGTCACATATATTTTGATATTGAGATAAAAGGATGGATCTGATCCTGTTTTCCGCCCTGTACAAAAACAGCCTTCTTGACGACTCCCTATTGAACTTTATTGTGCCTTGACATTATTTTTACACTGTGAATCTTACATTTCAGTTTTCTTGATAATACTACCTGGAAAACGATCTTGGCATTTTTAAAATGTAAATACTTATGTAAAAAATATAACTCTCAGTTGATCAACATAATGGCCACTAATTTTAAAGATGTACTAGAAATATAGAATGACGAAGAATCTTAAACGAATATTAGAGCTGTGTTGTGTAGAAACAATAATTTTCAATAACTGTTTTATAACTCTTGTATGGTAGCTAGTTGTTTGAATGTTGGCATTTTTACGATTTTAAGACTTACTTTTTAATATTGTCTTACCTTCTATCTCCTAACGAGTTACAAAAAATATTCTCGGTTGAAATTTGCTCAAAAATAGAATAATTGATTTCTGAATTTTTTGGAGGTGTTTGTTGCAAAGTTCTAAAACCTCTAATATTCATGTCTTTAAAAATGTCATTAATCATAAGATTAAAATTCATTTTCCTCTTTTGGTGATAGAAGGAATCGATATTTTCCTCAAACTATTTTGGTCCTTGTTAGAGTAGAATTGGGACCAACTCTACCGGTTTTATGGAATATATTTTTTTAATACAAGACTTATTTTGTACCAGTTAACATTCCAGTCATTTTAATGCTTTTTTCTTTTCTTATGTATTAAAAATTTGTACTATACTCTGTACATTTATACTTAATAAACGTTTTTCAACTGTTTTCCTTTATTCAATCTCCACCCACCATAACTTAGAATCATTTCCACTCTTTTGGCTAGTGTGTAAGCCACTTTGGAAGTAAAAGCTGATTTTCACTATTCCAAGATTGTCACAGCAAATAGACCAATAGACGCTTAAGGCAGAGGAAAAGTGGCACGAGTCCAGAGTTGAACATCATCTTTTGTTCGTTACGTTACTAGTTTTGAGTAAAAGTTCATTTTGTAAAATCTATTTTACCAATAAACACACTGTTAAGCAAAGATATTCTTTACGACTTATTTTTTCATCAATTTTACTTTCTAACAAGTAAACCTTAATTACCGATTTTCTCAAAATCACTCCGGATGGACTATTGTCGTTATTCCCTGGTACCCTTCAATTATAAACGAATTGTAGACAAATTCTGAGCAACTCATTGAAATAAAAAGTGATATTTTCGTGTCTATCTGAACAAATTAACATACAGAATTCTCTCAAAAACGAACAGACAGATTTTAAAAAATGAAAGGTCAAAATAATGGATTTCGAAAGACCTTTCAAATAAGCTATTACTCGATACCCCTTGTCATTTAAACTTTTTAAGGGAATGACTCTGGGGTGGCAGAGGATGAAGTAGTTTTTGGTTGAAAATTTGTCCCCCTTGACAAATCTTTTTTTCAAATGAATTATAGCAGGTTTTGAAATAAATTCAACAAATACGTTGTTTAGCTTTATTTTCTGTTGGAAACTGATAAAAATCCACAAACCATAGAATACAATAAATTAACACAACAACTAAAACTAATATGCTAAATATAAAAACGTCGGCCGTAGCCTACCTAAAGTAACAAGTAACTTAAAATAGATAAAACGAGCTTATCAGTAGAAAACATGCTTTCGCAAATAATATATTGAAAATTCAAACAAAATGTAGTCATTGTCATGTTTTGGTATTACAATAAAAATTTAAAAACATGCGCTACCATATTGGCGAGAATATGAACACCTTAAAAACTTCCGGACAGAAATACATTTGTTTATGTCAATAAGCACAATTTCGGATGGGACAATGCACTCTAGATAAAAAATAAATGTTAGAAATTGTCGATTTGACATAAACAGTCACGTAGCACTAGTTTAGTTTATCATAACATGCAGTTTGTTCTCATGGTAGCACATAGCCTCAAAAAATCATTGAATTACCAACATTATAGTCTGCATAGGATGGTGTCACCCTTGTAATACAAATTGCAGGTGACATTGCAACAGAAATTCAAATAAAAAATTTACGCTATACTTATAACAAATAATATATCCTATACTAATACACTTACATATAACGGTAAACGAAAACAATACATAGCAAAACAATAACGAAAGAATGGACTTTACATTCAGATAGTTGTCGTAAGTGATTATTATAATAGGAATTTTCGCTTTTTATTTGTGTTTTTTTGTCATTAAGACGTATTTGCAATTTTATATTTTTTTTTATATATTTTATAATAGTATTTATAATATAAGTGTCGAGGCTTGGCACCTCAATCCTTTTTTATTTGAGTTGCAGCCAGTTGAGCTTGATGAGCCTGTAATACAGCCACAGCTTCTTCAACCTTATTTTTGAGGGACTCGTTGTGTTCCAGCATGTGCAGCAGCTCTGTATTATCGATCTCCAGTAACATACCAGTTATTTTACCTGTAAAAAAAACATCTCTCTTATCCATTTGCAGTCTACCAAACAGTGTCCGCAAAGTTGGGGTTTTCCTTTACACTACGTAGAAGCATCACATCCACTACGATGTAAATACGCAGGTATGCAACCTAACCTAGACGCCGGTAGTGTAGGTCAACAAACCATAACATTTGTAACCGATTGCTGTTCAAAAGATAAAAAAAATGGCACACTCATACACAAATATCGAACTAGTCGATATGCTGTTAATTTCGATGAGTGTTCAAAATGGAACCGAGGCTTCGCGAGTGTATGCAGATCGTTCTCCCAGACGTAGATTTTGTCTACCTTGTGCAGAGATTCGGGTATACGGGTTATTTGGAGGAATGTCGAACCTCGAATGGTGCAAACTGAGCAAGAAGTACTGAATCTCGTAGTCGAGAATCCTTCAACAAGCACTAGGGACGTGGCTATACAAGTGCAAGTGTCGAAGACTAAACTAGTATTCACTAAAATAATAATAAGGTAAAGCCAATTCTAATGTATTTGCTAACCTGCCAAATCCGAGTACATCCTCTGAATCAAAGGGAACAGCCTCTCCCCGAGCATCTGCTTTTGTTCTGGCGGGGGCGCGGCCGCGAGCATGGTCGCCGTGAGCGGCTCCTGACCTTGAATGTGTACCGCTTGCTGCACCGGCTGCGCGGTGGGCTGCAATCCCATTGCCGGCGGCGGGTTGCGCATGTTGGACGTATACTTGAAGTTGGTCGGTCGGCTGCCAGGCGCCACCACTACGCCGGCCGCCGATTGGCCAGGCAGAGGGCGGCCCTGCATGCCGGTCGGTTGCTGGCCGGGGCCGGTCATCGGCCTGGTAACGTTCATGTTGCTACGCATTCCTGCCGATTGGTTGGGCGGACGAGCAGCCGCGCGGAACGCGTTCGGCATCCCTGGAACAGAAAAAAAGATGATAAAAAATGACAAGTAAGTGGACTGCTGTCGTTAGTTCGTAAAGGCCCAACGCAAGACCACTCAAACTTGCGTACTTGATCGTAGATTACAAATAAGAAAGGTGGGCCATCACTTGGTTTTTTTTAGTTGGTATTATTTTGACAGTTGTAACACATATCGATGAATTCAGCTATTAGGAACCCGCATCCTTGCTGTAGTTCGATGTGAAAAAATATTGTGGAACCTGGATAACGAGCACAAACCTGCGTAGGCGCCAGCTCCTGCTTGGCCACCGGGTCTGACTGGTGCTTGCCCTGGCCACCTGGGGCTAGTACGGATCTGCGCCATCTGAGCTGGCCCGTAGAAACCGCTGCGCTGCTGGAATAGTCGGTACGAAAAATCCGCTGCTAGCACCCGGTTGGATGAATTGACCCATTTGGTGCATGCGCATGTTCGCCATACGTTGCATATACTGAAAACAAGAAATAACGAATGTACCAAGTAACAAAAACACCCAGTAACGATAAATTTATTACAATTTACTTGCTGTCCAAAAAAGAACCTTTCTTCGCAATATCCATTACCAACTATCAAAGTTGTGATATGTAGGTCAAAATTGGGAAACCCTGTATAATTTACAATATTTTAGAAATGTTCCCTCAAATGTCATAAATAGATTTTCCCAAAATGTATTTGTTTATGAGTAATATTCCGTTATATAGATACATAACAAATAGAAAAATAATGGGCCAAATGTAATAAAAACTCAAGATGTGTGTTGTTTTTATCACCATCGGTGGAAAAAAGAGGTAATTCTAAATTGAATTAAAACACTAACACACAAGTCGGATCAAAAGCGAATTAAATAATTCCAATTAAAATAAAAACAAAATATTAAATTAAATGTTCGAACAGCCCTCCTTCTTCGGTTTGACAGTAACCTAACTTTTTATAGTTATTTCTCTTGATGTACTTAGTGTTTTGCATAAATTTTTTCTTGCAAATAATGATGAGCATACCTGAGAAGTGAGATGGGCCTTTCGGTCTTCCTTCCTTTGAGCAAGAGCAACATATAAAGGTTTCGATCCAACAATGCGACCATTCATTTCTGTCACAGCCTTTGTAGCTTCTTCGGGTGAAGAAAAACAGACGAAACCAAAACCCTTGCTCCTGCCTTCTTCCATCATTACCTGCAACATAAAGATCAATTTATTGGCAAATATCTTGTGCGTACAACAATATTTGAAATTGCATTCAGTAATATTTAGCATTTATAACCAAGAAGGTATCATGTTGCTTCTAAGAATTAAATTTCTCTGTTGAACTGTGAAAAATATGATAGTGGTCTCCTTTAATAATTCGAGAATTATCGATATTTTACCTTGTATTCTGCTAATCATTTTGGAATCACATTAATTTTGATCACAGAATATAAATTGAGATTTTGTCAGGTTCTAGGCTTTTATCCAATTTATGGGGATTGGATGCATCATAAATTGATAGAAGTGGTGTCAAAACACATCTGTTTTTTTAAAAGTCGTTTATTTCATTAGTCTGGAAGGATATATTTTTTCATTTAAAGGTTTCCAAAACGATAAAAAAGTAAAAAGTTCAAATGCTCACCAATCTAACTGGATAGTTTTACATGGAACTGTTCATAGATCTTTCTGGTGGAATGAAATATTTAACTGAGCAGATATTGCATAAATAAGGGAAATACCATAGTTTAAGACGTTGAGTGTTCCTAGTCTTTTTTGCCCCGATAAGCCGGCGTTTTTTTTCAATTTTTTTGGTGTTATTGACATCAAGGTTGTATTCAGATAGAATTATTTGGGAAACAATCCAGTGAGGTGGTAGACAGTATATACTCGGGAAATATGCCAACCAACTGCGTGAAACGTTCGGCACTTATATCTCTATTTCGTCGACAACGCGCCGTATCTCTTCTATAAGGCGACGAAAATATTTCCAAAATGGTGGCGCTTCTGGTTATATCTCTTACCTTAGCAGATGTTATGGTTCCAAAAGGCGCGAACTCCTTCCTAAGTCTTTCATCATCAATGGTATCGTCAAGGTTCTTAACGTACAGGTTGACTCCTTGGTACCGATTGAGCCTCTCCATTTTCAACGCCTCGAACCTCCTCTTCAGCTCCTGTTGTCTTTCAGCTTTTTTCTGAGCGCGGCCGACGTACAGAGGTTTACCGTCGATCAATTCTTTGCCATTCAGGGCTTCTACAGCTGCCTCGGCAGCGTCGGGGCTCTCGAAAGCCACAAAACCAAAGCCCTTCGATTTTCCATCCTCCTTGGGCAAATATAAATGTGTTTACTTAGTATGTTTAAACAATGGTTAACATTCCAAACAATAGCCGTGCTAAGCAGAAAGGGGGTATAGGCAGCTGACGTGAAAGTGAGAAAAGAGCATTTAATCATTTAGACAGATATGTTATAACCAAAAACGTAGAATTGTAAAAACTGTTAGCAATACTGCATAGGGCTAGTCCGCCACTGGCAATTTAAATGACTTAATTTCGATGTATTTCCTATACGTTATTTTTTATAAGAACTTGTGACAATATTTTTTTGTTCTATATGTGAAAATTGACAAGATATTCTGAGACACCTGTAGAGTGTAATCTTTCCTCACCTTGTACATGATTTTGAGGCTAGTGATTTTTCCATACTTCTCGAACATATTCTTCAACTGTTCTTCAGCAACATCCTCTCCAAAATTCTTGACATAAACATTGGTGAACAGTTTGGCTTTCTCGCCAAGTTCCTTTTCTCTTTCTTTCCGAGGGATGAACCTACCAACATAGACCTTCTTGTTGTTCAACAACATGCCATTCACCTTTTCAATAGACCGGTTTGCAGCTTCCTCAGTTTCAAAATGCACAAAACCGTAGCCTATAATAAAAATGTATTGATAGTAATGGTTTCTTCCTGGGGAGTTTTGCTAATGTATATGATGTGTCAAAAGTTTGACACTGACCTTTGCTAGTTCCATTTTCATCCTGAGCTACCTTGCAGCTCAAAATGTTGCCAAAGGCGGAGAAGGTGTCGTACATAGCCTTGTTGTCTATTGAGCGGTCCAAATTCTTGATGAACACGTTTCCTACACCAGATTTGCGCAGAGATGGATCTCGTTGTGACCACATTATGCGGATAGGCCTTCCTTTAATCAAGTCAAAGTTCATAGTATCTAAGGCTCGTTCAGCTGCAATTTTGAAGAAAAACAAATACAGTTTTTACAACTCAACACACTGTTTTTCTTCAGTAAGTTAAAATTTTGGATGGGAAATTGATGCATAAGCACAAAATCTAATGTAAAAGTGTTGGTAGCAAATTCCAAGATAACAACTGAGTGGGAATAATATGAAACATAACTTTTAATCTCCTAATAGTTACTTTTACAAACCTAGATAATGCTCTCTATCTTTCAAAATGGCTGGCTGTAAGTGTTGAGTGTTTTTGCACACTCACTAGCTTATAATTCAACTACTAATCATCAAAGCCCTATAGTATGTTATAAAAACATATTTAGAAAACACCTATTTGAATATTTAATAAAATATGGCACATTCTAGTCAAAAAAATACCAACATTTTTGAATAAATTATAGACACATGAAAGCATGATTCTGTTATTGATCATTCCTTTTTTAAGCATCATTTGAAAATGTGTGATAAGTAATGACTACATGATTCAAATTTTTCAATTCTCAAAGCCTGTTCAGAATGCATCAATGTGTATTTATTCCATAAATATCAATACCAATTCAATCTTATCAGGCTTGTTATCAGTTATGACACATCATACATGGATGAACAGCAGTCAAAAAAATGTAATTCCCCATAATATAATATATTGGAAAAAGCAAGAAAAATATCTGTAGTATACAATAAATATACTATTACTACTAAAAAATGAAGAGCTGTTATTCTTACGTGGAACTAGGAAGTTTGTCAAGCTGCTAAAGGTGCTGGGAGACCCTAGATTTTTTAGGATCAACTCTTACACAGCCCACTTATCATTTTTTTATTCTTGTCAATGTTGACACATTGCAATGTCATCAAATAACAAATGAAATGAGTCACTTTCAATAACAAAAGCTAATTGTCAACATTGTTCTAGTGAACTGCAGCAGCAAAGATTCATGTTATTTCTTTCAGCATCAGGTATCTAGAACTCCTGGAACCATCAGTTAAAGGGTTTTTTGTGCAATACATGAAGTAATAACAAGCTGAAAATGAGTATTTATGTCCCAATTTTACCCTAACAACTAAAGAGTTGTACCGCGGTTCTGGCAAGAGTTCTAGGTTGGGATCGAAAAATGCCATATGGATCGAGATATATTGAATTTAAAAAGTGCCTTACCGTCCGCAGGTTGTTGGAAATTAACGTAGGCATACCCTAAAGAGCGTCTAGTGATCAAATCTCTGCAAACACGTATAGAAAGCACTGGGCCGGCAGTCGAAAATTTCTCAAACAGCATTGCCTCAGTGATATCAGAATGCAAGTCGCCGACGTACAGGGACGCCATGGGGTAATTTGGGGCCCCGGGATTCATCTTATCAGTCTTATTTCAACAGAAGTTCATAACAATACCTTGTTAAAACACATAAAACGAAAACAAATATTACTTATATTTAAATATTTCCTTTTATGTTTTGCGCATTTTTTCTTTTTTTTCTTTTGTTTTTTCTTTGTACTTTTATATTTTTTTTGTATTTTTCAGTTAATGTTCTCACTATATTAGGTGGGTTGTGAGGTAGTCACAACACCACGCGGTCACTCACTAAAACGAAATGCATAACCGGAAACGATATTTTGCTTTTATACTATGCGGAAATGACGCTTACATTGACAATGCCATCACAGAACAATGACTTTGGCAAATGTCAAACATGGGCCAATAGCGTGATCCCTCATTTTAATCAAACGGACCAACTGACAACGGGGTGGAGAGTCAAGGGCACGTGATTAGTCATCTCTCAGTTGATTGGTCAATCGGTAAACCATCATGCGGATTCATGGGGCGGCTATTCGATTATGGTCAACTGGAAAAAGAGGGGTGGTATCCGATCTGCTGAATGACGTCATTTCGTAGCTATTTCTCCTTAAAGATAACACTGCTTATTTGTCGGATAAAGAGTAAGCTGCGCCTTTTTAGCAAAGTTTATGAAACAAGAATGGACTTAAGGAGAGCCCACATATATGCACGACTGATGAGGATAATTGGTGAAATAAGCAATTGTGATTATAAAAAGTTGCATTTTTGTTACTAAGCTAAATCGTGTAATATTCCGTGTAGGACGCTAAATATCTATAAGATGACATAATCTTATTTCAGCTTTTGACCAATGTTACACCTTTACAGGGTTCTGAAATTGTGGACGTTTCAGTATAAAAACTATTTTATTTTACTAAGGACAATCTTTTATTGTACACAATTTATATATTATACACAATAGATTTTAATGGGTAACAAAAGTATGTAAATCATAAAGAATAGAACTGGGTCGCCGTCGAAGATTGTAGCTCTATCTGCGCCATTTTAAACTGTAATCTTTGCAACCATTTGTACATCGTTGGATTTTTCATGTGCTGATTTCGCTTTTTATCGAAAATAGTTTCCTGAAGAGATGATGGAGGAAAATCTCTACAGTTCTGCAGTCTGACTTGCAAGTGGCCTGGCAACTGTAAAAGAGAATGCAATTTTGTTTTTGTGATTGATATCTTTTTGAGCATCGTGATCAGTTCGTAGGTAGTATGAGAAAAAAGGTATTTGATTATTGACCTACTTGGAGCTGATTTGAAGATAATACAGAAGTCCACAGAGGTAAGAGTTTTCCGACAATGGTGGAGTGGCATTCCATCAGAGCTTCCAACATACTTAGAAAATGCAGGCTCACCATTTCACTGAACTGAAACATAATATGAAAAACATAAATTTATCATCAAAGGACAATAGGATGGATGAACATTTGATATAAATCCTAAATGAAACCAAAGGAACTATAAAATATAATCGTAGCGGAAAGGTTGAACTTACCATTTTAGACTGTTGTATAAGTTGCAGGACACAGGGTGTAACTTTAGCCCAGAAGTCAAACAGAAGATTCATTGTGATATTATAGGATTCGGTAATGGGCAGATGGATATGAAGGCCTTGTTCTAGGTACATAGTCCAAAGCTAAAAATATCAAATTTTATAGTTTATAACCTTGATCAGGTAAAAACGCAAAAAGGCAACAAAATGTAAATACTACGTTTTGAGCTCTAGGGTCACTTTGAGTAAAAAAAAGTAGCATTGAAGTAGCGGTTTATACGAGGGTCATTTTTTAAGTGAGAACCGTTTTGTAATCCAGTCAGAGAAATTTTATTGATGAATGTAAGTTGTATCACAAACGGAACCTTTTTTCATTTTTCAACATAGCTACCATAAACAATCAAACACAAGTCTAATTACAAGCGGATAATTCCTTACCTGACATAAAATAAACGCATGGAATAGAGAGGACATATGCAGTATTGATGCTTTCGGTTGTTCTGCAAATCCCAGCATGGTGATTTGAATGTGATCTGCTATTTGGCATGATGCTTCTTGAGGAATCGGTTGACTCAAGATCTGTCCGTGGTTGACACCATAGAGTGCTGTATGGGTTAAGGATCCCAACAGTAACCAAGACAGTAACCTCACGTGACCTATACATTCTATGAATTCCCTAGGTGTTTGCTGCATAGCAGCTGTGCTATACAGCCAGGGAAAATATCTGCTGGGAAAATTGCGTCAAGTAGTATAATAGAATATTTATCAAATCAAACCACATTTATTACTGTTTATTGTACGACGTTTCGGCTACCACGGTAGCATTCTTCAACTACAATAACATATATGCGGTTCGATTCGGCAAGACCATTGAGCTTCATATAAACATGAAAAACACAGGATAAGTTGCAGGAGTTACATTAACTGACTGAAAATGTGTAACCACATTTCGAAGACCCTTTTTGAATATAAAATCACTATCCTTTAAAATAGCAGTCTGTCAAATTTGACCATCTTTGTGCAAAACGCTATAAGGATGTTATATCACTCTCCTTTTGTTAAAATGACATACCCCAATATTTAATGAAATATGGAATATTCTATTTTTAAACGGATTGTCTCGTACTGTGAAAGGTAATAAATTATGAGTACTGATAAGGAGCTTCAAAATGAAGTATCACGTGAATTCTCATTAGAAGATGGCTCCCAGCCGCCATATTGAAATATTCATATGTCAATTTTATGTCAAAATACATATTATGCAATAATTCATTTACGCGAATTCAAGTTTACTAAGATGACGTGTCCCTGCAGACGCGTATAAATAAGTCTTTTTCTCTATACATTTAATGAAAAACCAATAAGCCTCACGAGGTTTAAGTTGCAGTGCCGATAAAAAGTGATTTTTTTACCTCTTTACAGCTCTGTTATCTCTTCCATTGCTCTTCGTTATTTCAAGAGCAAGATATTGTGCTAGACTACATTTCACTATGCCTCCCAACGTATCTTCATTTAGACCGACTGATCTTCTCTTGCAGTAGCTCTGAAATATCAACAATGACTCTTAAAAAATAGGCAATTTCTCATTCCATAATTTCGAAATGAAAAACTTGTTAAAAATCTGTAACAAACGCGCTTTTGATAATTACCACGTAGCGGTGTCCACGAACTGTGATTTACTCTGACATTTCTTAATCATGAATGTTACCAAATATCGTGAAAAAGCATGACATGATCACGATTTCGGGAACTAGCTGCTTGATAGACAATATTGATGATCGTGAAGTTTTTACCTTAATTTTTGATATTGCATGGAAATCCATAATAAACTCTAATATATCTCCTAAACTGAGCCTCATGCATTCTGATATGCCAGTTGCAAAAGCTGGTCCATATTCCATAAATTGCTTAGGATAGTCCTTCAAAATGGGATTTGTAGGTATAGATCCTCCCATGTCCTAGAAAACATACATTAATGACGACAATACTTGAAATGAAAGAGTTTTTTGACTGATTGATTAAGCTTACCTGCAGCACCAAATTGATAAGCGTCAGTAAATTGGAATCAGGAATAGTTGTTTTAAATTTTAGGGCCTGTAGCAGCTCGAAAACTATTATTCGACTCAAGAAAAGTTTGTCGCGATCCTGAAAACAAATAGCAACCTAGTGAACATAGTGACGTCATATGTCGGCATATTTAGGGCACTACTGACGTACGCCGACCAACGAAAATGACCTTAACATGACGCTTTAATGTCACACCCAATTGACGTCATTATATAACGTCTATTATGTCGGATAAAAGATCAAATACAAAGCCGATATGACGTGTGAATGACGTATATCTGAGGTCGATATGACATCTATGTGACGTCGATATGACGTACAGCCGCTCTTGAAAATAATCGCGCGGAGTATCCAAACGCTCCTGAAAAATTCAGGATGCGGGTACAACGCCCAACAAGCAGTGAACCCCCTCGATACAAGGCGTCATTGTCACATCCACAATTTTCTAGGAGAATTTGTACAAAGTGGTTAATTAAGAACTAAGGAACAAGTAGCACCAAGTAGTTATTATTATTGTTATTAGCATTTGGATATCTACTTTATCTGTTCATTAAAACTTCTTTTCTTTGTAGGTAAGTGTTGATTTTTTAGTACTGACTGTCCTAAAAAGACATCAAAATGACAGCTTGTTAAAGGACGTCTTATCGTCATAAAAATAGCGTTAATAAAGACGTCACATTTTAGGCATTCACATTGGAATTCGATATCGACGTCCTTGCCTCGGCATCATCCGAGTATTTCAATACTCGGCATCAACGAGTATTTTCATTCGAATTCTTACATCACTACTTGTTCTGTCGCTGTCAAACGTCAAACCACGAAAGTGCCAGAAGAGGGAGAAGGAAGCTTTCCAACGTTCCTTTTTGAATTGAGTGTAACGCTTTACGCTTTTGCTTGTGGTTAACGTTCAGTTTTACCACCGTCTGATAAAGGATTTCAAGGAAAACAAACTCATACAACAAAGGTAAGGCATACCATTCTGATTATTCTGATAACATTGAAACGAGTGGGTACTGTTTTTCAGATGGAAAACAAGCAAGGGGAAGCCAGTAAGAAAGCACGCATTGAATTATCATCATTGCCGACCAGGCAATATCTGGACCAAACTGTGGTCCCTGCGTTGTTGACGGGCTTAAACATGATAGCCAGGGAGAGGCCGGCAGACCCTCTGGCTGCCCTGGGGAATTATCTCTTGAAGACCGCAAATGACAAAGCTGCATCAACCAGTCATGCCACTACCACTGACTGAAATCAAGTCTAACCATACTGCAACTACAAGGCTGTTTTTTTTAAGTTAAGTTATTGTAAAAATATTAACCCCTAACTGGTGACATTTAAATTTCCGACACTGAAGGTAGCACAGAGTCTCTATAATGCTTATCCAGAAAGACAGAGCATTTGCTCAATCAACATTTTGGTCATTAAGATATCTCCAACAGTCACAAAACTCCAAGAAAGAAGACTAATATTAACTTTTAGGCTAAAGGTGTACTGCATAAAATGGAAGACAAATTTTTTACACCTTTGTCACTATTGCAACAAGAGCGGCAGCATTTTTTGAACATTGCAAAGAACCACTTGATAACAGATAAACACTCTATGCTGCCATCTTACTGGACTAAAGTCTAGGAAGGTACTGAAAACCGTAGTTTCCATTTGATATTGTGCAGGTTGTGCGGCGAATTTGCATGTCACCAGTCAAGTGTTAATAGAAATAAATGTTTTGTTTGTTATTATTATGTAAGAGAATAAAATAAATACTAGTTTGCTATAGTGAAAGCTTTTATTTCAATATTAGGCTTATAGCAACGAGTAATTATATCTATGAAAATATTCTCATTTCATCTCAGAATATTTTGTGTAAGCCAAAATACACTACATGGGTAGAGTACGTCAATCAATGATAACATGAAATTTCAAAACTTACCTTTGTGAAAGCTCGATTACACAGATAACATATTTCAGTGAAATAACTATACTTGATGGTTTGTGTTTGGATTGCATAGCTGAAAACCTTAGAAAAGGGTTCCAAGAGACCTTTGAACTGTGGTATTAAAGGTATCTTGAAGGTGCACATAATTATCTTCAACAAAGGTGTTATGTCTTCTATAGTGTTTAGGAAAAATGTTATCCGCCTATAGAATACCTCCAGCTGCTGTAAAATTGTACACCACAGCGATGTACTAGGTCCTAAGGCTGCTTCAAGAGGCAAACAGTTCAAATAGCACGCCATGTTTTGGAGAACTGTTGGAAGCACTTCTATTGGCAATGTTTTCTTTGAATTCAACACCTGCAAGAAACATCTATATACTAATTTGTACAGGGGGAAGTATTTCAAGGGTCTCTGAGGTGATTGTAGATAAACTATGGTTACCGGGTCTTCAGCCTTTTATATGAATGATCGAGGTTCAGGTTTTTGTTTAGATTTTATCTTCATAGCATCACAACTTTTCAACCACTATGTATATCTCTTCAAAACTTTTGAACTATTGAATAGAATGTGATATCGATAGAAAAAATACAGGCCCGGAAAATTTACAAATATTTCTACCTAATATTTTATTAAATAGGTGAAAGTGAAACAAAAAAAAGGAAAGGCCCAACTTTGAGGTCACCCTGTATATTCAACTTACCTCTAGCATTAGTTGCAGCGGAGATACTGGATTGAGTTCATTGAAATCAACGAGAGCTTGCACAAGACTTTTGAAAAATTTTAATCTAACAGCTTCAGATGCATTCGTCTGGAATACTTGAGTAAAGATGCCATTTGGAGCTAGTTGGTGGAGGACACATCGTATAAATTGGTGTGCTACACTTATTGCACCTCCAGGCAAGTAAATATTGCTGTCACTTTGCCAAGGATACATGGGATCCGTTGCTACCCTAAAATAGAAAGTAAATTGAGATGATCTTGAATGAACAAGTTATTTGCTAGACAAAAGACAACCAACTGTAATATAAACTCTGTGTGATTGAAAATTATTTATACAGGGTGGCCCATCCATGTGTGAATATTACTCAGCAACAAATAAATTTTGGGAAAATCTGTTTATGGGATGTTATACATGACGTTTGAGGGCACAGTTCTGAAATATTGGCCATTATACAGGGTGTCCCAATTTCAACCACATCACACCAAAGGGCTATTTGTAGAATATTTATGTTTTGTCCTAGATGAGCCTTATCAGTTGCGTAAAAAAATGGAACTTTTTATCTTAAAACACCCACGGCATTTAAGAAACATCATGTAGGGAACTTACTTTGCTACAATGCTCAGGACATCGGGTAAAAGTGGTGCTGCCAAAGCTGGTTCTCTGTGAATAAATGTGCCTAAGATGACTATACAAAGACCGATCTCCTCGTCACTGTATTCTTGCTTGATGCAGCCACATTCTGAGCAATGGTCGTTGATGCAATCGTCTCCCGTACGACAATAGCTGGGCTTCATTTCGGCGTCTTGATTCGGAGATGAATCTGGACTCAGCCACGAGCCTGGTTTCCTAGGATCATGGAAAGAGTACGAGTTCATCGAAAAGGGGCCCACCTTGCGACGTTGCCTTTGGTTCATCAAGCCTCCTGCAATTGATTTCCAGTTACATTACACCTTGCAGATATCAAAATGTGTCAATGTAAATGTGCAGTTCATTTTGAAATCCTATCTCAAAAAACATCAGAAAAATTATTATATATATTATCAACTCACTTTTCTTATCCATCTTAGCGCATTTGTAAGTCCGTCCATTCTCCTCAGCTTCCGACTGATAAGGTGGACTTTCCAAAGCGACCTGCTTTATCAATTTCCTGGGGCTGTGGTACGTAGAGGAAGTGGGAACAGGCTGGTCTTGGCTGTACGACCGCTCCTCCTTCTCAGCCCCGTTCCCATTGTCCTTACGCGTCTCACATATTCCCAAAGCATGACGCACTTTGTCTACCAGATGTGAGACGTCTTTTGAATGTTGACCAATGGGGAGGAGCCTCTCCTGACTGGGAATTTCTAGCTGAGATTGCAGGAAGAGGTCTTCATGTGAAGGAGAGTCTGCAAAAATACTCGTTATATAATAGTAACATGTAATGTTTGTTCCGACAAGTTTGTACCGAATCACAGGAATAACAACGACAGAATAATACTAATAACAATAAATAGTTTCGCAATATACAGGATGTCCAAGATAAAGATCCTATTCATGGGGAGATATAGCACAGAGTATATTAAAAAGATCAATTTGACGTTAAAGGTCAGAGTCAAGATCAGCATTAGATTTCTTAAGTAAGATCCTACAAATCTTTCTGAGATAGGGGGCTTTCTGAACACCCTGTATAATAGGAAAAAATGTTTTCGGTCATAGGGTATGGGGAGCAGCTTACCTAAATGCTTCGATGATCCAATAGGGAGTAGCCTTTCTAAGGAAGGAGTTGGTAGGACAGAATAATTATTCTTATAACAATCTTCGCAGTCAGAATCTGGTGCACATACGGAAGCAGCGCTGGAATCGATAACTTTCTTGTAATTTCCGATCGGCGAGGATTTTTCCACATAATGCGTGTCGATAATAGATGTGGTTACATGTCTGTGGAAATCCGTTGTCACCGTTTTTGCGAACTGCGACCCATTTTGCGTTAGTTTTGTTTTTGAACATTGTTTTTTGCGTTCGGTGTGCGTCTTTAATTGGTCGTAACACATTGATTTCTCGTGGAGCTTTGGAGAGTCATCTTCACCCCCTGAAAATTAGAGGTCTACGGTAATCACTGAGATTCTATAAAAATGAGAAGCAGCGAAACATATTGTTCTCCTCTGCTGTGAGTTTGCCTCAGAAGTCATACCATTTTCCAGTTGCATCTGTGTACAGTATCAAATTTAATGTACTAGTGTTTAATACAACTTCAAAAAAATGGGCGTCCAATGGGAAAGTTCACATTTCAAATTTGAATTACGCGGCAACCGTACGCGAGGAAGTCGGAAGCGGTATTGATCGACGCGTTCGGCGTGCGGGTTAAATAGTCACAGTGGAACGTTGGACCGGAGCGCTATCGAGGCTTACTTTAAGAGTGCGGTATTGAGCCGTATTTCTTTGAAGATGAAAACGGTCATGCATTGAAAGTCAATTCCGAGCGATACAAAGACATGATTGACACTTTTTTTGCTCCTATTGTAAGAACAGAACATCGATTTAACAGAAAAAAATGGTTTCAGCAGGATGATGCCACTGCCCATACTTCCAGACAATCGATGGACACGGTGAAAGCACTTTTTCCTCAAAAAGGTATATCGAAGTATGGAGACATTCACTGGCCTGCTAGGTCACCAGACCTCACGCCATGCGATTATTTTTTGTAGGGTTATCTAAAGTTTGTATTTTTTTCTTGAATCAAAAAGTGAACTTTTCCACGGAACACCCTGTAGTACTTAAATTTGTCATTTAATAATAATCTGTACAATTCTTGGGCAGTTTTGTGTTTTTATTTTATTATTAAATAAATGAATACAAAATTACGGTTGAGATTAGAAGACCTTACCTATAAACCATGTGGGTTTTCCTTTATTCCTCTTCCTCGAGTGGCCCCCTTTTGGTGATTTGATAATTGAAACTTGCCTCGTCCAGTTGCTTTCGTCGCAAGCGTCTTGCGTGCTTTCTTGAAACGCCCCATCGGAGACATCACTTTCTGGTATCACAATCAATTCTGATTCTGTATCATCATCGAGGCTGATATCCGTTGTTTTTCTTCAAACGAATAATAAAACGTTATAGAGACAGGAAAATTTGGCATTTCTCAAAATCCCAGTTAATTTTTTAATTTGAAACTTTTGGAGGAGGAGGAGGAGGAAAACCCTTTCACAAAATGGTGCGGAAGGATCCCGAGACTGTCCATTACAACAAAACGCCACGGAAGACAAAGGCACCTATATCACTTAATTGCTCGATAAATCATTCAATCCAACTTTTATGTCTACTTGTTCTACTTGTTCACATACCGTTGATGTTTTTTTTCTGACTGCGCACACTGTATGGATTCTTCCCAATGTGTCTCCATACTTGTTGTTGACGAAGGCTTTGCGTAGGTCACTTGTATTTTGCCGTCTTTTGAACTAACTGAGACATGGACTGATTGACCATCAGAAGAATACATTGGAGACAATGGCGGTGTTGCCTTCTCTGGAAGGTCTACCTCTGCTCCCAGCGAAGGTTGACTCACATCTTTCAAAAGAGTAGAAAAGAAACATAAGTTGTCATTTGAATGATGAAAATTGAGGAATAAAGATATACACAGATTAAGATGACCTAGCTGCCAGGCTTTGCCTTAACACCATCACTACCGCTACTACTGCTGCTACTTACCTCTAGATCTAGTTGATGGTGGCCCCATGATGATAGTTGCAGGGATTCTTCTACATTGGTGATGCTGGGCGTCCAGTGTGTTGAGTACTATTCGGATCAAAGATGTCAACTGGGTACATTGTGGCTGTTGGTTATATTGATACTGAAAGCAAAAAATAATTTTAGTTGCTTCACCACAAAAGATACTTGGCTATGGATCGTTTATACCAAAGCAGCCGCGTAGGACGAAGCGTAAATACCGACGCACCGCGTGCATTCATTTCGGGCCTGATGAAGCCAACCAGCAGAAATACGTATCGCTCGGGTTACCTATCCTATTTTCTGCTCGAATCCACTTTTTGCGGATTTTGCCCATTATTTTCCTATTTTTGTTATATACCTTTCTCCGCATGATTATTTTCTCTTTATATATATATATATATATATATATATAGAACGGCTACATATCCAAATCGAACAACGTCGTCCCAAAATTAGAATACATTTCGAATTGCTATCGTGGTAATTGAAATTTCTCACTCACAATCTTTAATATAAACTCACGTAACCTATCTTTTCAAGTGTGTATCACTATCTCACATTCGTACACTCATATGAACTACACATTTTTCCAAAACAAATTAATTCATCATTTTAGTAATTTGGGTGGAGGTTTACCGAGCGTCCCTCGTATACTTCATACCCAAATTGGACAATGAGGTTTACAGTTCCACGTTCCGTTGTGTCAATCACTTGTCATCTGTCGACGCATTATCTTTCCGTTCCGTCCCCCTCTCCACGTGTAGCGGAAGTAGGAGGTTAGAGACTGCATTCCGATTGATTCCGAACTGTGAACTCCTAAGGATGCCAACCACTCTTGTTAGCGAAACGTCAAATAAAAATATTGCACGAAGGCCTAACTGCCCAAAAAGCAACGAAATAACCTAGCTTTATCCCAACAGCTGATGCGATGCCAGATCAAGTCCTCGATGATCCGGACTCCTAGGTAGACCTAGGCCATCCTGTATTGTATTAAAACGTCAAATAAAGTTATCATTTGCGCGCAAAGTGAACAGACATTAATTGAACGTACCTTATAGAGTAATACGATAAGTGTCAACAGCCAATTTTTCCTTATATGCGGTTCCAACTCCCACAGACTATACGCAGGCATGTGTAACTCCACGGTGTTGGGAATATAGTACGGTGATGGAGCATACTGCAGCAATATCAAGACAGTAGGCAACATGTGCTTCCCCATCAGATGATTTTGATCTAACAGCTGTGGTAGATTAGAAAGAAATACATTAAAGACAGTTGAAGATCGCAGTCTTTGCGGTGATAGATACAACCCTCTGTCGTTTTGACTATATCCTAATAGTAAGTAAAGGTGCTTTAGCACTATTGCTTGTGTTTTCGAAAGGCGCTTGTCTTCAGCTGGATAAGCTTGATCTGATCTAGACAGAAACTGCATCAGAAGGAAGACCAAAAGATGCATCGTCTCTTTGTCAACCTCTTCTAGGTCAACGATCTTTTGTAGGAACGATGTTAAGTTTTGGTCTTCGGTTACGTTTAACGAGTGCACGTGGCCATCTGAAAAAAATATTTTATCAATGGAGAATCGTATTAGGGATTACTAATACTGACCGATTCCGAAACGTGAGCTTTTCCTCTTTAGAATCGGGGCCGAATATTGCCGACTGTACACTTTCTCTTTGGACTCTGTAAAATAATACGATATATCATGTTATAATGAAAAATAACTGTAGAAATATCGGCAAAAAACTGGCCGTACAAAATTTGGGTAGGATTAAGCGGTTACTGCAAAATTGTAAGGTGAATCATCTTGTAACGCTTGCGTAACTAGAGCAATGGGAAACCTTCCTAACGTCAACGTTTAGGCAACCAGAGTTACGCCGCCGTGTATCAACAGCGGTATAGCTTACAGCCAGAATACGTGAGTGTTTGTGGCGACATCTGGAGCGTTCGAGACCTATCAAGAGGCATCTACTGCCATCGACAAGCAGCAATCGACATCTAGAGAACTTTAATAAAGCGCAGGATTGGCATTCCTCGTCGGAAGTTAAATAGCAGACAAGATGACGGAACCGGTCAGACACAGTCGAGTAGTTGACAGCGCAGGACATGCTATAGTCCAGTGGACATGGTTATACATTTGTCATTTCGTTATAATAAATGCTGCTAAGCATATTTGGGGAATTTGTCTTTTAGGCGTAGTTTTACCTTTAGTTTCGTGTCTAGCAATGATAGATGCAGGAGCTGACATTGTGCGTTTGTAAGGCCACTTGGTTCCAAAACTAGCGCTTAACGTTTTAATTGTACTGGTAGTACCATCAGACTGTAGTAGTGCTTCATGTGCCCTTTGAATCTTATGAATCAGTACTTCACTGTTTAAGTCGGAGTTCCGGAGATCTAAAATAGCAATATTGTTTTAAACAACACAAAAATATGGTCCAGAGAAATTTGTTGTATCAAACTCAAAAATTTCGCAAACTTGCAATGATCAAACTTTGTCTTTATATACAGGGTGTCCGCAAAGTTGGGGTTTTCCTTTGCACGACGTGTAGATCTTGAAAACATAAGCAATTTTTCTTAGTACCATATACACCAATGTCTTAAGGGAACCGAGATAAAGGGCTCTGCAACATCAAAAATATCTGAATACCGTCCTGTAGCCGCGAATCGCGACATCCCCGAGTGGTACTAGGACACTAGCTCAACCCGACGACAGAACTTTGTCGGGGTCAGTGTGTCAGGTCAGTATGCAACCTTCAACCGACGCTTACGGTCACGCGTGTAGAGGTAATCGCGTAGACGAGAATCCCTCAACAAGCACTAGAGACGTGGCTAGAGAAGTGCAAGTATCAAAAACTAAAGTGTGGCAAACGCTGCGTGAAGAGGGGCTGTATCCGTTTCACGTCCAACGTGTACAAGCCCTTCAACCTCAAAAAAAATCCTGACTTTTTGAAGTGCATATTGGTGACAGACGAATCTACGTTCACGCGTAATGGGGTGAATAACTTTCGCACCACTCATGTTTGGTCAGTAGAAAATCCGCACGCTGTCCGTCGGGCACATTGGACCATTTATTCTCCCATATCGATTGGACGGGATGCAATACCTAGACTTTTTACGCAACATTTTGCCTTCCTTGTTTGCCTGCGTCTGCTCGGTAGCGCATCAGCTGATTTCATTTTCTGTTGGAGCGGTATGATTTCGGGCAGAGACGTACTTAGCCCTTCTCGTCAACTAGAGAGTGAGTACTTTTTCCTTTATTTTTTTTTTACTTGGTCGCCCTCGTTTCACTACATATTACCTTTGTTATTTCAAAGGTACTTGTTTCTGAAAAGGAAAACCCCAACTTTGCGGACACCCTGTATAGAGTGCTCTTGGAATTGAGGCCTTGCCTTTATGCAGCAAATAATTCTCAAAGAAGAAAGAAAAGGACTCGCACAAAACATATGAGAAAAGTTCTCATTTGCCAACTATTTCTCAGAAACTGGCCATATGATTGCTTTCGTCCCATGAAAATTTTTGATCAGGAAACCGAAAAATATATCATACAAAATTTTTTGAAAAATCGACTGGGATCCATTTTCTATATGCTCTGTGAGAACACATACACCAGAGTCAATCTTTCAATTTTTTTCACTTTTCCGCTGCTGTATTAAAGCTTGTAAACATTGCCATAGACACGTAGTCTCGTTTTAAAAAGTCCCAATTTTCTATTAAATTGTTAGAAATGTTTTGTGTCTTATGGATTTTTTGTCACAATCGGCTTTTCTCTGGAAGAAAATTACTTACCCCTTAGGTAAGTTATATCCCCTGCCTTTTCCAAGGTGATTTGTGCTTCTATGAATAGCGTATCAAAACGATTAAGAAAGAAATCCCATGTGAAAATTTTTCTTTCGCTTAGAGAATTATGCAGTTGATATAAACACTGAAGTACCATTGGCCTATCTACTATTACCGTATCGAACTGAGTCTCCAGGCACATAATTAGCGACTGAAATATAATAAATAATATAATGCATATGGAAATTATCATCAATTAAAAAAATGGATTATATGTTGGCCCCTCTGATGAAAAACTTGACTACGAACATAAAATTAGATGGATCAAGTTGGTCAAACTGGCTCATACAATCAAAATTTGCATGGTTTTCTGCACTATAGGATTTCTTTAAACAGTTTTTAAAGCAATTTTTGGTGCAATGTTACCTTTACAGCTGAATCGTGGACTGTCCCCAAGTAGAGAGCAGCTCTTTGTGCGACATATACATTTTTATCATCCATACTTGAGATTAAATAGCATAAGGCATTTGCTAAGGCAGCCTGCAACTGAGGCAGATTCCGTAAGGGGCTAGAGTCAAGAAATCTGGTGATGACTGTAACGCGTTCGACGGCTGTGAATCTGACGCACCAATCTGTGTTGTGGAACTCCTCTTGGATCACTCGCCAAAATACGTCAAAACCCACTGGCAAAGTGATACAGTGAAGCAAAACAGGAACGACTACTTGACAGATTTGCGAATGTTCCGAATTGCATAGCTCCCATAAGCTGAAAACAAAATGTATACTTGGTGATTTTTCTGTCTAAATATTTTACCAGAAAAATCGTTGTTAAGGTGATTATCCCAAGAGCTGGCGACAAGTAACGTTCTACAAACTTTAGGCAGTTCAAAAATTGATTTTAGCTATATATATATATATATCGCCGTCAGCCCCTTAGGATGATAGACTTACTTTTTTATCAGCAAATTTTCCTGACACCAAATGAAAAACCCGCGATGTTCTTTGGAAGCTTTGGTACAAGCATCACCATGTAAGATGAGTATATTCAGTGACTGTAGCATGTAGTAGAGAATGTCAGACTTTTCCACTTTCGATAGTTCTTGTAACAGCTGGTATATGTATTGCATCGGGTAAGGCAGTTCCTCAACGGAATATCGGAATTTTCCTATCGATGTTTGCCAAAAGTTTTCAGTGTCGTCGCCTGAGTCTGACTCGATCACTTCGTCGTTACTCATCACTGGCGGAGTTTGTTTCGAGGATTGTGATGAGCCAGTCACTGAAACAATTAATGTGACATACAATTGTATACATTGTATACATTGTATACATTGTATACATTATATACATTGTATACCTTGTATACATTGTATACGTTGTATACATTGTATAGATTGTTTACGTTGTATACATTGTATACGTTGTATACATTGTAAGCATTGTATACATTGTATGCATTGTATAAATTGTATGCATTGTATACATTGTATAACATCGTATACATTGTATAACATCGTATACTTTGTATAACATTGTATACATTGTATAGATTGTATACATTGTATACATTGTATGCATTGTATACATTGTATACATTGTATGCATTGTATACATTGTATAACATCGTATACTTTGTATAACATTGTATAACATTGTATAACATTGTATAACATTGTATACATTGTATACATTGTATACATTGTATACATTGTATACATTGTACATTGTATACATTGTATACATTGTATAAATTGTATTCATTGTATACGATGCATAGATTGTATACGTATTCTTTACATTACATACGCATGGTATACATTCTCTTAGCATTGTCTACATCGTAAACGCCCATCACTGGTAACAGTTATAGTTTTTACTTTTTACTTACTCTGCGTTATTCTATCGAACTGTTATCATTTACCTGATTGTTTAATGCCTATATCCGATTCAGATAAGGTGATAGCTCTTGCTACAGCTGAAACGACTTTTTCAGCTGGTATTATAGCTGTTAAATCCAATTGCTCTGAAACTGTCTCAACTGTCGCAGTCATTATCTGTAGGCAGAAAAATGCGTGTGAAAATGTAAGATCCATATGATAGTCGATGGTATCCCACAAATCTGTTTCAAGTATTAACAATTGATAAAAAGAAAACATGAATAATAAAATAAAGATGTTGGTGCTTGATTGCTTGATTTTTTCAACCCGAAGTGCGGTTTTTGCTTAAAAAATAAAATTTCTAACATATATAAATCAGAGGGATTACTAACATAATAAGTGTGGTAGATACTATCGACTACCGCATTTGAGAGACAAAGTAATTTCTACACGAAGCGACTTTGCTGATATCGTAAATTTTCAGTTGTTGCATTAATTTTTGTATTTCCATAGCATCATTTTTGTATCTTTCTATAACCTCATCTGATTGGTCAAACATACTGCCAGGTTTACAATTTCCGTGGAATATGCTCTCATAAAGAGTATTAATGAAGTGTTTATCTGGCCGAACAAACACGCTGAGAACGCCTGCGATGCAGTCATATAATATGAAAAAAGCATATCCCATTTTCGAGATCACAATATTTCCTCGTCTGATAGGTGCGGGAAGTAAAATGATCCTCGTAAGTTAGTTTGGCCAGGTACTTCATTAACACTCCCGTTTACTTTCCGATTCGCCGCAAATATCTTGGATAAACAGCATAAGTCACTTGAGATTCTACTTAATCTTACTGTTACGTTACAGTGGCGGCTCATGGCTTAAGGAATGTGTAAGCTTGCTCTGTGAACATGTAATGATACAGTAAAATAGGTTGTGCCTTAGTAATGTCACAATTTCCTTATCTACGTCTACGTCTACTCACACTCAGAAGTTCATAAATGTCAACTTGCAACAGACATGCTTACAACAGTGACAGAGACGTGCTTCAAAGTTGAATCAGGCTGGGCTGAAGGCTAGTGATGCCAATAAAGGTGTAACTTTAGGGAAATGACACTGACAAAGGTAGCTCACATGGCTCCGCGTTTTTTGATATTTCCCTGCTTTTATATGCCTAATAGCGTAAAATGTATCAATACATCTATTTCTTAATTAACTGTTAATTGTGTTATTAAATATAATTTTCCGGAGAAAACCAGACAAACAAAATCCCTTACACATCTGGCAACGTCGTACTCCGCCTGCAAGACAGAACGATCGCGATACAAACGTGAACAATTCGATGAATCGTTGCGTTGCAGCGTTGCCAGATGTTTGCGAAAATTTAATTATTTACGACTCGCTTTCCTCGAAAACGATTGATTTTCGGACATAAGTTATAATGAAATTTTTTGCTTAGAATAATGCAAGGAATCACCTCTTAAAGTTACGAATATTATTTCCCTAATATATGCATTTTACAGTAAGATTTTTATGCGTCGATCGAATTGATAATGAGGCAGCAACCATTGTAGCCTCTACACCTAAAGTTTTTTTGCAGCAATTGAAAGAATACTCACTTTTGGGTAGCCTATGACACCTTTGTCAGGTCAGTGCCAGTCATTGGGAGTTTCTACCAAGTTAATTCACTAGCCGCCACTGGACTACTTTAGGGGTGGGAAATATCCTAGTATATTTTATCTATTTATTAGAAATTGAGTTGCAGTAACTGCCTTACTATTAACCCTAAGGTATGTTATTTGTTGGTTTGAAAATATTTTTGTATCATCTACCTGCCAATCAATTGTACTACGTAGAATTTTAGAAAAGGTGCCATATGAGAATAACATAGTTCACATATTTTGTATATACTTAAATTTGGGACTTGCCATTAAGTGCAGTTTAATAGTTGAAATTTTCTTGAACTTACGTTTGTAGTCGTCATATGACACCTTGTTACCAATTTTCACGTACCCAGCGATACTGAATTTAGTGTTTAAATGTCTAGAAATGTGACAGAAATCTACTTAGCCTACTTAAAAAAACATCTAGTTACACTGAGGCTTTAGTTAGGTAGTTATTTTAATTTTGTGCACTGTTGGTGGTCTGTTTGTGCGTTGTGTTTGGTTAGCTTTGTTCACATTTATTTTGGAATGCCGTTTTTAAAAATGAATGCTTGAGCACTTTTCACACTTAATATTGCTGGTAGGCGTATCATACTTTCTGAAGCCGAAAACCGTGACAATTTTTCCCAAAAAAAATGCAAACACAATAATAAAATAGATTACCTGTAGTCTCAGATAGGATGTGACAGTCTGTACAAAAACTCAAGTGGAATCGAAACTTTTCTACGGATTGTGTTTTTGCAAATATTACAAACTCAAAAAGGCGTAAGAAGTGTGTGATTTTCAAATTGCACTTACAAGAAAATGCAGTCAAGTAGACTGACTCAGTACCTCCCACTAAATGACTTGAATCTACAGTACTCGAAAAAATTTAGATCATTTCCCCTGAATGAAAATTTGTAATATGATATTACTACCAGCAATGTAGCTTTGCCAATTTTCAAACGCATTATAAAACAGTACTTGAATTGCTTAACCATTCTGCCAAATAGAGATATAAATATCGTTCTAGGAAAGATCCCACGTGTACTCAAAGCGAATTCATCTTCAAAACAAATATTTCCGTACAGAGCACACGTGTGGCATATGAACAAGAACTCCTCCTACTGAATGGACTTCCGGAATGGGCATGTTTAGGATAACGTCCTTCGTGTCTTTCTTTTCCGTTTCTGGTGGACTTTTCCTGCTGTAGGTGTCATCGCTGTTGTCATCCAGGAGTGGCTACAACAAAAAAATTAATATAAAAAATTTGGCCTCGAACATGTATAACAAAGGAAATACATAAATCACGGGTCCTATCCATAAAATAGAATCAACTATGTGACAGCTAAGCTGCATTTTTCTAGAACAATTCACTTAAATCTGTGAAACCAGTTTAATTAAATCAAAATGTAACCGTTTAATTAAATTTATTAAACCGCTTACTTAGATTGAATACACCAATTAATTTAAAATTATTGAACTAGTAAAATGAGCTTACGTGCTCCAGGTTAAACATTTAATTATATTTATTATGTTAAATTAAAAGTATTTCCCTAGTTTTAATAAATTATTTTGTTCAGATTTAATGGCACGAACGAGGGGCGGTGACGTGTCGAGCCCGCGATTCAAATAAACATTTTAACTGTTTTTATTAAAACGTTTGATTGTCTTTTCTACAGACACTAAATTACCTCGAGTAATTAAACAAAAAATTCAATTTAATTAAACCAAATAATTTAGTTACTTAGAGTAATTAAAACATTCATTACAGGTAATGAAAATTTTCTAGAAACACCAGGTTTTCTTAGTGCAGTTTTTGGTCGATTCTGGTAACAGATGGCACTTTGTGCTAACTTATTTCGAGAGCACTCTCCACACGAAAGCGACTGAGAGTGAAGGTAGTCCGGAATCCTTGTGCTTGAAATATAAATAATTTTTTGAGATGATGAATACTTACGTCTGGTGGATGAGCTGGATGTACTGGTAATAGAAATTTGATCAGTTGCAAGGCCAATTGGTGCCACATTATGCTCGATTCACAGCTGGGACATTCTGATTTGGATGTGCAAGAATGATTTCCTATGTATGCTGTTGTGATCATACATTTCAACAAGCAACATACGTCTTTGCACAGAGACGAACCTATTCCTGTATGTTTGTCTATCTGCTGCAGCTCCATTTGTTTCAACAGAATATCTAGCATCAGTATGCAGCAGAATAAGTTATGTTCTGCGTCGGTTTCGTACGTTACTTGGGCTACAGTCTTTTCTTCGTCTAGAATAATAATATTTATTCATATATACAAACAACATCCGAATATCTTCAATATTTAATAATATTTTTATCTTACTTAAATATTTGTTATCTTAAACAAATATTTACTTTTCAATCAATGGACAATATTAAAACTCCATTATTTAGAAAATATTCATTAAATATTTCAATGGGATAATGGAAAGCCGACCTGAGCCGACCCGTTTGCCGGCATCCATTTTGCCCGTGAGTTTCACTATGCTTCCTGTGTACCTCCAAGTGGTACATTATTTGAGCGTTTTTGTGGAAAAGGCTAAGTTTTGTGATAATAGCTAATTACTGACTTGTAAACATTATTGTGTCCAGTTGAGTATAAATGTATTTACAAGACCATAAATAAGTAGCATTGAAGTAATAGTTCTACTAATCTTAGGCAGTTCAAAATCGGCCATCAGCATAAAAAAAACTCACATATCGATCCTCTCTTTTGCTCTTGCCCAGTTGCGTTGAATACCTCTAGGTCTGTGAATGCAGTTTTCGTTTCTCCTGATTCCTCATTAGCACTACCTCCATCTTTCATACACGACACCCCTTCCCCAAATATGGAAAACAATAAATGTAGGGGGATAACGATTTCCAAAAGTGTCAATGTCTGCAAATAGAATATGAACCAGTCTCCTTTAGACGAAACTTTGTAGGGTCACTACTTTTAACGTATCAACCTACCTGCAACCAGTGCAGCGCTTGCTGCTGTATTTTCGCGCTTGTGTTTTGGAACCTGATCGCGACAAAATGATACATTTTCTTTGCATTGAATCCTAAAGGGCTCATCTCGGTATCCAGGATTTTGTTTAAAATTACCCTTAATTCGCCCAGTTCTCGTTCTGGCACATCGTTCACAATTGCTTCCATCCAATGCGGCATAATCGCGTCCCAAATCTCTTGGGATATGACCTCATAAGGAATCAGACAAAATAATCGGTGTAAGCCATCCTTTAGGTGTGTTATGCGCGACGAAAGCGTGTCCCTTAAAAATATATGTTGATAAAATGTTCCATTCATCCAGCATCCCTAATTGCACTTACACTTGCATGTATTCATACAGGGTGTAAACATTATTGAAATGGTTAATAGGGGCGTCAAAACAAGTCAAAAAGCTCTCATGACCCATGTCAATAAAAAATTTGTAGTCAGTAAGTTTCATTAAATTAAATATTTAAAACACACATGACAACAGCGCGTCGATCTTTCATCACTCTTATCGAACCGGCAATCGATCGCAAACGCTCAGTTAGAGATTTTTCAAAAAATGATTAGGATCCTCTAAAACCTGCGAACAATTTTTATCTAAATTGACAAAGCCCTGCCCAAAAGTTATAGACGGACCAAGGATGGACAGACAAACATTTTTGTCCGTAGGAAGTAAGAACAACAATTATTGTATACCGTACCACTGTCCACCAACTCTGGCGTACTCTGCAGGGTGAGGTAACAAACATGATATAAATAATTTGTAATGTGTGTTGATTATTTCATGTAACCAGTTGCATACAATTTCAGTTTTCAGCTTCTCCAGACTCCCTTCATCTTGGCCTGAAATATATACATTTATATGGATATTGCAACGCTTGACATGGATATCAAAATAACTTATTCTCTATATGTAATTGTTAAATAAATAATAATTGATATTACGATGAAAATCAACATTTATTTCTGTTCTTCATCCTACAAAAACGGACCTTTATTCAATTCATTATAACCTTTAGGATTTATTGCTAAATTGCATTCTTCAATTATTGCATTAATTTTCTCGGACTATTGTCGGTTTTTATTTTTTTACTCAAAAATGACGCATCGAAGGAAAATAATTCAGGAGAGATCATTTGTTTTAAATTGAACGGGAAATACAAAAATAATTTTTATTTGGCAAAAAACCATTGGCGTACAATTTTTTTTCTTAAGAAATATTGAAGCCAATACCCGTACGCGCGCCACTGTTAAAGCTAAAAATTATTTTTGCATGGAAAAATATGCAACTTTATTAACTTCCACTACGTACTAAATATCAGTGAAATATCTGAAGCGGTTCTGAAAATATTAATTAATTTCCATTTTTTTTTTCTAAAACTTCAACACCCCGAGTTTTTGTAAGGAAACATTTTTGGACCATAGTTTATGAAGCAAACTAACATTAATTTTTCATGTAGATTCACACCCGTAAATATTCGCATATCATTAAGGAACACCCTGTAGACAGTGTTCTTAAAGTTTTCTCTAAGTTATGCATTTCTTATGCATTGATCCAGATGATATCCATGTGTACATTACCGTTATACGAATATGCCGTTATATAAAACCAATGGAAAATCATCGCTAAAAGTCTTCCCAAGACATGTGTCGGTGCATTTTCCGTAGGGCTACATCTACCAACTAATAACCAAACTCCATATCGTCCTAGCAGCTGCCTTTCTTCTATCGAAATATTGTCTAAAGTTGGCACTGGGCTTCTTCTGTCTTTCGATTCCTTGCTATCCTTTATGTCTTTCGTATCCGAATCCTTTTTTTCATCTCGAGGGTCGCCCTGTGATATTTTGGCTTCTTTCAATAGGCTGCAATGTCATATAAAGAGGTATTGGAGCGATCGCGTCAAGTAGACCGACTCAGTACTTCCAACGCACTTACAGGTAACATCAGATAGTCTCGGAAAGCGATTGTATGGACATACCCTGGCAGCATGTAGCTGAGCGAGCTTCAGTCCGCTCGATGGCGCAGACCGGCTGTTACGCACAGGTATTAACATTTGATGTTAAATGTATTTACAGCATTGCAAAGAAAGCACGAGTCAGTCTCTATTTGGAGTATGTCACCTAATACTGATAGCTCACCTAACAATTGCACCGACCATGTAAGTTTGCATTTCTGGTTCCATAGACCAAGTGGGGGGTATGCATTTATGAACTATGTGATCCCCACCCCTCCTATTATTATGCCTGTTGTTATGGCATTGTTCGCAATACCTAATCGGGTGGTTCCCATTATAACTAGCGCACTCGGTAGAAAAACATATGGATATTGCTGATTTATCGTTCGACCGACAGTTCTGCAAAAGAAAACGATATGAACATTCTTACCTATTTTATCTGAATTATGGGAGCCTTTAATCTCAAGGTCAATGACCTTTAAGCTCAAAGTCAATGGTGACTTCAGAGTCCTTTGACCTTTGACTTAGGGTGAATGACCTTTAGTTTCAATGTCAACCGCATTTCAACAAAGTCCTAGTCCAGTACAGTTTCATATTATTGTATTAGTTTATTATTTTTATTTCGTAGAAATTGTTTATTTTTTGTGTATACTCGTATAATGACGTTTCATATCCTTGTAAAGTTTTAAATGTTCAAGAATTAAATAAATAAATGACCTCATTGGATACAACCTTTGAATAGAACATAAATACATGTAGTATCAGATTCTAACTATTCAATGTTCTTGAAAACGTTCTTTTGTTTAATCTGGCAACGCTGTGTCGAGTGACAACTGACAGTGAACGACAATAGCGAATCGTTGCCATCGACTTTAAAGCTTTAACATCCACGTACTGAAGATTCCCAAAACTATAGAAAAATAGGCCACGTTACGACAATCCTGCCGCTGGTAACCACGAGCCGACAACTCTCTGGGTGACGTCACGAAGCTCCTATCTTCAGTGTTTGTGTATCGTGGTTCGTAGTTATTGCAACGCTTAGGCGGCTGTCGCTTTTCCGCGCTGCATCTTTGTTTTGCCGGGGCGTAATTAGACTACGAATAGGGTATAGAGTATGTAAGTGCGTCTCTATCGTCTTTGAAATAATGTCAATCATACGAATACCTTGTTCTCACATATCATCGAAACCTGCTGCATAGGATGCAAAATATCAGAAAACACTTGGTTAGGATGTTCACGATGAATTTCGTTTGCGCATTCGATACAAAGATATAATGGAGGTGGTGTATCGCTGGCAAAGTTGATGGATATACAGTGGTCGTAGCAGACTTTGGCGGCCTCTGCATTGCCAGAATTCGGACACATATCACGTTGGCATACGAAAGGGGTTGGATCTGAAAAACAAACTGATGAGCCACATTGTACAATCCGGTGCAAAAATAACTGCACAATGTTATTCTGCTATCCGTTAAAAAATTTCATGATAAAAGTGGCCAAGGGAAATCTCACTTGGTACATTCACTTACCGGCAAATTTGCAAATAAGATTTTTCCTATCAAAGAGATTGGCGTTGAAGGTGGGCCAATAGTAAAACAGAAGCTTAGCGGCAGAGGAACGAGCCGTTGTTGTACCATACGCTATCACACACAAGACGTCTTTGAGAATATGTTTCTTTAGTGTCATCAGACATTCCAAAAGCTGGCAGTGATGAGCAGGATTTGTTGAGTATTGAAAGACCATCATTATTACAGCTGACACAGAATGACATATGTCTTGGCTGCTATCACTATGCCTAGCTACAAATAATATATGTGAATCAGTAATCCGTTGTATACTAAGTGACGTAGGAAAAAGAACTACGGTAATTACGAATGTATTCTCCTTGAGATATCTCATCCCAGAGTACTTGATGTCCCAGACATGTTCAATCGACTTGATTGTCTTAATAATAGACCAACATAATTCTGGCTATATGTGGTCGTTGATTATCTGAAAATATGTTAGCCTAGGAACCCGGGCATCGATCTTCCAGGCAGAGTTATATGCTATAGAACTGATATGGACAGGCTTTTTTCCTGAAAGTTTACCGGTCTCCAAAATCCTATCAACAAAAGATTTTTAAGAATAGGTATACTTACTTATTGCGAACGGTAGTATATAAAAACACAAACAATTCACTATGTCTTGATGAAGGGAGCTAGGTAAAACTGATATGGTAGATGCTGCTAAGTAAGATAAGTTATCAATCAAATCATGTTCCAAGAAGGGTAGAAGACATCCCAGACACTGAAGGAATGACTGACCAAATGCTGAAAAATGGAATGATTGGTAGAACTAATTCATTGAATAAAGGTTCACGTCCACAGGTCCGCATCGAACTCTTCGATGTATGCGAAACGCACCAATGGACGCGTACCCTTAAGAAACACACTTACCGTGTAACCCATAGGAAATTAAAGGAGCGACTTCTATAAGAGGGACAAGCGAGTTGTAGAGTCCTTTGTAGTCCAGACTAGGAAATAATCCCATACGGACGGAATCCATTTCCGGGTCTTTGAGGAGTTCGAAAGGGGAGTTTGGGACATCTTTGAGGACAGCTGAAAAAATGGCGTAAGTTGCAGGCATTGCTGTCATCAGTTAGAAGATTATGTTCGTCACAAGTTAAACCCTCTGGGAAGAAAGTTAGCTAAGAACATGCAGAAAAATTAAATGGACCAAGTCAGTCAAACATGTCCATACGATTATTCAATTTGCAACTATTCCTGCCTTACCGATAATACCGTTGAATTCACTCGACAGTGTGGCAGTGACAGAACTGATGGGGAGACTGTGACACCAGTCAACCCACAGGGAGAGGCGTATCGTAGATATTTATCATTCAATTTTTAAGGGAATTGGCAATTGGAGGCCCAGTTACCACGTGAAATCAGCAACTTGTAACTATACTACCGCCAAAAATTTGAGATATACCCTTGCCCAACCCCAACTACCAAGTTTCAACCTCTCCAAAAATGTTTAATGATTGGGCTTTAGAAGTTATGAGTTATGTAGGTGCGATTTTGTTTAATATACTTACTGAGGAGCGTTTGAGAGAAGTATTTGATTGTGTTTGCTATGTCAACTCCAGATGGAGGGGGCATAACGCCCTGCATGAGCCGTAGTTGGTAGTCATAGAGACTGCGGATTTTGGCTGTAACTGAAGAAAATTAATTTTCAGTTAATTATTTGTTAATATTACAATAGATCTTCAGGTAAAACTCTTGTATGTCACTATTATTTCGTTACATTGTTAAGATATCAAACATGTGTTGCATATGATGGATTTGCTCTTTCCTCAACGCTTAGTTAAAGCAGTAAAACGTTATTTGGATGTACTCTTAAAGACGTAGTGGTAGTAAATAGTTTTACTGAATGCCTGAAGTAAAATGATAAAAAATACCGAAAAACAAATTTGCAAACTTAAGATGATAATTTTGAAATTTTTTATAAGAAGCTGCGTTTTTTGGGGCGTATTGACATGCCGTTGAGAAACTAAACATTTGATGGCGCACCGATAGACGTCAAAGCGACTTTGTATTTGGTTTTATACGACATACGATGACGCCCTATAATGACGTCAATTGAGTATGACATTAGACCGTCATAATGACGTCATTTCTACGTCAGTTTTGTTGCTCGGCGTACGTCAGTAGTGCCCTAAAAATGCCGACATTTTGACGTCACTATGTTCACCAGGGAAAGTCGTAACTTCCAGGACACTCTTATGAAAATTGCAAAAAGTAATTTCCCAGAAATCTGTTAATAAATGAGTTTCTTATTGGGAATAAAAACGTTTTACCTCTTTATCTAAGCATTAAGGCGACTATGGAGAATTTGATGCAATCCATAACATTTTTGATCCTTCTCGCTTTGGAATGGTATCACATGAACATCAGTATAAACGTTATATGGATTACATCTTTTACGTAATATTTTAATCCAGATCGAAATGTTTAAACAACAAAAAGCTTTGACTACAATTTCAGTACTCAATGTGTTTTTATCAAGTCATGGTGACAAGAGATTCAGCAGATTATGGATAGATTCGATGAATATTTCATCTCTTCTAGTGAAAATGTATCATCAAAGTCGATGACGATTATTCAGAATAAGGTATGTAAGGCATTGGCCAGAAATCCAGTATCTTCTGTCAAGCTAAAAAATAACTAAGATAAACTTAGTCTAAAACGATCCTAAAATTCGTTAGGGTAGCAATAAAAAGATCAAAACTCTGGACTCTAGAAGTCACTCCAGAATGTTTTGATTTTGTGAATATTATTTATTATTTTTTCGCATAATTTCTGCTGATCAATCTTTTTTTTTTTTGAATACTGAAATTCAGTTATTTGTATGGGATTAATGGCCACTTCCACAAACATTTTTATAAACACAATCTTCCTCGCACAACAGAAAAGTATATTACTATACTTTCTTCAGTGTCATCGTAGTCTAGTTCGACTCTTTTAAGGCCTAAAAAAATTAAGACACCCTTGTGGAAGCAGCCAATCTCATTGCTGTACATATAATCACGTTGCTTTCCATGAATAAGCTATGTGTGATATGTTCATATCGAACGGGTTTGTTACATGGAATGATAAAAGCTAAACATCGATGGATAATAATTTAATTTTTGATTGGTCAGATTAAATGACGGTTTATACTAATCGGTGCATAGAAACAGAGTTTGTTTGTTCTGGATGTCGTACCATGTTTCTGAACCTTGCAATATTAATAATACATTATTTTCATCATTGGCTCATCTAATTTGATTAGTCTTTGAAATATGGCGTATCTGGCGTCTGGCAACGCTAATTGAATGCAAATGAAAGCTAGGGTAATCAAATATTCGATAAACAGATAACTGGATAGTACGAGGTCTGTAAATCAAGCGATGAGACTGGCAATGTAGCGTTCGATCTGGCAAAACTGGAGGCGCCCTGCTTGGAGCAGAGACAGAGGAAAATGTGATCCACCTTCGGTACACGTTTGAACTCGCTCGAGTCGTTTGGTTCAGACAAAAAGTCTTGCTAAACAGGCCTATGGAGATGTTTTGTCAAGAGCCCATGAAACTATTGATAGAATCCGGGATCTTGTACGTTTAGATCGTCGGCTGACAGTAAGACTAATCGGGGAAGGTCAAATTTAACTCACACCACCGTTTAACAGATAAAGAACAACTGGATGTTGCATCACGTCACCCTGCAATGTGAATAAACGAGCTTTTGGCCAGTAAAACATTCTTGTGGCTACTCAGCCTCCTTACTAGCCTGACTTGAGTCCTTGTGACTTTTTTGTCGCTCCGAAGTTCCAGCACTGTCATGAGGAGTCAAATAACCGTGTCCAGCGCTGTGTGGCTTCTGAAGGAATATTTTGAGGGTGACAAAATAACATTGTAATTATTTTTGAACGAAAAAATTGAAAACAAAATCAGTCTTATCACTTAATTTGCAGACCTCGTATATTCAATGAAATAAATTATGGTAGGTAATAACATCCAGAAATATGGTGCAATGTCCAGAAAACGTAATATCCAAACATATCGTGCTTTTTCAGCATTTTCAGTTTTGAATGGTTTTTTGATAGTGAATATAGCTTTGTATGTTGTTTGAAAATAATGTATCTCTCTACACCTTATCAATAAAATTCTAAAGCCCTATTACAGACTGAATTTAGAATGTATGTTTTGACTTCGATAATAAAAAAAGGTATGTAGATAAGTTGAAAGGAAAACAGTACAGATTAACAGAATATATGAAAATGCTTCTCAAGTTGTATCAGTGACAAGAGTGAAATACACCGACTAGGATATCACTCATAGCATTCAACACTCAACAGATGAGCTAGACCCAAATTTACCTTTATCTAGTGGTATATGTTCTTAGCATTATAGAAAATGGCGTACTCTGCAATAGCCAAGAATATTGTTTAATACGTGTTCAAAAGAAAAGCCTTTAAAGCGTTTTGAACATAATATATATAGACGATAAAAAAGTTGAAGCATGTAACACTATCTGAACAGCTATGATGTCTTTGAGATAGTATTATTATTCTGTAAATTTGGATCTGTTGAACACCAAAAAAGGAACATACCAGAGATAAAGATGGTTACAATCTGAGACTCAGGTCGCTTTCAAATCAGATTTTCCCACATTTTTTTTAAAACATAAGCCATGTAGCCTTTCCAATCATAGCTTTAGAAACAAATGAATTTCACAGCCCCCTGTACCTCTGCCAGTATTTCAGGACTGATGCTTATAGTATATCCGAAAAAACTGTTGCTTTTATTAAAATGAGTGATCAATCACTCTGTACCGTGAATACTAAAGAGAAGGACTAATTGAACAGCTTAGAATAAGAGGATTAGGACTGTAGTTTAATCTCATAATTCAATTACCACTGAAACAATTGCAGTGGAAAATAGAAAGCGAATGAATTGTTATTCAAATTGTTCAAGGGGGTATTTGAAACATGGACGTATAAAATGGGTACACCAATTTTTGGCAAATTTGTTTGTAAGAAAAAACACAATAAGTGTTTTTTTGCATAAAAATATGGGGTTGTCCAGGAAAGTAAACGCATATTAAAACAAGAAAGATTGATATTCAAATCAAGTTGGGTACTTTATTTTGAAGGTTCATTTATACCATTTATGTATGAAAAATAATATCGTTCAAATGTTCACCACGACTGGATTTACAGACGTCCACGCGATGGTCGAAATTTTCAATGACATTTTGAAACATGGTCGGTTCTATGGCATTTATCTCGGCAATGATGTTGTTTTTGAGTTCTTGGGGGGTGGTTGGTTTGTTGACGTAGACTTTGCTTTTCAAATATCCCCATAAAAAGAAGTCCAAGGGAGTCAAATCGCACGATCTTGGTGGCCATGGCACATTTCCTCTGCGCGAAATCACGCGATCACCGAAGAAGGACTGCGATCGATGGATATTGACGTTGGTTGTGTGGCATGTTGCACCGTCTTGTTGGAAATAAACATCGTCCATATCCATTCCTTCAAGTTGCGGCAAAAAATAGTCCTCTATCATCACGTGATATCGCTCAGAATTGACGGTAACGGCGTCCCCGGCCGCATTTTCGAAAAAGTAAGGTCCGATGATGCCTTTTGACCACAATGCACACCACACAGTCACTTTTTGAGGATGCATCGGCTGCTCTTGATACTCACGGGGATTTTCGTTCGCCCAGATGCGGCAGTTTTGCTTGTTTACCGTCCCATTCAAAGTGAAATGCGCTTCGTCGCTGAACATGATTTTTTATGAAAAATTGGCATCAATTTGGCGGTGTTCAAGGAGCCAATCTGAGAACGTTCGGCGCGAAAAATGGTCGGCCCGACGCAGCTCTTGCGTCAATTGGATCTTGTAGGCGTGTACATTCAAATCCTTGTGGAGAATGCGGAGCAAACTGGTTCTCGAAATGCCCAATTCTTGGGATCGACGCGTTGTTGATTGTTTCGGATCGTCTCTCACACTCTCCTTCACAACAGTACTATTTTCCGGTGTGCGAATGCTCCTTGGCCGGCAGATTTGCCACAGAACCTGTTGCCTCGAATTTACGCACCCGACGACCGATGGTTGTTTCGTTTGGGCGGTTGTTGCGACCGAAATGTTCACGAAGCGCGCGAAACGTGTTTTTTATTTTTGCATCATTTTTGTAGTGCTCTTGAATAACTTTAACGCGGTCTTCAATCGAATACGACTCCATAGCGATCAATGGTAAACATTCAACTAACAAAATGACATGTCGGTGACAGGAGACAAAGACGGCGTCTATGTCAAATTGACGTTTACTTTCCTGCGTCCCTATTGCACAACCCTTTAATATTCATCTTTCGAAATGGTTTGTGATCCTTATTGGCGGGGTAAACTCGGGTATTTTACTATAAAATTCACTTTGAACGAACCTTGTATATTGTTCAATACAATAGTAGTGATGGCCGGAAAACAGGTGTTTTGGAATTAGAAATTCCCAATAGCTACTTGTGGTTTTCGTATTTGGAAGTTTTCAAATGAGCACCCTGTATGTATATTTTAAACAGAGAGCGGATGAAGGTACTGGGGCGGTTTAAAGCGTGCCTATAGTGAATTCACAGTGGATTGTAAATCTGCTTTGAAAGCAGCTTGGCCGTGAAGTAAATGAGATATCTTACATGCAGCAGCCCTTGTACCCATGTTGACAATGCAGTCACAATAATCAAACGCAAGGGATACACTGAGGTCACATTGTCTAAAACGTGCGGGGATCTTCAACATTGGGGTCAGCTCCGATACCGTTATCCCATTACAGATCAATAGTGGTAGGAAATAAAGGACAACTGAAAGATTCTACAAGAACAGAGGCATGAACACGTGACAATGAGGTGTGCTATAAATATAATGACTGTTTACAATTGTGGCGTAGCTTTTAAAACCTCCACTCAAATACATACGAGGTCTGTAATTTAAACAAAGAGACTTCATCTGGTCGTTTGAATATTTTCGACTGTCCCAAAACGGGTTTGATTGAGGTGATTTTTCAACTCCAGCAAGACAAAAAAGTCACAAGGACTCTAATCAGGCGCATAAGGAGGCTGAGGCGCCACACGTTTATTGACATTGCTGTGAGAGGAAGCATTGGCACCAGATTCTGTCGATATATTTGTCGGTTCTTGGTGGAAGTCAAGGCCTACCGAAAAACCTGGGCTCTTGACAAAACTCTCTGTAGGCTTGCTGAAGTTTAGCAAAAGTTTTTGATGCACCGTGAGCGAGTTCAAACTTGTAGTGAAGGCGGATCACATGTTTCCCCCTCCCCACTCCAAGCCCGGCGCGACCAGTGTTGCCAGATCGAACCCTGCGATCTCATCACCTAATTTATAGACCTCGTATGTGGTTGTTTCTTTGATCCATCTGTCTGATAAAACAACTACAGATGGTAACTTTACTGACATTTCGGCTACCGCTACAGCGGTACAAGAGATCTAGATCGCCGGTGCCAAAGGGTCCCGAGACTGCCCATTAGAAACAGTCGGACATCCGTCCTCTGGACAGCACAGGCGCGGATTCAGGGAATGAGGAAAGAGAAAAAAGAAGAGAAAGAGGAAAGAGAATAGGAGGCCAGTTCTTATCAGTTAGTTTTCGGTTCATACTACTAGCATTGGCCTCTAAGCAGAAGGACGCAGTAAATAGTCACTATATTTCCATGAGACACCTCATAACAAAGATTCGTCTAAATCAAATACAGTGCCACGCGATTTAATTTAACAAACTACTGTTTTACTTACACTGCATGTTTTGAACGGAACAACACATTTTAATGATATTCGCAGCTGTCGAATACATTTTGTCTTTGTAAGGCACACTTGATCGATCTGTCTAGTCTCCTCGCGTGTTCGTTTTTAGCTCACAATCAGCTGCTCTCAGTGACAGAGATCAAGATATCTCGGTTTCACTAATTACAAACTAACATTAGAGTGGCTGGAAAATTTTTGTTTGACATATCGACAGCACGTTAACGGAAATACTTCGGTGGTCAATACATGCTGAAAACACCCCATGAAAATCAATAGAGCGCTCCAACAATAGGGTACAACACATGTAAGGGTGCGATTGTTGAGTTCATTTTAAGAAAAAAACTTGAGATGAAGACATGCCCTTAAATGTACCACCATTTTGTACTAGGTGAAGGTATTGACTTTATATTCTAGGGTTATAAAGTACTCGTCAGGAGCTTCAACATGATGTGCCACAAGATCCCCGTTTTAATATAATTTTTTTCCAAGGCCATCTTGACATTTTCATCTGTCAATTTTACTCTAAAGTATGATATCCATGCATCAATTTCATTACCTCAAGTTTTAATTTTTTGAATTGATTCGTTCAAAAAATCAAAGGAGAGGGGGACATTAAAGAAAACCACTGTATACCAAAGCTTTAATATAACCGAGATATTAGGCTCCAAAAAGCAATAATTGGATCAGTACAACCCTGCCACCCTCCCCTCCCATGATCCCCCTCCTACGTCAAAATGTATGTACTCAGTATCCAAACTTGGCGTCGCCTGGTGTCTAGGTTAACCTAGTTAATGAAAAAAACCGCATCTGAAAAACCGGAATTGGCACATTTCTATAGCAATAACGTAGTTATCTATATATAGCATGTTCAAGATTACATTGATACTCTGCGAGTGTGTCCAAACGTCGCCGTCGTCCTCGATGTTTCTTTGCATCAGAGCTGCGTATGTTTGTTTATATCGTGAAAAGCGTCTGGGTTGAACACTCGTATTTACAAACAAAACATGTGACAAGGTCTTTACCAAATGAACCCAAGAATCGCGCCCTCGTTTATTTAATCCTACTCTTCAAACACATTGTAGATAAACATAGTTTGCAGTGCGTGGATGAAGCAGAAGAGGCAACGTCATGGGCGCCCGCAAGGGGTGCTAGGGGGGCGGTCATGACTCCCTCCCCCGAGAATCTGGTTGGATTAAAAAAGTTTTAAGAGACGATCTCCCCTTTGAGAGACATTTCTGCGGACGCCCTTGGTGCACAGGCCACCCATTGCTTTCAAACCGTACTAATTCCCAGAACCAAGCTTCTCAGCAAATACTAAGATAGCGTTTTCCATCTTCAGTTTGTTTCCTTCCAGAGAGACCCCAACACAGGCTGTTGGTGATTTTAAGAAGACCAATTCCAGGGTATCAAGTGCTTTGGACTGTGTCCACATGCCTCTCTCTTAATTTATCAAGAAGGCGATGGCCCTACACCCATTTGTTTTCGGGTTTCCGCACTATCTAATAAATATGTTTATCCAAAAATAATTTCAAGGAGTGTTTTTCACAAGCAATATTGCATTTCCATCAACAAATGTCAAATAAAAATATTATCGCCGCCACTGTTTTGTACAGGATGATTCCAGAAAGGGTTGCAATATTTCCAGGACAGAAAGTATATCAAAAAATGACACAATAGTCCCTATAAACTCAGGTCAGAAATACAGGATGTTCAAGTTACAACTAAGAAAAAATATATTTCTGGTGTGGATAAGGGTATTAATTGTAAATTGAAAAACAAGCTGTGTGTTCCAAATCCGACTATCATGACTGGGATCTCGGAAATTATGAGACATACGAAGACGCTTAAATCGGGACAAAGTTGCACAAATAAGTAAAATTAAAAAAATCGTAACTATTTTTTCCCTTAAATCAATTTCCACAGTAAAGATTTTCACTTTTTCTTTCTACCAGAGGTGTAAATAATTAGAATTTCAATATGACGTTTCGTCTCTTGTCCTCAATCATCAGCTTAATTTTTTCTTACGGACTGTTTCCGAGATCCCAACAGTGATTTTTAGTAAAGCTTTTGACTTTACATGAATTGCCTCCCTTGAGCAATTTTAAGGAAAACTGATCATATTAGATTGAAACACGTTAGGCGGCAGCGGTGGCCGCAGTGATAGACTCTGCGGTCTGCTGATCAGTCGCCGTGCGCTGCGCGGGTTCGAATCCCGTCCCAAGAGAACTTTTCTCTTGCCTATAGATGTTGTGATTGCCCGCAGGTGGTGGACGGTCTCTGACTGTCGAACGCGGAGGTACCACCCGGCGGATCACATAGGCATGCACACGTGTGACGTTCCCCCTTTACCCCTGTTTCCCCCTATAGCACAACGGTACCTCATGGGTGTTTAGGCCTTAGGCCTTCGTGGTAGTTGGAGTGTAAAAAAAAGTATGCTAGAGAAGTAATGGTACACCCAGTATTTAGGAAAGGGACATTTCAGGGCAAAGGTTCATAGGGACTTTTTTTGTCAGACTTTCTGCCGTGAGAGAATTGCCATCGTTTTTTAATCATCTTGTATATGGATATACAGAGGGTAGCATATGGAGATTGTGGATATTTGATTGTAAAAAGCAACAAATAATCTAAGGAGATTTGCCAATATTAACGCCAAACTGTTTTCAACTTTCAAAATTTTATGAAAAATCTTCCCCTACTTATTTTGTGAACCGGTGAAGTTAACATGCTTAAACTTAGGATGACGAATTTGATTCATAAGTACCATATGTTCGCGAGCAGTGGCAGTTGAGACGTGACCCCCCCCCATTCCATTTGAAGAAATCTTCTAAGATGCCGCCCAGCCGTTATCTCGAACATTTCATCTGCCACTTTTAGGCTAAAATGAGGCATCAATTTCATTACCCGGAATTTCAGCCTGCTAACTTGATCCGTTCAAAAAATAAGTAGAGTGTGGCTTTTTGGAAACTACTACATACGAGGAGGTACCCAAAAATAACCGGAATAGCGTTGCAGTGGACGTAGCTTGTCTAGTACACATTTCTGCCCCTAGAGGCGTATACCGAGTTGTTTCGTTCCTATGTATTCATTATTTTTGCTAGAGCTGTTTCGTGCTTGTTTCGTTTTTTCAGTGAGCAACGTGCAGCTGTGAAATTTTGCTTTCTAATTCGTAAAAATGCTGCTGAAACTGTTTTAATGCTGAAAATAGCTTACAAAGATGATGCTATAGGAAAAACTCAGGTGTACGAGTGGTTTGCTCGATTTAAAAATGGCGACATGTCGATTGATGACAAACTTCGCTATGGACGTTTGTAGGTTTTAAGACGATTGCGAAACAGTATTCGGTAAAAAAGACCCGATTTGTGACAGTCAGGAGACTGGTTCTTCCCCACGATAATGCACCTGCGCACACAGCCATCTCTGTTCGACAGTTTCTGGCTAAAAATGGCATGGTTCCGCTCTTTATTAGTGGAAGCACCGTTGGGGCAAGCGTATTAATTGTAGTGGACCGTATTTTGAAGGAGATAAGGTGAAAAAGTCGAAAATAAATAGCTTTTAAAAAGTAATTTCGGTTTTTTTTTTGTTGGTACCCCCTCGTACAATACAAAAAACTGAGAACTAAGCTGGACAAATAAAACCAAAACACCATCCATGATGGTTAAAGTTTTATATTTTGATTATACTCTAACCTTATCCTTGATAAATTGTTGCATTGTTTTCCATCCAAATTATTCATTCTCATTTCTTGACCACAACTGTATGTTCGTATGTTTTGCCAGTATCACCAGGATTACAGAAATAATTGTATAGATATTTTACTACGGAATTGAGTCCTCGTACCGTGTTGTTTTATTTCCATAAGCAAAACTTAAAAGACATCCCTCGAATTTCATTTAATTTCACAAATATCCAAGTTACAAACCAGAAGTTTCATATCGGCCAGCCTGTAATATGTAATGAGATGAATGCGTGTGAGTGCAATATTGTTTTATTAATAAAGATAAATAGACAAATAATTGTTAAAACTTGATCCCAATCACAATCAACGAAAATAAAAAATATCGAATTTTGTTATTGTTACAATATTTGAAAGTTCAGTCAATAAAATGCAATTTGTTGTTTTAAATTCCAAATCTAAATTTAAGCTAATTAAACTTGATAGCTGTCACATAGTTATTAAGTTGATTTTCAATTCGAGTTTTTTAATTAATTTTTTTCTCAGCAATGTTCACTTCCATATTATTTTGCTGCCTATTCAAAAGCTTTTACGTGAAAATGAAGTGTTTGTTTTGAATGTCTCTAAAATATCTTTACTATGTTTGCTATTCCACCACTAATGAAACGATTTTCAAAGCTTGGGTAGCACTATAAATATCTAAATTTAACTCGTCAATAGTCACCCTTCTCAGGATATAGGGTAATTTAAACGATACTGCATTCATTCCCGTTTGTTTACTGGTCAAATCGCAACTTCCTGTGAAAAGCCATTACCGATACGATGTCCCGAAGCCTATTCAATTTTGGACATGCAATTTAAATCGGTCTATACGAATTTCTCCCAAAATGAAGTTTAGAGACTCGCAGGATTTTTAGTACAGGATCTAGTCAAGATGTTGATCTACAATGTTTTCCTACTTAGAAATGTTTAAAAACACTAAAAAAATAGATGCTATCTGACAACCTAAGAACTTTTACGACATAGATAATGAAACGTTCAAAGCACGTTGAAATATGAAAATTTAACATGCCTTATTTCGATACAAAAATTGTTGTTGTGACGGGTATTGACTTCGATATTTTTTAAGACAAAAATGGTACGCCAATGGTTTCTTGCCAAATAAAAATTCGATATTTTTGGTTTCCCTGTTCAATTTAAAACAAATGATCTCTCTTGAATTGTTTTCCTTCGATGTCCCATTTTTGAATAAAAAAATAAAAACCGTTCTATTTGCAAAATTATTATTAATTTAATTGGAAAAATTCAACACATAGAACGGTTTTTATTTTTTTACTCAAAAATGGCGCATCGAAGGAAAACAATTTAAGAGAGATCATTTGTTTTAAATTGAACAGGGAATTCAAAAATATTTTTATATGGCAAAAAACCATTGGCGTACCATTTTTTTCTTAGAAAATATCGAAGTCAATACCGGCACGCACGTCACTGTTAAAGTTAAACATGATTTTTGCATTAAAAAATATGCAACTTTATTAACTTTCACTACGTACTAAATATCAGTGAAATATCTGAAGCGGTTCTGAAAATATTGATATTAATTTACATTTTTTTTTCCTAAAACTTCAACACCCCGAACTTTTGTCAGGAAACGTTTTTGGGTCATAAGTAAACTAACATAAATTTTTCATTTAGATTCACACCCTTAAATATTGGCATATCATCAAGAAACACCCTGTATAATTTTAGAATAGTGCTTTATAGATTATTAATCTAGGAAAATTAGTGTGTCTATGAACCAGATTCTTAAGACGTTTTTTCAATTAGTTATTCCCAATTTGATTTTGGTAAATACTATTAACGATCCATGCCGATGTTACCTGGAATCGTTACATCGAATTTCACTTCTCAGATTTTTATTCTTAAACAATGAATAAGGTCATAATTAAGAATTTTTTAAGAGCTAGTCTTCGTTTACCTCAATTCTGTTGTAAATTCCGTCTATACAATTATTGCAGAAAGGTCTGCTTTTGGATAATAATACTGGCCTATGGTTCTGCTAGATTAATCGTACAGCTGTCTATGAGCAGTATATGAAACATCTAACATCACTCTCGAAATCACTACGATTAACATCAAATAGCTTCTAACTAGATCTTCCGGTTGCAAAGTATGACATTCAACATAAAATCTCTAGATTTAAAACACGTTGACCCCCCCGCCAACAAAATATAAGACAAAGGTGAAATCACAACGATTAGTGCAAAATAAAGAAAAACATCGATATGCCTTGCCACACAACTTACACCAAAATTTACTCAAAAATTCACTAATAATTTTGTGTGCACTTTTTGGACCGGTCAGACGCGAAACGTACGGCACACGGATTTCGTCAAATTTCTGGGAAAAATTCTGATCCTTCCTATGAATGAAAACGAGGAAGAAAGGCGATGACTTGCGCACCAGCTGTCGACAAAAGGGTGTTCCCAGTGGCGCACCCACGCAAGCCTTCCACCACTTTGTGGACAAACCGTGCATAGAGGGGGGTGCCCAAATATATACCTTCATTTTGTTTTCTTTCAATTCCTTTTTAGCATTTCTGATCATTTTCAGAAAATCAGGGGTTGGTGGTTGTGTGGGGTGGACAAAGGTATCTTATTTTGTTGGCGGCAGTGTATACGCTTCCAACCCCAGGAATTTTACGCACGTATCAGTACATATTTCACAGAGAGAGAGCATAGGAAACACTATGCTATGGCGCGGCAGAAATACGTGTAATAAGTTAATGACTAATGTATCGAGAAGTCTATGATGTGTGAAAGGTTAGGGATAGTAGTACTATTGACATTAAAAAGTTGTAAAGTTGTTTTCAATGATGATCAGGATGCTCTGAAAACTCGAAAAACGAAGCTTGAGCGACTTTTATTTTTCTCTTTTTTGGCCTTTGTCTCGGTCATCACTTCACCGATTTTCAAAAACTTTCACGGCCTTGGCATAGTAGTATCATTGTGTAAAAATTTGGTCGAAATCCGAGCAGTACTTCAGCGGACAAACCGACAGACAAAATGACATGGTGTGGTGTGGAAACGTCGCTGGAACCTTTGGACGATGGGCTAAACGGAGTAATATTCTTCAGTGTGCTGCAATGTGTTTCCATAGGATATTAGAATCTCGTCTTTCACCTCGTCGCCTTCATAGCCTTGCATGGCCATCATGCATCCCCAAGCAGAATCTGGGTCCATCACTAAATACAATGGTATTCCATTCAAGGTCCACAACAGGTCTGTTGTGTGGTCGGTGATCTATCAGTGACTGTATCTGGGATCCGGCCGTGTGAATTCCGTCTATAGCGGAATGGACGGAATTTGTGTGGCGGGATCTTGGACACGATCAGTGACAGGTTGGTGACAGCTTGACGAACAGGGCTTAGAGGTGAGAGGTAAGAAAGACCAGTTTATCGAAATGGTTGAAAAGGTGATCGTTTTTTGTCCTAGATATACCTAGAAAATCTGTGTAATAAATTAATCATAACTGAGCGTTATTTTTTCCATATCACTTAGTATATTAACAAACGAGAATATGAACAAAATTCAGGAGGAAAATTTCTCTCATGCCTGTGGGGTTTAGCATCGTCTAATTGATTGTTGCGCGTATACCCCGAGTTTCGCAAAAACAACGCCACTGCGTTAGTTTCTGTTGATGCCCTAATCAGGCATGTGTCTGGTCCATTTATTCAGTTCCAGTTTCCGAGGTTGAAAACCCGCCTCCGTTGCTTGCGCTGCGTCCGGGAAAATCAATATCAACTGTTCGCCTCCATTCCCGGCTCCAGAGTACAAGGAAACATGGATAGTAATATGGAAAATCGTAAGGATTTAACTAAGCCGTAGTTTTAGTTTCTCTCCAAGCATGGTTATATTCTGTAGGTGACGATTTTGAAATTTTTATTAAATTTGTTGCCTTCCCCGGGCAGGGAGATCTCCAGTTTGGCGGGTTTTTGACATCCTGGAGGTGCTGTCAAAGCTTATTGAGTTAAAGTCGTAATTTGAGAATGGTCATTAAGAATCGTGAGAATAGTTATTGTTAAAGCATTCGTTTTATGTAATTTTTGAATGGTAAAAAACGTTAAAAGGACATGTCTCGTTTTTACATTTTACGCCATTGGCGAGGAAGTATTGTAATAGCGTTAAAATGGCAGTTAAAATAATAAAGATAGCTAACCTATTTTTAACACGCTTTTATTAGCTTGGCCTGTATGTTTGTAACGGATACTTTGAGTATAATTTTCACCCATTTCCAGAAGTTTGATTAATCTGAAACTTCGCACACGTGTCAAGGACCGATGACAATGGAATAATTTGATAACAGTTTTCCATTATCCCTATTCATAAGTGAAATTCTGAAAAAATAGATAATAATTTTTAATTACAAAGAGTTTATATTGTAATATATACAGGGTGACTTCGAAGTTGAGTCATTTATTTTAACAGTGAGTAGATCTGATCAAAAGAAATATTTTTTTCCTTTAACATTTTTCTGGTAAAATTAAAGTAACAAAGTTATAGCACTTTAGAAGTTTGAGTACCCCCCTGTCTCAATAATAATATTATGTGCTCGTGTTTGGCGACAACGGATATAATTCGCCTTATCGGTTCATCGCATCGGAAACAAAAAAGCGAAAGAATTTGAAACGCTTATCACGATGTTTTTACTACAATTTCATTCAGTTGTATTCAGTCAATGTGTCAGTCTCTACAAAATGCTGCCGCGGCATCACGGATTTATGCGGATCGGTTTCCCAATCGAGTGCAACCACCCCTCGTGCCTTTGTTAATGTAGTACAAAGGGCTCGTGAATCAGGTGACTTAAGACCTCACAGGGGAGGGCATGCCGGTGCTCCAAGACCGCACGATCAAATACAGGTCCGCACTGAAATACTTGTCGAGAGGATACTTTATAAAATAAGAAAACATTTCTTTTTTATTTTTTTTTTATTTTTACACACTTATTTTAGTTTATCTTCCTTCTACAATCATTATCTGAAAATTAATGACTTCAAAGTCACCCTGTATATACAGGGTGACTTCGAAATTGAGTCATTTATTTTAACAGTGAGTAGATCTGATCAAAAGAAATGTTTTTTCCTTTACCATTTTTCTGGTAAAATTAAAGTAACAAAGTTATAGCCCTTTGGAAGTTTGAGTACCGCCCTGTCTCAATAATAATATTATGTGCTCGTGTTTGGCAACAACGGATATAATCCGCCTTATCGGTTCATCGCAACGGAAACAAAAAAGCGAAAGAATTTGGAACGATGTTTTTACAATTATTTTATTCAGTTGTATACAGTCAGTATCAGTCGGTAACGTGTGAGTGAATAGTGGTGTCTGTTGCGTGGCTCAAACGAAATAAAAAATGGCACATGTTTATGCGGATCGGTTTCCCAATCGAGTGCAACCAACCCCTCGTAACCTTTGTTAATGTAGTACAAAGGGCTCGTGAATCAGGTGACTTAAGACCTCACAGGGAGGGCATGCCGGTGCTCCAAGACCGCACGATCAAATACAGGTCCGCACTGAAATACTTGTCGGGAGGATACCTTATAAAACAAGAAAACATTTTTTTTTAATTTTTTTTTTATTTTTAAACACATATTTTGGTTTATCTTCCTTCTACAATCATTATCTGAAAATTAATGACTCAACTTCAAAGTCACCCTGTATTTATATATTTATGTTGTAATAGTAGATGGTCGAACAATCAGTCATAATTAATGACCTGAAAATAAAATTATAATAAAATTTAAGTTATTCAACTCTTCTCTCACAGAAAGTTGAGAAAAAAATGATTGTAACATTTAATGTATCAAGCTCATTAATTATGATTGATATAAAAGCGTGTTATTTAAACTATTATTTATTCTGTTTTAGAACCTGATGAGACTGTCGACGAGCTCCGGAACAGACTCAAAAATATGAGAAAACTAATGGAAGAAAGAAGAACTATCAACGGTTTAGACGACGTAAGAAGAACGAGGAGTCCAGGAGTGATAGACGGCAGTTTTTTGAGCGTGGTATTTGGAGTTGCACTGCTTGTTATCATAGCAGTCAGTCTTAACGCTTTCTATAGCCTTTACTCTGCTATACTGAAAAGATTCCCTATGCCACATGATGAACTTTAAATGTCAGCAATAAAATGTTTATTGTTATTTCCAATATTAAAAGATACAGGAGAAGGTTCTGTATTCGTGATAAACAGAGATATACAAATATTTTCACTTGAAGAAAAAATTTGACCGGAAGTTTTAATATAGTTAAGAGTTAGTTTTTTCATAATGAACATTGGAAAAAATCAAAATACAAAATATCATCATTAAGCTTGTTGCTGAAAACAAACGAACGAAAACGAAGCAACATCGGACCTATGTCTATGTATGTAACTTTTTGTCTTGTAATCATTCAGAGAATGTCGCTTGAAGTTTAGTCAGATGTTTGTTACCACCATATATGTATTTTATGTAATTGATTATTCTTGTTTCTCATAATGACTCCTAGATACTACTATACCCCAATGATTTTCTACAATAAATTATACACTAGAAAATTTTGACTTTCGTATTTGGTGTTCTCGACACCTCGGCAGGGGTATTACGTAACTTGAAAAGTGACATTATGTTGTTTTTTTCTGACATTTTATAGGTTTCTTTACGTAATAACCCTGTCGGTATTTATCCTTGTGTACTCCAAGCGTCGATGACTTTTACGAAAAACAATGGTCTATTAAAAAGTCCGATTCGCGGTAAACGTATTTTTTACTATGTTAAAAAATGTGAGGAGACTGTTTGTTAAAAGGAATAAGTATCTATTGTTAAACTTTTTTAAACTCTGCAAACAAACCAGAAGAAACGGTTAGCGAAAGAGGACTTTCTGTCTTTTTCCGCAATCAAATCGTGAAATTTGTTTAGTCAATAGAAAACAAAAATGAATCCAATTGTAGGGAAAATCAGCAAATCCATTTTCGATATATTTATGCAAAATATCGAACTTTCAAAATTGCTACCCATCTCTAGACTTCCGAGTTTAGACAGATTTTAATGCTCTGTTGTTTGGTGCTCAGGGGGGTGAAACGTTTAATGGGCGAACTGGCGTTCGTAAATTGTTACAGAGTGTACTTTGTATTACTCTGTAACAATTTTAGCGTTCATAATTGTTTGACGTACATGTTACTTGCGTTCGGAAATATCATTTGAAGCAGATATCAAATTATGAACTAACGAAACCCTCGGTACATTCCTGGCATTTCTTATTCCAGTCGCATTCTTTCGATCGGTCCTCCAGGAAAGTAGGCGGCGCAAACATCCTACAAACGTCAACGGTGTTGTCATTGTTTAACCGGCAACTCTCACTTCTTCAGTTTTGTCGTTCCGTCTTGTGGTTGCGTCATTTGTCGTTTGTTTGACAACCAGATTTTTTGACAGCTCATCATTTAACTTCATTAATATTTATATTTTTGAATTTTTTCAAAGGTAATTCTGAAGTCAAACTACACGAAGCTGAATCATGCAGAACAAACCTTTTCCTAAGCTAGTAAACGACAGGATTATTAAAGTCGCCAAAGGTGAAACACCAGATAAATTGCCGGTATGGGTTATGAGACAGGCTGGGCGTTACTTGCCGGGTAAGTTACATGAAATACAACCTTCCGGGTGCCTAATAATCATCAATAATTGATTTAGAGTACCAGGAACTCCGTAAAAATAATTCCTTCTTTGATATATGCCAGAATCCGGAGCTGGCGTGCGAAGCTACACTAATTCCTATCAGACGGTTCAAAGTTGATGCTGCGATAATTTTCAGCGACATTTTGGTCGTTCCTCAAGCGTTGGGAATGAAAGTCAAGATGGTTCCTGGGGTGGTATGTATTTTTATTGCTAAATTATATATAGTATCAATCCTTAAATAGTAGGAGTAGGTCATCTGCAAGGGTGGAGCTGTTCTGGGGCAAGAGGAATCTGTTGCACTGGCCCCACATGATAGAAATTGTATGTGGATGTCTGCATACAGCATATGCTTAGGCATCATCTAGGAGAGCATGTTACTCGGAGCTCATGTCAAAAATTACCCATGACTTTGTATTTCATTCATCTATTGGTTTTCAGGGACCAGTTTTTCCAGATCCGCTGACTTTGGAGTCTATGACGCAATTGAATCTGGATGGGGCCATATCACGCTTGCAATATGTTGGTGATGCTATATCCTTGACCAGACATCGTTTAAATGGTGCAGTGCCCCTTTTTGGATTTTCAGGTGCACCTGTAAGTTAAAAACTACTTTTACCTGAATTATATTCATTTTATTTTCCACGCGTATGGGCGAGCAAGTGTTGTAATCGAAAATGAGATATTATGTGATTTTGATGTTATATGACATGAACATCACAGAAAAAAAACATCATTTCCGTCAGTCCCTGTCTATCGGTCATTTTTCGAAAACGATTTTAAATGATACTTTCAAAAATATGGGTGCAGCATTGACAGGAAAATTAGAGTATTCTAGAAACCATGAAGTTATATAAAACGAATATAGTTTCTTATAGAAACCGACTTTAGCTTATTTTTATTTGCAGTGGACCGTGATGTGCTACATGATTGAGGGTGGTGGCTCAAAGACAATGAGCAAAGCCAAGAAGTGGCTCTACTGTCACCCTGATGCAGCGACACAACTTATGGATCTGCTTGCCGAAGTTATAACTGATTACTTGCTTATGCAAATTAAATCTGGAGCTCAAATTGTTCAGGTGTTTGATAGTTGCGTTGAACATTTAGACAGGGAATTATACTCCAAGTATGGTCTACCACAACTGAAGAGGATCGCTTCTAATCTCAAGCAACAAATGGAAGCTTCCAAAATAGAAGTCCCACTGGTAAGAACATATGCAAATTATCTACCGACCAGGAGAGAATGCAACTTAATTTACTAGAAGATATCGAAATGTGTATTGCATTTCAGCATCCAAATAAATTATCCTAGGTGAAATGAGATATCCTGGCGTCATCTATGAGAATTTGTCACATCTATGTTTCTCCTCTCTGCAATAACTAGTCATCTACTACATATTTTTGGACATCGGAAACGTTTATAGCCACTCTCAGGCAGGAAAGCTCGACACCATTGCCCTGTTGGCCTTTCCTGCCTGAAGTTTAGTGTCTCATAGATGGCGCTGTAGTATACAATCAATGGTAGAACTATATTTTATAACATATATTTTAGGCAGTCTTTATCAAGGGAGCCCATATTTGCGTGGATGAGCTCGATTCCCTAGGCTACGACGTCGTTGGCATCGACTGGACTATAAGCCCAAGCCGCGTTGGTGCACGCGTCGGTGACAGGGACGTTACTATACAAGGTAATTTGGATCCTTGCGCATTGTACGCGCCGAAAGAAAAGTTGATAGAAATGGTCGAAAGGATGATCGCGGGTTTTGGTACTCGTCGTTTGATTGTCAATTTGGGTCACGGCATTTACCCAGACACTGACCCAGAAGCAGTCAATACTTTTGTCGGCGCTGTTCATGCTGTTAGGTTGTAATTTTTCTTGTTATTTTTCATAATATGACTAGAGTTGACACTGGTATCACAAAATCGTTACTGTCAAATAGCAAAGTTCACAAATTTCAAAAATCATATTTTTAACGTCATCGAATGTATTGGTATTTTTTGAGACCTCCTGTATTTTTAGGACCCCTTATTTTCCGTGCCCAATTGGTCAAATATCTTTCTTGGAAAAGTAGCAACTAGAAACGGTAGGCCATTCCTTGAGTATCGTAGGAAATCAAAGAGAAAGTATACAAGGCCTTAGATCGAAAAAGACCACCTTTTTCCTCAAGGAAGATATTTGACAAACATTCTGTCCCTCCAAAAACGACAAGGCAAACAAGGCGTTCTACGATAAGGAGGTCGTAACTGTGCATACGATCCTTAGTCTGGTATTTGAGGAGATGTAAGATACACTTATATTTGCCTCATTCCAGATACAATGTGTGATAAAAATGTCCCGAACTTAATGTGGTCGTCAAACCCTGTATGACAGAAGTGATAAAACAAGACTGATATGTGTGGCCTTTCCTTACACAACTGTATGAGTGTGACGTGTGTTGCTAACTTAAAAATCATTTTAATCATCATTTTGTACCTAAATGTGCCAACTATGATTGTACATTCCATTTTGTGGTAAAGCTGCTATCTAGAATTGTGACACTATGCATTTGGCTTGTATGTTTCCAAATTTTTGTTCATCTATTCCTTTTATCTACACTATAAGCCACTTCTAAAGTTTAAGGAGCGCCAAAAATGCTGACACCTCCAGTTAGTAATGTCACCATTTTTTTGTTGGTGTTCCTTTTATGGCTGTTACTTGGCCTTTGTGCATATGTAATTTTCCCTTCACTTAGTAATGATTCTGTGATCTAATAGTCATTGCACCTCCATTCTGTTGAGTGTCACCACTTGTTTGTTTTTGTTTGGTGACATTCATAATTTGAACTTTGTTTCAATCACTGTTTCTAGTCATTTTTGATGAATTAATTGTAACTTGTTTCTGGTGGAGACTCTTGTTCTTATGTGATGGTTCATGTTACCTACATGTGTAATATTTTGTTTGTAACATTTTTATTAGTTTGTAATAAAAAATATAAAAATGTATATTTGCCTTATTAATATCCTACCTTTTATTGGTTAAATTTGTTTACAAGTCCACATTCGGCCATTGGTCGTGCTCTCCAGAGCTTAAGAAGTGAGAGGTAAAAAAACAGTTTATGGAAATGGTTGAAAAGCTGATCGTTTTTTGTCTTAGCCTAAGCAAAGATATACCTAGAAAATCTGTGTATTTTGACAATGGTCATGATAAATCTTGACAATAGTTATTGTTGAAGCATTCGTTTTGCATACGGTCAAGTTTTATATAATTTTTTGAATGGTAGAAAATGATATGTCTCGTTTTTAATCCTTAAATGTGGATAAACGTCAAAAGATACAGGAGAAGGTTCCATATTCGTGATAAACAGAGAAATACAAATATTATCACTTGAGGAAAAAATGTGACCAGAAGTTTTAATATAGAGTTTGTTTTTTCATACTGAAGGTACATTTCTATTAGAACAAATCAAAATACAAATTCAGCTTGTTGCTGAAAACAAACAAACGAAGCAACATCGGGCGTATGTATATTCGTCTCTCATAATGACTCCTAGTAGACTAGTATACCCTAATGAATATATTTCATAATTAGTGTTGCTTTTTATTATTCTGCACCTTGTTTTAGTCAAACTGCTGAAAGAGATATTACCCTTATTTGGGCTATTTCAAGAATATTATGTTCATGAAATAATCCTTCAATATCGGAAATATCATTTGAAGCAGATATCAAATTATGAACAAACGAAACCCTCGGTACATTCCTGGCATTTCTTATTCCAGTCACATTCTTTCGATCGTTCCTCCAGGCAAGTAGGCGGCGCAAACATCTTACAAACGTCAACGGTGTTGTCATTGTTTAACCAGCAGCTCTCACTTCTTCAGTTTTGTCGTTCCGTCATCCGTCTTGTGGTTTCGTCGTTTGACGTTTGTTTGATCAACCAGATTTTTTGAAAGCTCATTTAACTTCATTAATATTTATATTTTTGAACTTTTTCAAAGGTAATTCTGAAGTCAAACTACACGAAGCTGAATCATGCAGAACAAGCCTTTTCCTAAGCTAGTAAACGACAGGCTTATTAAAGTCGCCAAAGGTGAAACACCAGATAAATTGCCGGTATGGGTTATGAGACAGGCTGGACGTTACTTGCCGGGTAAGTTACATAAAATACAACGTTCCAGGTGCTTAATAATCATTAATAATTGCTTTAGAGTTCCAGGAACTCCTCAACAATAATTCCTTCTTTGATATATGCCATAATCCGGAGCTGGCATGTGAAGCTACACTGATGCCTATCAGACGGTTCAAAGTTGATGCTGCGATAATTTTCAGCGACATTTTGGTCGTTCCTCAAGCGTTGGGAATGAATGTCAAGATCCTTCCTAGGGTGGTATGTATTGTTATTGTTTAATTATATAAAAGTATCAATCCTCAAGAATCCTTAAATAGCAGGAGTAGGTCATCGGCAAGGGTGGGGCTATTCTGGGGCAAGACGAATCCTGTTGCACTCACCCCACAACATACTCCAGAGGCCTCAAAGTAGGGATATTTTTTTAATGAAACTAAAAGTTATGATAAAATTGATACAGTCAATAACAGAATAACATTTTCTTCCAAAATGGCAGTATTTTAGATGTATGAACTCTATTTTATAATGCCTATCAAATTGTTCAACAGGTTGCCAATTGTTATTAAAGCTGTCACCAATTTGAATGCTTTACAACGTCGAGTTAAAAGTCTATTTATGGAAAACCCTTTTTACAGCATTGAGGAATACTTAACATCAGACTTAATTTTTAATCTGTTCGTTCCTCTATTTTTGTTTTATTTGTTATTTATTCACATCTTTTTAATTTGTTTGTTTATGTTGTTAATTTGAGTACATTTTGTTTGTATTATTTAATTTACTTAGTGTTGCCTCGATCACAACTTTTTAGGTATTTTTTTTCTCATTAATCCTTGACAATTTACTTATACTTTTTGGCAATAAAGATATTTATTTATTTATTTTGACTTTGCCGCCCAATTTTACCGCGCCCTCATGTTGATTTATCCATGAGAGTTACTACTACAAAATCATCGATTAATGTATTCTACCTGAAGATAGCCAACCTGATAGTTTAGTCTGCATCCATTCTCTTTTTCCTTTGTAGCAAAATCCTGTTAATATGGAATTGAATGAGTGGGGTGAAGGTTGATGCCATGCTTAAGAATAAAAAATTTACTTTCAACATGTGTGTGTGATGATAGAAATTGTATGTGGATGTCTGAATACAGCATATGTTTAGGCATCATCTTGGAGAACATGTTACTCAGACCTCATGTCAAAAATTACCCATGACTTTGTATTTAATTCATCCATTGGTTTTCAGGGACCAGTTATTACAGATCCGCTGACTGTGGAGTCTATGACGAAATTGAATGTGGAAGGGGTAATATCACGCTTGCAATATGTTGGTGATGCTATAACCTTGACCAGACATCGTTTAAATGGTGAAGTGCCCCTTTTTGGATTTGCAGGTGCACCTGTAAGTTGAAAAATACTTTTACCTGAATTATCTTCATTTTAATTGAATTGAAGCAAAATTTTATGTTCTATTTTATATTCTAGAAACCATGAAGTTATATAAAATACAGCTTCTTATAGAAACCGACTTTAGCTTATTTTTATTTGCAGTGGACCCTGATGTGCTACATGGTTGAAGGTGGTACCTCAAAGACAATGAGCAAAGCCAAGAAGTGGCTCTACTGTCACCCTGATGCAGCAACACAACTTATGGATATGCTTGCCGAAATTATAACCGATTACTTGCTCATGCAAATTAAATCTGGAGCTCAAATTGTTCAGGTGTTTGATACTTGTGTTGAGCATTTAGACAGGGAATTATACTCCAAGTATGGTCTACCACAACTGAAGAGGATCGCTTCTAATCTCAAGTCACAAATGAAAGCCTGCAAAATTGAAGTCCCACTGGTAAGAACATAAGCATATTATCTATGGAGCAGGAGAGTATGCGACTTAATCTACTAGAAGATATCGAACTGTGTACTGCATCCAAAAAAATTATCCTAGATGAAATGAGATATCCTGCCGTCATCTATGAGAATTTGTCATATCTATGTTTCTCCTCTCTGCAATAACTAGTCATCTACTACATATTTTTTGACATGGGAAACGTTTATAGCCAGACTCATTTAGAAAAGCTGGACAGCATTGCCCTGTTGGCCTTTCCTGCCTGAAGTGTGAGATTCTCCAAAAAAGCAATCTAACACCCCTCAATCGTTCGGTACACCTCCCACCATGGTAATGCTTGCCACATTTTATCATGGTGGGCAGCGTTGCGCCAAGTTTCCATGCCAAAGGTATTTAGTTACATTATTCTTCACTTAAGTACATACACGACCCGACAAGTAGAAACTTTTTGTTGGTTCCTTGATTTATTCTGCATCATTCGCCTGCCTGACTATTGGTTGAATATCAACCCATTTGCCATCGCTGACGTGTCAGTAAGCGCAGAGCACACGCAGCACTAAGTTTAGTGTCTTATAGATGGCGCTGTAGTATACAATCAATGGTAGAACTATATTTTTTAACATATATTTTAGGCAGTCTATATCAAGGGAGCCCATTTTTTCGTGGATGAGCTCGATTCCCTAGGCTACGACGTCGTTAGCATCGACTGGACTATAAGCCCAGGGTACGCTGGTGGATGCCTTCATGACAAAAACGTCACTTTACAAGGCAATTTGGATCCTTGCGCACTGTACGCACCGAAAGAAAAGTTGATAGAAATGGTCGAAAGGATGATCGCGGATTTTGGTACTCGTCGTTTGATTGTCAACTTGGGTCACGGCGTTTACCCAGACACTGACCCAGAAGCATTCAAGACTTTTGTAGACGCTGTTCATGCTGTTAGATTGTAGTTTTTCTTGTTATTTTTCAGAATATGACTAGAGTTGACGCCCGTATCACAGAATCATTATTGTCAAGCAGCAAAATTTACAAATTTCTAAAATCATCTTCGACGTCATAGAATGTATTGGTATTTTTGAGACCCCCTGTATTGTTAGGACCCCTTATTTTCCGTGAACACGTTTCTTGGAAAACAACTAGAAACGGTAGGCTATTCCTTGAGGATCGTAGTAAATCAAAGAGGGTCTTAGATCGAAAAAAACTACCTTTTTCCTCAAGGAAGATATTTGACAAAAATGCTGTCACTCCAAAAGCGTTCTACGATAAGGAGGTCAAGCTTAATCTGGTGGTCACACCCTGTATGACAGAAGTGATAAAACAAGACTGATATGTGTGGCCTTTTCTTACACAATTGTATGAATGTGACATGTTTGTTGCTAACTTAAAAATCATTTTAATCATCCTTTTGTACCTACAATATTTGTGTCATCATTGTACATTCCATTTCGTGGTAAGGCTGCTATTTTGAATTGTGACTATGCATTTGGCTTGCATGTTTCCAAATTTCTGTTCATGTTTAATTTTTATCTACACTTGCTATGCTACTTCCAATGTTTTAAAAGCACCAAAAAAGCTGACAATATAACAGACATATCTGACTGATTGATGCGGTTAACAGTCATTGCACCTCCATTAAGTAGTGTGGTTTTCCTTTTATGGCTGTTGACCTTTGTGCATATGTAACTTTCCTTTCAGTTAGTTTTGTTTCTGTGATCTGACAAAAGTCATTGCACCTTCATTCAGTTGAGTGTCACCACTTGCTTGCTGGTTTTCGTTTGGTGACATTCATAATTTGGATTTTGTTTCAATCACTGCTTCTTAGTCATATTTGATCAATTGTTTGTAACTTGTGTCTAGTTCTTGTTTTTATGTGATAATACATGTTACCTACATGTGTAATGTTTTGTTTGTAACATTTTTATTAGTTTGTAATAAAAAATATAAAGGCGTATATTGCTTTATTAATATCCTGCCTTTCATTGGTTAAATTTGTTCACATTAACCCTTTCGTCGTGCAGCTTTTGCTACAAAAGCTAGCGTGTCACGTGCTAAAATCACGTAACCATTTTTTACTATCAGTAATTTGAATTTCTCTTTATTGAAGGTGTCGATTCCTAGGCCAAAACCATTTAATGATTTTCTTTTGGCAAATTTCATAGTTTATTGATTAAAAAATATTAAAATCGGACCTTTTCTTATAAGCTTAACTTCGCCCATCTACATCGACTACTTTCCATTTAGTTTTCCAAACGAAATTGCGAAGCTAATTTCACCGGACTATTTCGGTCGCGATAGATAAATAATTTTGCCGCAGTGGAGTAAAGGATAAAGTACGGTGAAATTAACTTTGCAAGTTTATTTGGCAAACATCAACGAGGGTAATCAATGTCGTCACAAGCTGATGACATATTCGTGACATATTTTCGTTAAGTACCGTGGTTTTAGGTCTGTCAGTATTTCTGCGACATCTGGGGTGCCCCAGGGCTCCGTCCTGGGTCCGCTATTATTCGCTATATTTGTGAATGATCTCAGTGGCCAACTAAATTGTTGCAACTTATTGTACGCAGACGACTTGAAATTATTTTCTAGAATTGACACAATTGTCGATTGTATGAAGCTTCAGGATGAACTAGTACGTCTGTATGAGTGGTGTTGCCTGAATCAGCTGTATCTGAATATTACAAAATGCCAGACTATGTCTTTCACACGTAAGCAGAATATAATTGGTTATGCTTATCACATACATGGTCAAGTCTTGGGTAGTTGTTCCATTGTGAGGGATCTAGGTGTTTCTTTCGACCCACAGTTAACTTTTGTGCAACACATTACTGAAATTGTAACCGGTGCGCACAAGACGATGGGTTTCATACTTAGGTGTGGCAAGAGCTTCAATAATGCTAAAACTATTTTATTGTTATTCAATGCGTTTGTTAGATGTAAGCTCGAATACTGTAGTATAATTTGGTACCCTGCATATGATGTACATTCGGACAGCATTGAAAAGATCCAGCGACGTTTTGCTAAATATTTATGGTTCAAGGAAGATGGGATTTATCCTGAGGCTGGATTTCGCAATGACTTATTGCTCAGTAGATTTAATATGGTAAATTTATCTAAGCGCAGAAATTACTGCGCTGTGGTTTTCTTATATAAAATTTTGAACAACACAGTTGATTGCCAGTTTCTTTTAGAAAAGCTGTCATTACACGTACCGTACCGAAACATAAGGTTTAACAATACCAATTTCTATTTACCTGTGCCTCGTACCAGTGTGTTACTTTTTTCGCCATTATATGTAATGTGTAACAACTATGAAAAAGTAAAGAATTTAGTGGACATTTTTCATTGCACTATATCACTTTTAAAAAGGTCGTTTTTGACTGTAGGTTAAGAACTTATTTAGATGTAATGTGTGTAATGTACTTGATACGTGTTTATTGATTTTTTTTTTCTTTTTTTTTTTATTTTGTATATTTCCTGTTCGTTAAATGGAATCATCTGTTCGAGCAGTGTACTAACCGCAAAATAAATAAATAAATAAAAAATATCTAATGTTGCGTGTTTGTCATTCGTTGTCATTCAAATAAAATTTTTCACAAGCTCAACGCATTTATTCAAGATTTCACAAAATAGTGTTTGAATTTGCTCAAGTTCGCTTCTGTGATGATAACATCTATATTCATATATTGAGAATTTTCGACATCTGGTAACTCCGAAAGCACGGTAGAGTTTTTATGCAGCCATCTGAAAAATCATTTGGTTTATAGGAAAGTTTGAGATAAGATTATAGACAAGACAAAATGCCAATCATTCTCAATGAGAAAAATGAGCTAATAAAGGGTTGTCCAATAGGGACGCAGAAAAGTAAACGTCAATTTGACATAGACGCCATCTTTGTTTTCTGTCACCGACATGTCATTTTGTTAGTTGAATGTTTACCATTGATCGCTATGGAGTCGTATTCGATTGAAGACCGCATTAAAGTTATTCAAGAGCCCTACAAAAATGGTGCAAAAATAAAAAACACGTTTCGCGCGCTTCGTGAACATTTCGGTCGCAACAACCGCCCAAACGAAATAACCGTCGGTCGTCTGGTGCGTAAATTCGAGGCAACAGGTTCTGTGGCAAATCTGCCAGGCTCTGGCCGGCCAAGGAGCGTTCGCACACCGGAAAATATTGCTGTTGTGAAGGAGAGTGTGAGAGACGATCCGAAACAATCAACAACGCGTCGATCCCAAGAATTGGGCATTTCGAGAACCAGTTTGCTCCGCATTCTCCACAAGGATTTGAATGTACACGCCTACAAGATCCAATTGACGCAAGAGCTGCATCGGGCCGACCACTTTTCGCGCCGAACGTTCTCAGATTGGCTCCTTGAACACCGCCAAATTGATGCCAATTTTTCATCAAAAATCATGTTCAGCGACGAAGCGCATTTCACTTTGAATGGGACGGTAAACAAGCAAAACTGCCGCATCTGGGCGAACGAAAATCCCCGTGAGTATCAAGAGCAGCCGATGCATCCTCAAAAAGTGACTGTGTGGTGTGCATTGTGGTCAAAAGGCATCATCGGACCTTACTTTTTCGAAAATGCGGCCGGGGACGCCGTTACCGTCAATTCTGAGCGATATCACGTGATTATAGATGATAACTTGAAGGAATGGATATGGACGATGTTTATTTCCAACAAGACGGTGCAACATGCCACACAACCAACGTCAATATCCATCGATTGCAGTCCTTCTTCGGTGATCGCGTGATTTCGCGCAGAGGAAATGTGCCATGGCCACAAAGATCGTGCGATTTGACTCCCTTGGACTTCTTTTTATGGGGATATTTGAAAAGCAAAGTCTACGTCAACAAACCAGCCACCCTCCAAGAACTCAAAAACAACATCATTGCCGAGATAAATGCCATAGAACCGACCATGTTGCAAAATGTCATTGAAAATGTCGACCATCGCGTGGACGTCTGTAAATCCAGTCGTGGTGAACATTTGAGCGATATTATTTTTCATACATAAATGGTATAAATGAACCTTCAAAATAAAGTACCCAACTTGATTTGAATATCAATCTTTCTTGTTTTAATATGCGTTTACTTTCCTGCATCCGTTTTGGACAACCCCATACTAATAAGAAAACAAACATTTACCTCATCTCTTCACCCCCATTTTCGATTTTTATAGTTATTTTTCTTCTACCAGTAACTTCCAAAATCCTATTTTCCAACAGATTCCTCAGTTCCTCCAAGCCTGCAACGAACAAGATGTTCATTGTTGCATCAGCCATCTAAGAACAAGTTTTTGAATTACCTATGCCTTTCTTAGCAGAAATTAGCAACATATCTTTGAACTGATCTAAATTTTTGGCAATATCACATTTGTTTGCTACGTTAACAATTTTGTTCAATATATTCCCTGTACCCACTTGCTCGTCCAAATTTTTTAGGGTTTTGAGGACGTGATCTCGTTTGTACTCAAATGCGGTGCTCGAAATGTCTTCCACGAACAAAATTAGGTCCTAGAATCAAAAACAAGGTTTACAAGAAGTTACAATTTACCCAAATTTAGCATTGGCAAGGGCATTCTCGTTGGTATACAGACCAACAAATATTTAATAAGATGGAAAGTGGTGCCGTAAAATTCATACCAAACAGACTGATATTTACCTCCAACGACTTGCAACACGAAAGACAATGTATTAATGGTGTTTCATTAACTAATACCCCGTCATGCCGACGTCATCTGTCAAACACAGATGGAAAGTGAGAAAATATCTTTAATCCAATCCAAGTACTTATTGAATCCTCTATAGAATTTCGAGAAAAAAATTGAGGACTTACTGCTAACACAGCATCTTCTAACGTAGCTACAAAGCATTCGATGAGGTTAGTTGGTAGATCTGACAGAAATCCAACTGTGTCTATGTACAAGACTTCTAAGCCTGAAGGCAGTAGACCTGAATGTACAGTAACATCTAAGGTTGCAAATAGTTGGTCTTTAGGCTGGAGCCTTTCTTCGCCAGTTAATGATTTTATTAAACAAGTTTTCCCTGCGTTTGTGTAACCCACAACCGCAACGACTGGATAGTCCATTTTCCTTCTCTTGCTCCTCAGCAAGTTTCGCTGCTTTCTCAGTTGCTGGATTTCCGCTTTAATTTTTTGTTCTCTTTCATCAAACATAAGCTTTAACTTTTCTGGGTCGTGGGTTAAAAATACGCTTTCTTGTTGAGCCTTTCTTCTAATATAATGCAGCTCGGCTAAAGAAACTTGCAATTTGGCGTGTTTAGTAGTTGCGTGAATTTTGAAAATGCGCATAACTATTTTATATCGATCTAATATGGGCACCTGGAAGTGATCATATAGAATATTTGCTGTAACCCTTTTTAAATTACTAGAGTTAACGAACACTGCCGTGATATTTTGGTTACTTCGGACTAGTCTAGTTAGTTTGTCTAAATTGCCTGTTTTGAATAAAGTCTTTTTATCTAGAGATTCTAGAGGTATTTTTGTAGTTTCTTCTACGGTCCATCTTGGTAACGTCTTGATTAAAGCAACAGCTTCTTCCAACTGCTCATCGGGGCTGATTGAAAGTTTTTGTGGTCCCCATTTTACATAAGGTTGAATTACCAAGCAGCTGTGTTCTTTGTCTAACCGGAAGAAACTTTCCACCAACGCTTCATATTCTCTAGGACAATAAAGAGAAAATTGAAACATCACATGATATGTATTCTGATGTGTATGCATTGTGATACCCTACAATTTTATGACTATAATATATGAAAAGGTGAATTTGCTGAGGTGGGAACCCAAAATATACAGGGTTTGTCCGGAAAGTAATAGGACTGAGTCGATTTAAAATAAATTATTGAGCCAATTGTTACAATTATTTAAAAACTTTCAAAATAAACCCCTTCTGCGTCGATGCAGCGCTGCCAGCGCGATTTCCAAGCAATGAAGGCGGCACGGAAGGCATTCTCCGGAATAGCCTTGAAAGGCGCGGTGCATGCTGCTTGGATCCCCTCTGTCGTCTCAAAATGCTCGCCTTTCATCGGCCTCCTCAGGCGAGGAAACAAAAAAAAGTCCGGGGGGCCACATCTGGGCTGTAGGGCGGCTGCGGAAGCCTTGGTCAGGTAGCTGTTCACAAGAAAGACGGTATGAGCCGGGGTGTTGTCGTGGTGCAACTTCCAGTCGGCTGCGATGTCTTGTCGGACCCGACTGACCCTTCGTTTGAGTCTCCTGATCACTTCCACGTAAAACTTGGCGTTGACGGTTTGTCCAGGAGGAACAAATTCATGGTGGACGATGCCTTTGATGTCAAAAAAGACAATGAGCATCGTTTTCATTTTGGCTTTGCTCATTCTTCCCTTTTTTGGGCGAGGGATACCGACGTGTGCCACTCGGAAGATTGCCTCTTTGTCTCGGGATCATACTCAAAGATCCACGACTCGTCACCTGTGATTACGTTATTTAAAAATTGGGGGCCACTTTCACACATGTTCAAATTTTCTTGGTACACTTCCACTCGCCGCAATTTCTGGTCGTCAGTGAGCACTGTTGGGACCATCTTCGCGCACACCTTGCGCATGTTCAAATGCTGTGTCACAATGTCATGAAACACAGATTTTGGTAAATTTAACATCTGGGCAATTAAACGAATACTTGGTCGACGATCTGAGTTCAAAACTTTGCGCACACGAGTCACATTATCGGGGTTTGTCGAAGTCGAAGGTCTTCATCAGCGACCTCTTCCCGGCCCTCCAAAAAGGCCTGGTGCCACCGAAACACACCACTTCTTGCTAAAGCAACACCTGGGAAAGCCTGCTTGATCATATCAAACGTCTCTGTAGCAGATTTACCGAGTTTCACACAGAATTTAATCGCGTCCGAACGCTGCATATTCGGCTTGCACCACTCACAGAAACACGTCGCGCGAAAATGCCTGTCCTGACTTTCCAAGTGCTCGGAGACAACTGACCAGCCGCTCATTCGTTAGCTAGGAACGCCCTCTACCGAATCCAGTCGGTTCGCGCACGTACAGTCATGGCGGAAGAAAAGTCCTATTACTTTCCGGACAAACCCTGTATATCAGAATTATCCTTTTCCTTACAAAGTTACTATCAATAAACCCTATTTCGCGAGTATCCATCACGTTTTGACGTCAACTGAAGTAGCAACTGATCAGCTAGTGACATATTTGTATCAAAACCAACATACCTGTCTGATTCAGAAATATTTTCTTCCGAATTACTGCAGAGTGAGCGGGTTGTGAACTTAGGCTTTGAGATTAATCCAGGATTTTTCAGAAATGTTTTCGATCTTTTAACAATAAACCTGGCAAACATACCGCTTTCATTTACCACCCTACCTTACCACGGCCCTGTCGCTGTCAAACCAACCCAGCTTTAATTTAGTTTTAACAAGATTGTGTGTATATATTATGCATGTTTATAACATGTAGCGTTTGAAATGTTTGTAATTACTATATTTTTATGTAACAAAGATGTATCTTACGCAAAACTACTAGAATTTGCGGATTTCATGTGTAAATTGAGGTTAGGATAGACACAAGGACATGCTTAACCGACATAAAGATGAGAGGTCGTAGTATCGAATTCGATATTTTCCATGAATAATTATCACGCTAAGGAAATAAATATTAAGTAGCTATTTGGGACGTGGATTTTGTCCAAAATTCTCCATCATTACAACTGATTTGCTTCAATCTATTTTTCTACCATATCCACCATGGGTGCCGCGTGCCGCCATAAAAATTCAGAAGTGGTCAAACAGTAATCAAATTCAAGCTAATAACCAAATGAAAATGATATTTACCATTTTGGATTGGTATTTACCGATCCGTTCAAGCGAGTGTGGTTATTAAGGAACATTAAAATATGGCCATGTAAACTACCTGTATACGGTTTTGCTAATACCCTACTTTCATTGCTTTTTCATATCATTTCTGCTATGTTTTCTTTGACATGCGGAAAAGCTAAAAGAATTGAAAGTTATGGTTCCACCATTAACATTTTGGCCATCATATCTTTTATTTTCACGACAAACTTGTTTAAAAATAAGAGATTTTCTCAAGTAACTTAACACCTGAAAAATATCTTCTGAAAAAAAAACATTTCTTCCATTAATATTATCCATATCACTGTTGTAGTTGGAAGCATCGTTTATTAAGTAATAATAAAAATAATCAGAAAACTGACGTCATATCAATTCGTGCGTCATCTTAAATCACATTATAACCTCGGCAAATAACACAGGAATTTTGTTTATTCCCTTGGATTTGATTGATCTTCTAAGCGAAGTCAAATATACTGTATTTTGACATCTAACTTCGACTTTGTTCGTAAGTTAAAAAATGCATGAATAGCTGTTTCGTGCTTCTTGGCTACTGATCAGCATGGTCCAGGCTTTATCTTTTGTCTCTAGACAAACGAACGAAAGCATCGCAACTATCCTCTATACCGGAGGTACGGACAAGCGAAAAGCGACATCTATCACACCAGAATCGACCACTTTACTTTAATCTATGGAACTGGTTCAATTAATGAGTTTACCTACTCCAAGTAAAACGTTTCAATGATATTTATTAAATTTGTTTAGGTAAAAGTTTCAATCACTCGCCATATCGTTTTGTAATCCTGGCATTTACTGAAAGTCGATAGTGGGTCTAGCGAATGGTAAACCTGTGTGGTATTTGTATCCAGATCCCAACCAACGTCTGTTACAAGTATCACGGTCGTAACAGTGTTAACAAAGTGGGTCAGGCGGGAAGAAAAATTGCACAGTTATTAATGATATGGGTTTTTGTTAAAATCACTTGAAGATAACACCACTAGCGTACGGAGATAAATGAGCGCACATACAGAATGTCCCAACCACGATATTTCTACAGACGAATTTCGCAAAACAACTCAGAAGACGTAAGAAGATTTTTCTCCAACACGAATAATCCGACAAAAATTTCTCAAAAGACGCGATTCATAGAATATTGGACGTCTAATTCAAAAAATAGCGTCAAGTTACGAGCATGTAAAAGAGAGAAATTAAACGGATCAAGTCAGTCAAACGGGCCTACATAATTAGTAGATAGACATTATTTCGCTGCCCCACCGGTAGTCCCGATACGTGATTTTTCATTTTTTGGACTTTCTCTCCACCGCCACTGGACGCGATTACACTACTTCCTTGCCATTGGGAAGTAAAATGCAACAGGTGTTTCAACAAAAGCCAGTTTCATGCAATAACATGTTTTTTCTTCTGTAGGGGTCAATTTTTTGGCAATTTTAACACCACTGCTGTTACTACGTTAATAATACGGGTTGTAGGCGGTGGGGGAGGGTATATCTCAATTTTTCGATGTTGGTATATGTATACGCTTCTAACACTAATATTTCTACGCACCTACTAGGCATATTGAATAAAAATGTTTTCGATCTGCGTATCTGATTCTGATTTCTCTGTTCACCAGCGGGCGTGCCGGCTTGGATAAGTGTCCTGCCAGTACTGGCGCATCGTGTGGTCAGGTATAGGGGACGGGCGACGTTGCCAGGTAAACGGAACTATCAGTAAGGCAGGGAAAAATGTCTATGCCCTATTTGACTAACTTGTTGTGTTTAATTTCAATGTTATACATGTTCGTAACTCAGAGGGGTCTAACACAATCCTTTATGATGCGTAGGAAGTGCAGAGTCAACCTACTTGAGGCCATTTTTTTTTTGTTAGAATAATGTCTAACGTTTCCCACAGTAGGCACATCGTTAGGCTAGAGAATCAGAAAAAGATGTACTGGACTATCCAACAATCCGGATGTAATATTATCAGGGCCACCTACACTCCGAAAGGAAGTTAACCATTGGTCGGAAACAATAAGAATTTCATGATTATTCTGAATACGATAAATAAAAATACGATTTCCAGTCTCTCTTTAGAACGAAATCATAATATACCACTATACAAATTCTGATAACAGTGTCGAAGATCACTGTTGAACGTGTCACTGTCCTCAATCGGGATTTGTTTCATCCGATCTATCCGAATTTCTTAACTAGAGATAAGGGAAACGTGTGCACGCCAGGCCCAACGCCGATACTCTCCTATTTTAGATAGGGTCACAAGTGTTCAACATATGTTACAGTTCTCAGTGCCTAATGAAGGAAACTTGCCGTGGATTATAGGACCATATCCAAAATAACACAGCTGGCTATATAGTCTAGCTGTAATAACCCGACGACGGTGAGCTCATACTGACATCACTTTTATTATTGTTCTTTTTTATTATCTCTAGCAATGATTATGAAATGAGAATTGAAATAGTATGTATGCATTCTAGGGGGTGTGATGAAACTTGTGAAATACAATGTTAAAAATAGGCGTTTTTCTGTCCCCTCTGGGACGGAACGCAACCCACTGAAACTATTTTTATGATTAGAAGTATACTAACACACAGTAATAATGAATTAATAAGTATAAGGGTTAGGTGAATAACTAATCATAATTTCAGAAAAATCCAACCGCTGAAAAACTGAGGGGGGGGTTCCACGATGTCTTATGTACTCATAATGTCCCAGACGTAGTCAATGGGTGAAAGATCGGGAGGTCTAGGGGCCAATGCAATAAATCGACTTGATTCTGGCTTTACAGCAGAATACCAAAGGTGAACTGCTTCTAAAAGCAATAACCTCCTATACCATAATTCAAACTTTGTGATGCATATGCGTTTCCGCAGAAAATTGTCTTCTCACCCTTGCACGGCCATAATGCATCCCAAACACAATCTGGATTCATCAATAAAGACAGTGGTATTTCATTTGAGGTACCATTTCAGCCGTTCTCTGCAGCACGCCAGTCGTTCACTTTGGTACCTCGAACTAAAAATGGTACGAAGTAAGTCCAAAACTGTTGATCCGACGATAAACAATTCGCATTGTAATAGGCTTTCTATGCTCTCTAATCCATTGGTCCGTTGTGTGGACGAGACGCCCGAAGAGCCAAAAGCTGGGTGAGAGGCCGTTGTTCTGGTACGCCCTGTACATCTAACTCTTCGTGTACGGCCTTTCTGATGCCATGCTCGACAGCTGACCACCATCATATTTAGACTTTTGTGCGCCCTGGTGGCTACGCCTCTAAAGGGCCACTTTTATACATGTATTCCCATCAAATACAAGTCCAATGGTGTTGTATTCAATAGCTAGCAAAGGCTCCGGAAGGAGGAAAACATTCGGTAGATTTTTAACATTTAGTACTACTAGAGTTTTCTACGTATATTAAAAAGAATTATTCCCAATCGTGGGTTTATTGAAGCTTTTTGTAGTTCAAGAGTGGTAAAAGATAGAAGAAGAGCGTTGTCATGGTGGAGGTACCAAGTGTCCATTCTTGACTTTGGCCGCAGATTTTTCATATACTCTATGACTTTAGGCAGGCACTGTCCCGTGTACCACGTACCACTTAGCTGTGACTGTCTTCTGTGTGTCCAAAAGGGCACGATCTACAGCTATCATTTTTTTAACAGATCAACTTTTTCTGACAGCTGCGGGTGTGTCTTCATCATCCAAGACACAAACTTTGTTTTGAGCCTTGGTCGCCACATCGCAAAGTCTCGTCATCGTGACAGATGACGAAATTGCCCATTATCAAACATTTTCAGCATATTTCGGCACCAAGTCGTACGACGAGTCTTCTGCTCTTCCGTCAGACTATGCGATATTCAGAGAGAACAGTTTCATTTCGTTAAATGGTCAGGCGGAATTCAATGTGAAGGTCTCCTCTATCTGTTGATATCTCACTTTCCGGTCTTCGTCAAGCATTTTCATCACAGCAGTAATGTTTTCCTCTGTTACTGACGTTCGCGGTCTTTCTTCCCTCTCGGCATTCTCCAGAGTGAAATTGCCTCTTTGGAATTCTCTGTACCATATGAATATAGTCGTACGATGAGGACTGGTCTATTCTTAAACCACGCGTTAAGTTATACCGTAAAACTGCGCTTATCTTTACACTGTCGATACGAATGAACAACTAAATCAACAGACATGCTGCTGGCGGCTACTATGCACTCATGGACACATGAATACGATTCAAGAAAGTATCTTGTAGCTGCTATACTTGTTTTAAAAGTGTCTTGTATTCCAGATACTTTCAAAACACGCCAATTGAGAAGTAAAATACGCTCGCAAATATGCCAGCCACGCAACCTGGAAGGTCTCTACGAACCCCAGGAATGGTCCATTGTCTGAGGTACGCCTCTGTCGTTGTTCGGACCCTTTTAAGTACAGTTTCTCTTGGCATGTTGAGCTTTATACGCGCAGCGGGATAGTACCGCGCTACCGCGGGCTGCGCGACCAATCGGCTCGTTTTAAACTGGCTAGAAACAAAATTTAAGTCCAGTGTGCTTACATCTCCGGTATAGAGCGAAACCAAGAAGGCTATTGCCCTCAATTTCAGGGCCGGATCCGCAGCATGTGTGTAAAAGTTTGTGCGGGATAAACCGTATTGTTTTTGTTTTGCCATTTCTAGTGCCATGTGACAGACGGATAAGCAGAATTAGGTGTAGTATGCCAGTGTAAAAGCTCAGGTAAATGGGCAGGTAAAAGTTTTACGTTCGGGTGTGTGCCTCGGATATTTTCGCCGCTAGTTTGGGCATTCTTGGACCAGGCATTCTGCTATGTTGATTTCTTTGAGATAATACCATGCTTGCATATGCAGTGTTATGTAAAACGTTATTTAGGCTGCTTGTGCTTTCTTATTTTGGTTTTATTATGAGTGGAAGGGTTATGTATAGAAGGGATACTGAGTGAGCTTTGTAATTTTCTAAGCTCAAGAGTAGGAATTACTAAATTGGGACAGTTTTTGTATCAAGAAAGTCAAAGGAAACAATTTGTATCCGAGAAATATGAATGAATTAGTTCAAGGATGTCTTATGGTATCGTGCAAAAATCCAAAACTTTAATTATTTTGGGTCAGGCACAGGAAATATGACACTTGAGATGCACTCTCGCATCGCGCCATTTTTCAGTAAAAACAAATGTATAGTCCTACTAAACAATTAAGCCGAATGAATATTCTATAATCTAGCGGTAAATAAACTACTAATTTTGAATTAGATCCCCTCATTTACCAAAAAACATATACCCTACCATTTGAATACTAGTAGGAATCTTAAATTATTTTATGCACCATATCCCCAAAGGCTTTGAGTGGTTTCCCCTAGTTTTGTACAAAATATTATTGAGCATATTTTAATGTATGGAAACATACCTTATTAAACTTGAACTTACTATAATTATATGTAATTACAAGTTCTATGATTTTAGCTTATTTAAGATTCTAAAATCACTTGTAAAATGTCAATGAGAAACACGAACGCAGAAGTCAACCATAAAATAAAAACAAAGCTTTGAGGACAACTTAGCTAAGTTGTGACACTGAGCAGAAAGCTTCAGTTTTAAAATAGTGCTTTGTAAAGGTTTTGGATTTTTTAACAACCTCATAACTTGTACCTGCATTGTGATATCTACGTGATAGATTATGAAGACTTGAGACTGGCAGTTTGTCAACTAAGTCTAAACATTACGGCCATTCGTAACACCACGCATAATATTTCACATTGGAAATTGATTTTTGCCTTCAAATCCCTGACAAGAAGCTCTCGCCTTAGCAACAGGATAAAACAAGTGCAGTTTTTTATTTCTTCTAACTCTCATTAAATGCGATTTTTGGAAAACACTTTCTTAGAAGTACCATCTGAGGTTTGAGCTCATTATTACTGCCTTGAGTTTGATGATTTTAAACATTTATATAAATTCTGACTAAGCTCAAGTACCTACTGGGCGAGGGGTTGCTATTAGTACCAATAATCAGGGAATTGGGCCATATTTCCAATGTTAGTATGTATCCAAATCTTTAAGTATAAAACTTCAGATTTGTTAACTCCCACAGCATTTATCGATTACGTCATTATATTATGTCTGAACGTTCTCTGTAATTGACAAAATGAATTAACAAGTCTTCTGTAAACGTTTCATTACTGTTCAGTAAGTCGCAGCCACAGAAGCGCTATTTTTAGTTTTATGTAGAAGTTCCTAAATAACCTCAATGAAAATTTTATAGCGAAAAGTGAACGAACTTATTAAAGCTGAAATAGTTTTCCAACCTTAGATTGCATTCGATTTTTAGCTGATATACCTGAGAACCAATAAGTCATAAAACATACAAAAACGAAGTTCGATCATGTTGCAGTCATCATTGTTAGCAATCTTGTTTCAGAAACTTTCAAGTTATAGGGGATTAGGAAATGGCAAATAACAGCGCCATGAGCGCCCACAGGAATTTTTCCATGGGGGGAGGGGTAGGCCGTCATCGGTAGGACGGAACTTTGATCAGTACCTAAAACTTTTAGAAGTACACCCGAAAAATATCTTCGTGATTTTTCCAGTATTTTTGAAGCATTGTATACCTCTCGATGCGTTCTTAAATGGTTATTTTGAACCTTTAAAACAGATTTTAAAATGCTAGAAAGAAGATGAAAATAACTCAGTTTTTCTATAGCAGCTAATTGTCATTAAATTTTGTCGGTGGTTTTGTGCTTGGTACTTTGCCCAAAATTTCCCTTCACGGAGAGGACAGCCTACCCTTATATACGCCACTGCAGAGTCTGTAATTTTAGTATTTCAGAGTAAATAGAAACTTTGATCTATGCGTCGCAGAGTAGTGCTATATAGTCTTTTAAAATAGTATCAGCAGTTCTTAGGCGCCGAGGTCAAAATATTGCAGTTTGCAAGTCAGCATTTTAGCAATGTAAGGAAATACCTTGGCGCGGTGTCATACTTCCCATTACAAAGGTGTAAGTTCCATCCCCTGGATTGCATTTATGCAGGAAAAGCAAGAAAACGATTGATTTCCATGCTTTGACCTGAAACGTATTCCTAAGGCACTGTTCTCAACAGCAAGTCGACGGCCATTTGATGCACCGCGCATGGTGAAGGCCAATATCGTCTTTCACGCGGGATTGGTCATCGCAACGATCACGTGCGCCAGCAGCAATTCCTCTCATTTAATTTTCTGTTATACAAATTCGTAGTTAACTTTTTTCTCCTTGTGCCAAACATAATCCTTTACGAACTGATGACAGGGTAGCGTGGGAAAGACGGAGTCAACTTACTCGACGCCAGGTCCACCGCTGTTAGGTGGGCAAAGCCTCCCACCCCACGCCATTTTTAATTTGATTTTAATGATAGTTCAAAAATTCCCTGTTTATGATCGATATTAAAGTGAAAATTCTATAAAAATTGCTGTTCTATTTTCAATTCGTTTGATCAATGTATTATTTTTTATGTGGATATTCGCAAGATCCTCATAGTTCAGTACAATAGGAGACAAATATTTTGGTCTTTCAGAAAAGTGTTCTGAAAACCTGTTTAGATCTAGAACAAACTAAATTCTTTAAAAAACGTGTGTACTCTAAGGTTGGATAGGGAGTTTCAGAAAAACTTTGTAGTCGAGACATTGTTTGTTGGATGTAACATGGCACGTGAATTACAAAAAATTATGTCACTCATTTCCGTTAGTTGGAAATTTTTGAGAAAAAGTACAATTTGCGTTTTTGATCACCCTGTATGAGCAAAAATTAAAATTCGAAAAAGTAACAAATCAGATTAAAGCTGAGGTGTGTAAGTTTTTTTGATACAAAATTCAGCACTCCCAATTCCAAAATGGCGGACTGAGGGGTCGCCAAAGTGGGGGGTTTTTCTAGACAACACACCTTATATCTCTGTAGCTAATTACCAAAACCCTATAGTAATGTTATATCAATTTTCTTCTTTTGAATTGGTTTATTCATATATGCGATAAAATTTGAGGCATTCCATTTGAAAAATCACAACTTTGATATGTGGGTCGAAATTGGGACACCCTCAAATGTCATGTATAACATGCCATAAATAGATTTTCCCAAAATGTATTTGTTTATGAGATCTTTTTTTGAAACTAATCCCAAAGTAACAGCATTATAATCCAAATCTTTATCGCTAAACTAGTGCCAGTGCGTGGGAGAATAGCGACAATCTACTTGACACCAGGCAAACCTTGCAAACTTTTGTAATCAATAAATGTTTAGTCTTCGATATTTTTAAACGTAAACATTCGCGACGATGTCTGCATACTTAGCATGCGTTTCAGCACAGGAAAGACATTCTTCGAACAAGCTACCTACCTCGATAATCAAAAGCAAAACATTAGATCAGATTAAAAACAACTCAAGAATTGAATCGTTTTGATTCTATTAAATTTTACATTTTATTCTTAAAAATATCACACTTCTATTTTCAGATCAATTAATAATTCGTATCCATTTATTACAGTGAAAATATTATTTAGGTAAAAGCAAATGAATTATAACATTTTTACTGTTATATATTTGTTATAACTTACATCACATTTATTTATTATTTATCACAGTGTTCACTTTTGACATGGAGTTCACTTTCTGCTCTTTCTTTTCAATTCCCTCCAAAGACTTCCTCAAATTCCTCAACAGTTCGTCGTCTTTTTTCCTGATGTATTGGTTCTCCAAGGCATCACCTCTTTTCTTGAAGGCATCTCGATCACAGAAATATCGAAGACCAACTGGATGGATTTTGATTTTGGCAAGAGTCGACCTCAACACGTATAAAGACATTCTGTGCTGCAGTGGTTCGCATATAATTCGCAATTTTTTCAACACACTGGCGTTGACAAATGCGTCTAACGGGTAGTGATATCCGTTTAAATACTCAGTTTGATAAAGACATCGGGTTACGAAATAGTGCCAATACATAAGAGTCGTAGAATATTATTCAGATAACGTTTTTTATGTAACTAACATCACCGTGGAAAAATTCGTCACTCAACTCCACTGTGACTATGTCTTTCCGTATTAAACATATGATGAAAACAAAAAGTTCTTTGGACCCGAATGCTGTTTAGTATGTTTGTCGAGCAAAAAAAATGCACAGCTGTCATTAGATCATACGGGATTACATTAGACACTTTTAGAAAGGTAACATCTACGACGATATATAATGAGGAAATTAAATGAATTAAATCAGACAAATACCATAGGCCCATAAATTTAGTCCCCAGTGGTCACCCAGATAGATCGCTACCTATAACGAAATATTCAAAATATTTCTATCATTATAAGTTTTAACGGGGCTCCTACAATCACGAGGTGAAAAGGAAACGAGGGTGGGCTGGGCCTAGACGGTCGTCGACGCTACTTTAAAAGAGGAAAGGATGACTGCGGGTGCATACCAAGGTAAATTTTTATAATAACAGAGTCGGATTTCGATTAGCGATTGAAATCCGAGCAGTAAGTTGATGAGTGATACAGTTTTTCGTGATGCAGATGTCATAGACTTAAAAAACATAACATCTCATTTTAGAAATTTTTCGTGATTACAATACTTCCTCGCCAATGACGTGGGAAGTAAAACGGCTTTAAAATCGAGGAGTATCAGCGATCGCGATTATGAGTACCTATTTGCAGAGCGACTTATCTACGCGATATTATATGAAATGGGGCCACCAAATTATCTGAATACGTCCTTTCTTAGTCCGTACATTGCGCCGCAACGCTTGGGTTGGCAGCACGAAACAGTAGACAAAATTCGTTCAAAATACGAAATTGACGCTTTATTTTTTGATATTTTCGGATGAAATTTTCACAGAGTGCTGAAAACAAAACCCCACAGGCTCCTTCTGTTAATGAAACACTTTGTGTGTGAAGTCAACGACACTGGACATGTTTGAATATTTATTTTTGAAATGTTTCCGATTCCAAAAAATCCAGATTTTGTCTTTGTACGTTCTTCACACGATAAAACAAAAAAATCTGATATTTCAAAATTTGTGATCGTCGACATTAAACATTTTGTATCAAAAGTTCTAAAAGGAGTTGTTTTTTCCAGGCGCAGATAAGCTAGCTGCATGGTTGAATAGGGCCTAAAAATGACTTATCCTTCTGTAGTGTTGTGGGCTGTAATAGTACAAATTTTAAGTGAGAGTGAGTATTGACTCTTTTTTTGTGATTTTATTAACGTATTCTATGTACATATATTGTGCAGCTTATAATCCATAGCACTATGTATTTATTTATATACTTTTTTTGTTTCTCTCAAACCTAATGTGTCTATTTTTCGCATATTAATTGTGATTTTTTAATGTATGGCGAAAAATTGTATAGAGAGTGCGAAAATCTCGCATTTGTGATCGAAATCTTACGACTCATTTTTCTTTTCGTAATCACACGAATCGAATTTATTTTTTAAACAAATTACAAATAAGTGTTTTTTTCGCTCTGGGAGTTTTTTAAGGTTTTTGTGGATCATTCTGCACTAAAAAGGTCCATAGTAATTTTTCTCTAAAGTAAAGCGTTATGATAGAATTAATTTAAAATGTGGGTATCATGAGTGCTTAAAAATTCGGGTAAAAATCAGTATTTTGAGGTCTAAATGAGGTTTGAACCGTCTCTTCTAAGATTCCGAAAGATTATGGAAAGAAAAATCGAGTCGGTGAATTTCTCCCACAAATGCGGGATTTTGGCCTGGTCTGCACGAGCTTTTACAAGACAAAAGTATTTTCAGGTATACAAATAGGTGGACAATATATAGGAGCTAGACAAAGGATACACAATCACCCTATAAGAGGTGAGTTATTCCCATATATGTACAGGGTGCGTCACCTATTACTTTTTTTTTTCTATTTGAAAAATCAACACGCTTTTTACGAGGTGAAATCGAATTTTTTTATTGATAAATGACGGTTGGTTTATGCCATTTGTGTATGAAAAATAACATGTCATGTGACCACCGCGGCTTCGTTTACAGGCCAACATCCGAACATCAATGACTTTTCCCAGAATAATCGGGTCTATGGCCGCAATTTCAGTCCGAATATTGCGCTTTAGGTCTTGAATTGTCCGGGAACCATTTGCCTACACTTTTCCTTTCAAAAATCCCTAAAGCAAATAGTCAACAGGTGTTAAATCGCACGATCTCGGGGGCCAACTGAATTTCATGAAATTATGCGGTCTTGAAATTTCGTGCGCAATAAGACGATTGTTTGGCGAGATGTGTGAACCGTTGCTCTGTCTTGATGAAACCAAAGATCATCGGCACCAATACCATCCAATTGTGGCCACAAAAAGTCTGTAATGGCCTTTTCTGCGGCATCTTCAAAGAAGAATGGTCCAACGATGCCGCCAGCCCATAATCCGCACCACACAGTCACTGTTTCAGCATGGAGAGATTGTTCATGATATTGGTGTGGATTTTCAGCCCCACAGAATCTGCAATTTTTCTTATTTACGTACATTGCAGCAAACTCTGAGGTCACTGTCTAGGTCATATTTAAAAACTACTTTTTTATAACCTTTTTCCCAAAAAAATGCGTGGTTATCAAGTTTTTAGGCACATACAATGCTGTTTAGTATGTGTGATTTAGAAAATCGGGTATACAGATCGAATTTCTTCGTTATTCAGTTGAACCAGTGTTGCCATTTATACTACCAATGATGACAGGCTGTGTATTACGAGGGATGTCTCTTAAGTTTTGCATATAGAAACATATAGGTCGCGCGGATCGAACGTCAGTACTGAATGCAAGCTCGCACACAGCTCAAAAAACAAGGCAGTATTTAAGGGAAGAAAACGTGGAATTATTGGACCATCCTCCATATAGTCCCTATCTAAGACCCATCGATTTCTTTACTTTCCCGAAAATTAAAAACAGACTGCGTGGAAAGGTTCCAGTCACCAGAAGAAGCAGTTGAATAAGTGGAATAAGTGCTTCGAAAATTGGAGAATACTTCGAAAAACAATAAAGTCATTTAAAACTACCTACCGTGTTGTTTTATTTCCATATGCAAAACTTAAAAGACATCCCTCGTACTGGTGATAATATACTATATGACATTTCATTTTATATTGACTAGACTATAATATAAAATGAATGGATTCGTCGTCAAAAGATAAACTTGACCGCAAAGGGTTAAACTTAAATCGCCATGAGCCATTTTCCGAATCACAGCTTGCTAGTATAAACATTTACATAATAAATGAAACATACGATTCTCGGAAAAGACTTGTTTCAAAAATAAAATATATGGACTGAATGGATCTCTCACATCAGTTGGGGCCTTTGATGGAAACTATTTATAGTAAAAGTCGTAAATAGTAGAAACAGACCACAGGGACTGCATCAAGTAGGTGGACTTTTTGTAATGTCTTTTCACACCTAGATGATTTATTGAGCTTACAGGATGTTGTCACATAAAACTATGAAAAAAAAATCATATAAACGTGAGTTTTTGCAAAAATAAGTATAATCTTCAATTGTTATTTTTCTACCAGTGCCGTACTCACAGAAAGTTGAGCTGTCGCATTCACCAGACGCAGATTTGGACATAGATGGTCGACATCTACAGGAGCTTCATCCGTTGACAGATATATACAAATTCCGCAGAACTGGTTATAATTCACAACAGGGTAAATTGGTGACCAAATTGGTGGAGGCTCTTTCATTCTTTCTCAGCTTCCTCTTGATGGCCGATAATTCTTTCCTTTGTTTCTACGTAATTTTTTCTTAGTTGCTTTTTCTATCGTGTATAGCTAACATTTAATCTTTCTTATACTATCAATACTTGCTAACTCATCAATACAGCCTGTTTTCATAATGTGTCAAATATGCGAGGGGCGACTCCTTGAACTGTCCAAGATAATTTTCTCCTCGATGATTATGTAAAAGCAAGTTTTCAATTTTTGAAAATCTGTCCAGTGACGGCGCAGAAAAAGGCCAAAAGCGAAAAGAATAAAACTCGCACAAACACCGTTTTGTGATGTTAGTATATTTATACGCCCCCAACCCCAGTAATTCTATGCACTTATGAGCCATATTTCACACATCATAGGTTTCCACCTAGATTTGTCTTTAAAACTCAGAATGATAGAGAAATGTTTTTCTCTGCTATCCGGGGCTTAAAGCGTATGTACTAACATGAAAAAATTGAGATATATATCCTCCCCCACCCCGTATAACCCCACTTTTTAGTACTTACAATTTTTGTCTGTAAATGTTCAGGATCATCTGAAACCTCTAAAATCCAAGCTTGAGGAATTCTTCGCAGCCATCGACACCGATTTTCAAAAACTACAAAGCCTTTTCGATGTTTTTTCGTGATCATGATATAACATCCATAAAACGTCACATTTTTTTTTGCGATTACAATACTTTTTCGCCAGTAGGCGTGGGCAGTAAAACATCGAATCATACATTCTTCCACGAATGGGAGCTTTCAACGTGTCTGTGCCGAATAAATCTTATTTTAACGCCGCTCAGGCTTTTTTATGACCAATATCCGATAAGCAAACGGACATTTAGGATGACGTACTTCCTAGAAGTGTATACCAAACTATTTGCTTTGTAGGGTACGAACCAAAGAAACTTCATCCATGTGAACAGAGTTCCTGTTATCCAGCAACTGGTAATTTACTAATAGGGCGAGAGAACCAATTGTATTCGTCGTCGACATGCGGTCTTCATGGCCAACAAAGATATTGCATTGTGTCGCATTTAGACGCAGAAAGAAAAAAATGCTTTTGGTGCGACTCGAGGCCCACGTTGAAACCAAACCCACTGCTGAACCACAATATTAGTAACATAGTGTATCGAATGTATCCAGGGTAAGTAAATAGTGCATTACATAACTTGGTGGAGAAGTGTGCCATTACTGGCCGGGAACTTTTTATATCCCGTGATGCATAATCTCCAACGAGATATGTGTAGAGTTTTATCACTACTTACGATAAATAACCACATTTAATTTGATTAGCTTTTACACCCTGTATATCATACTAGCTTTCCATTCGCGGTGACTTCCTCTCCGACCTGGAATTTATCAGTGTTTGGGACGCAATGAAACGGTACAGTTTCAGGTTTCCAAAACCTTTTTTGGATGCATGGCAGCATTTCAGCTAGTCGGAGTTCGGATCACCGACGACTCGATTTGGCATCAACACACCTCGTAAATCATAGCAGCTGCTCGGAAAAAGGGCTACAAAAGCTCATCACTCTGTACAAGGCCCAGATAAGACCTAGCATCAAGTACTGCTCACGTGGTTGGGGTGCTGCTGCCTCAACTAGATTGTCCATGCAATATAGGCATTTTTAGATAGACTGTTTTAATTGCGACTATTTTCTAGGACTCGGACGAAATCGTGGTGGCAGTCAGAAAATGGGAAAGAGAAAGTACAGATCCAGCTAGATTTAGAGGCGGAATTCCATTTCACGCATTTGATAATCACGTTCAAGACTTTCAGGCCAGCTGCCATGTTGATCGAGAGGTCGTACGATTTCAATCAGAATTGGCAAGTGAGTATCTAACTAAATACCAGGGCGCCGCCGTTTGATAACGATCCTAAATCCAATTTGGTACTTGTTTAGGTTTATAGGTACTTTGCGTACAACTGTTCAGAAAGCTTTCCAGGAGTACGTGAAGGACCTCCAAGAGATCTAACGGACGTGGTGTGTGAGTCCAGGTACTCCGCGGTAGCACCATCAACGGATGGAGAAGTCATCTACAGGGTGTTGCCTCCGAATCTACCGATTGACAATCCGTACTCGGAGCAAGTTCAAGGGTTGTTGAAGATCACTAACTTGAGAATAAATTTTACGAAACTTCATACACTTGGTGATGATTTGCTGGACAGGCGAGAAGAAATACAGGTGAGCTAACCACTGTATTTGTAGCTTCCAAAAGAATACAATTTTTTCGAGAATAATTTTATTACGAACAAATCATTCAGCTTTTTTTTTCGTCCAAGTACTCTTCTTGGATATTGATGTATTTATCCCAGTAGTGATACCAGGATTAGAAGCATTGATGGACTCCAAAGCAATATTGCTAATTTTTTTACATCGCGTATAATAATGGACTAAAAGTAATATTTTTGTCAAAATAGCGAACCCAATGGGCTAACTGTTATTATACTGTCAAAATTATGCGATGTTGTTTAAAGGTTATTTGAGGCAAGCATATACTTTTTCGTAGCTCCTAAGCTGTTACTGTTACAGGAAAAATATTACTACGCCATCACTGAAATGGTAGTGAGAGGGTCTTGTTCATGTTATGGCCACGCAAATCGTTGCTTGCCGCTTCCGGGTATCGAACCCAAACCGGATATGGTCCACGGAAGGTGTGAGTGCACCCACAACACCAAAGGACGAAATTGTGAAAAGTGCGAGGATTTCTTCAACGATCTACCATGGAGACCAGCTATTGGCAAGCAGACTAATGCTTGCAAACGTAAGTTGACTTACGTACAAACAGCTATAGCTACAGCTTTTGTTTAATTGTTTTCTATACGATGGAATCTTCCATATTTGATTGCTTATTAGGTTGGACTTTTCCAAAATGAGAAAGTTGACATAACGTTTTCATGATTGGTTATTAAAATATAAACGATTCAGTGAACAAATATGCGCCAAACCTGGACAGTCTGTGAGTCCGCCATTGAGGAGTTTCAAAATAAGATGTGGCATGTATTTGTAAAATGTTGAAATTTTTGACTGTCATCTCTTCGATATGCATCAATATCACCACCCCGAATTTTAGTAGTACACGTACTTTATGTGCTGAGCTGCGTACACCAAAAAGTAATCCTAGGTTTATTTGTCTCATCGTCATCCACGAGTTTAATTTAGGATTGCGTATACATTACCTTGTATAATTTTTTTGTTTGAATAGGATGTAACTGCAATAACCACGCAACAAGTTGTCACTTCGATCCCGCACTGTACGAATCAACCGGAAGGGTAAGTGGAGGCTTTTGCGATGGTTGCCAACACAACACCATGGGTGCCAACTGTGAACAGTGCAAACCGTTCTACTACAAGGACCCCCAGAGAGATATACAAGATCCTGAAGTGTGCAGACGTAAGCACTTTTTTAACTAGTGTAATCGTTGATTCGATTCTCAATTAATCCACTTGAAGAGACTAATAGAAACCAGCACGCAAGTGTGAAATATGATCATTGGCGATATTAAAAAAAATAAATGAAAAATATATCTCATTTTCAAGAAAATTTCTTCCTTTATTTGCAACATCTAGGTCTTCTACCGCACGGATATTGCACAATATAAACGCAGCTCTGACGGAAACATCGAGGACGACGGCGACGTTTTGAATACACACACGGAGTATCAATAACATTTTGAAGATATTTACAGTCAAATTTGTAAATAAACAGCGCGGGACTTAACTTAGGCCAGGCCGGAATATTCAGCTTTTTTGGAACTTAATAACTCGGATATCTTAAAACTTTGATATATGTGTTACTGGCAAAACATGTGCATATAAATTTCTTGAATTTCTAGCCTGTGACTGTGATCCACACGGGTCGCTGGACGACGGAATATGTGATTCTGTGACAGACCCGCTGAATGGCTTAGCCGCAGGCAGCTGTCATTGCAAAGCAAATGTCGAAGGAAGAAGGTGTGATGTATGTAAGAATGGATATTGGAACTTCACCGACGTTAACCCTGAAGGATGTCAGCCATGCACTTGTAATACTCTTGGCACCATCGACAATCAAGGTACTAATTTATAATAGAGATTGTAATACAATGTTTTGTTGATCGTATAACTGGATTTTTCTCAGGTTGCAATGTATACACCGGAGAATGTACCTGCAAACGATACGTCACGGACCGGAACTGTGATCAATGCATGCAGCAATATTGGGGGTTGTCTGACAGCAAAGATGGCTGCCAGCCTTGCAACTGCGATCCCGGTGGTTCCTACGACAACTTCTGTGACGTAATTACCGGCCAGTGCAAATGCAGGTGTGATATTCTTAATGGAAATCTGATTTCGTGCCCGCAATCTTCTACCTTCCATTCATTCCATCTTTTATTTTTACATATTCTGGAACAAGTAAAGCTATCTCAGTTCGCGTTGAAAGTAGAGTTCTTACTGTGGCCGATTCTATTTCTACTATATAACTAGAATCGACGGCTGCAAGCAGTCACAGTGAGGACTTGGCTTTCAACACGTACTGAGATACCCTTACAGTTCGATAATTATCACTTCACTTTGATACAATATTGTTGTACTATTACACAGGGAATATATGACTGGAAGAGCTTGCGATCAACCCAAACAGCAATACTTCGTTGCCAGCTTGAACTTTTTGCTCTACGAAGCTGAGACAGCTAAGACTAGCGGGCAAGTGCTCATCAGAGAACCTTCCAGAGGCGATGTTGAAGATACTTGGACTGGAATTGGCTTCGTTAAGGTTGAGGGCGGTTTCTTGGAGTTCATCATTGACGATATAAAAACATCCATGGACTACGATATCGTCATCAAATATGAGCCTACTAGAGCCGACACCTGGGAGGACGTAATCGTAACTGTGGAACGACCAGGTAATACAGAAGCGGACCTCCATTTTGCCATGTTTTACGCCGTACCACTTTTACTTTGCAATGTTCATCATTCATTTATTCACATTAATTTTAACGGTCGAAGTTCAGTTAAAATCCTGGGAGCCAGATTTAGGGGACAATCACCTATATGACATTTATTACAACAGGTCCGGTGAACTACAACGGAACATGTGCGAGAATCAACCCCCAAGATGACGTCAAGCACGTCAGCCTGCCGTCAAACCAAAGGAGTGTCACGGTTTATCCTCCAGTGTGTCTTGAAGCTGGCAAGGTGTATAAGATTCGACTGGACTTCAGAACTGACAGAAGGAAAGAGAGTCCAACTGCTTCAGTGCTCATTGATTCCATTGCCCTGATTCCAAGAATTGAGCAGATTCCTTGGTTCATGGGATCTCCAGCGGCTGAGGTTAGAAGAAGGGAGTACGAGAGGTTCCATTGTAATGATCCAGCCTACTTTGGGAAAGCTCAAAATGTACCAGAGATCTGTAAGAAGTACCACATTAGCATTGCTGCGTATGTCTTCAACGGCGCATTTTGTAAGTATTCTTTTGTTTGAGATCATTTTCTGTATATGTTAGCAATGTTTTCGAGTCACAATTTCCAGTGTTGCCTATCGAAAGATTTTTTCAGAAAATGTGCTGTTATACACGTATACCTGATAACAGAAAATCGAAAGAGCTAAATGTTGCCTCAAGTAACGGAGGCCGTCGTACGATGTATGATAAAAATACTGTGAACTTAACGTAATATTTTCTACATATTATTTTATTTTTTGATGACTCTTTTGACTAAAGGACCCATACTATAACCGGTCGCGATTGACAAGAACAACTCTGACAATAATTAAAAATTGCGCATTGCTCTTTCAGCCATCAATCTTTTACCTTTTTGTTTCTCCAAAAGCAAATACTAAGCGGTAACATTCCAGTTTTGACTTCCCGATATTGGGAACTTGGTGATTTTTTTATCTTCAACAATATTTTTTCAGCGTGTCAATGTGACCCAGAAGGTTCAAAGAGTCTGTTCTGCGATCCATTTGGTGGATTCTGTACCTGCAAACCCAACGTGGTAGGACGAAGATGTGACCGATGTGCTCCTGGGACATACGACTTTTTCAACCGCGATGGATGTAAAGCCTGTGACTGCAATAGTATAGGCGCCCTTGACAATTTCTGTAATGCTACCACGGGACAGTGCAAATGTAAGCCGAATACATATGGAAGAGAATGCAACAAGTGCAGGTTAGTACGATGATAATCCCAAAATCACAATAACACCAAAGATACGAATTTATTTAGACTGATAAACATATCGTAGGCTTGCTTCTTCTACCTAGTCTGAGTTGATTGGCTAAAGTGGATTTCTTGATTCCAGAACCGGCTTCTGGAATTTCCCGAACTGCGAGAGGTGTGAGTGTAATGGACATGCAGACACCTGTGAGCCTACAACAGGGGTTTGCAACCAATGTAGGGACAACACTATGGGTGATCACTGCGAATATTGTATCAACGGCTTTTACGGCGACCCTAGGATCAACGTGGACATCCCTTGCAGACCTTGTCCATGTCCAGGACAGCTGCAGTCGAATCACTCTTTCGCAGACACTTGCAATTTGGACCCTATCACCAGAGACGTCATTTGCGAGTGTAAGCCTGGTTATGCTGGAGCTAGGTGTGACATTTGTTCGGATAATTACTATGGGAACCCCGAGGTGCCTGGTGGCTCCTGTAGATCTTGCGATTGCAATGATAAAGTCGATTTATTGGTACCAGGCAATTGCGATCCACGGACTGGAAAGTGCCTCAAATGCCTCTACGACACGACAGGTAAGTTGAACACTATAATAAATCCGGCATTCAGAGACCTTTGCATTTTGTCTCTGTCTGTGGAATTTGCATTGCGATATGACTGCGACGAACCGGAGGTCAACTATAAAAGGTACAAAAATACGTCATTGGAAGTCTCAGGATTGGGCAATTTGTTGAAAGGTGTCTCCGAAGTCACTGAAGGTTACTTTTCGCCGGTGGTTTAAAGCTTTTCTCGTTCTCCTCAGGTGATCACTGTGAGGTATGCCGTCCTGGATTTTTCCGTTACTCCGAAGACAGGCCATGCGAAGAGTGCAAATGTGACGAGCTCGGCACCAACACAACTGCAGGACCATGTGATCCTTCCAGTGGTCAATGCACGTGCTTACCAAACGTCACTGGGTTGAGGTGCGACCAGTGTATCGTTAATCACTGGAAAATTGCTAGTGGTCACGGATGCGAGCATTGCGACTGTGATCCTTTAGGTTCTGAAAGTCCTCAGTGTCATGAGGTAGGTTTAAGTACAGTAGAGTACTAAAGGGCAACAGGCAATTCTCAATGAATTTTGGCGTTTTTATGTCGTGGCTAGTTATGACACGTTTTTTCAACATAAAGTGTCGCGCTAAGTAGCAACGAGTTCTGATATATGAGCTACAGTGCCATCTATGAGACACTAACCTTTTCAAAGTAGATTTCTGATTACGATGGAGAGACGAAACATAGCCTATAACAGATTCTCATAGATGGTATCTCATTTCATCTCAGATAATTTTTGTACGCCAAAATACAGAGACACAATACGTTAATCATCTTTGTTTCCTCAGGTTACACCCGTATCCGGATGTATGGGCATGTGTCTCTACTTTTGTAGTTGCATATGTGCATTCATTTCGGGCCTGATGAAGCCAACCAGCAGAAATACGCATCGCTCGGGTTACCTATCCTATTTTCTGCTCGAATCCACTTTTTGCGGATTTTGTCCATTATTTTCCTATTTTTGTTATATACAGGGTGTTCCATAATTATTGCGACAAAATGATAGGGGTTGTAGAGGGCATAAAAATATGCAATTTTGCCTTATAAACCCCTGTTCGTAAATATGCCGTTTGAGCACTACAGTTAATTTTACCTTAAGAGCTCATAGGAGAAACAAAAAATTCACCAGCTGCAAAATGTTCGTCTAGCACATTTCATGGTCTCGCCGGTTTGTAGAAAAAGCCTGCTGTGTTTACATTTTTGTTATCGTACACCCGTACCACCTTTTAAAAGTCCAAGCCATGGGTCCAGCAGACTATCTGCCGCGTCGACGTTTTTGTCGTTGGTGGCTGCAGCAGGAGTTAAGGCAACCAAACTTTGGTCGCTACGTTTTGTTCACTGACGAGTCCTGTTTTACAAAGGACGGTTATTTTAATAGCCGTAACAGTCACATTTGGGATGAAGAAAACCCTCATGCCATAGCCATCCATAGAGACCAACATCAGTTTTCAATTAACATCTGGTGCGGCATTGTAGACGAGCATATCATCGGGCCATATCTGCTTCCACCACGTTTGGATGGGCATGCTTATGGTCGATCCTTACAGCATGTGCTACCGGAACTATTAGAAAATGTGCCACTGAATATAAGAGCCAACATGTAGTTTCAACACCATGGCGGTCCAGCCCACTTTTCTTTACAAGTGCGGTAGTATTTGGACGACAAATTTCCAAATAGGTGGATAGGCCGAGGTGGCCCTGTGCCTTGGCCTGCGCGGTCACTTGACCTGACTCCACTGGATTATTTTATCTGGAGCTATCTGAAAGCTTTAGTGTACGAAACTCCTGTTCCCAACCAACAAGAGCTACTGGGAAGAGTGATGGCCGCGTCCGCACATGTTCAGGACATACCGGGGGTATGCCACAGAGTTCGCCGATCATTGAACAATCGTGCACAGGTGTGTATTGAGCAAGGTGGAGGACACTTTGAGCAATTACTGTAGGTAAGCTGTTTCAAGAAACTGATCTTTTTTTTTTTTGCTGCAGCCCAAACGGCATGTTTCCGAACAGGGGTTTATAAGGAAAAATTGTTCATTTTGATGCCCTCTACAACCCCTATCATTTTGTCGCAATAATTATGGAACACCCTGTATATATATATATATATAACTTGAGACGTGGTCATTGTCGTCTAGACCAGTTAGGTGAAAAATTAAAGCTTCCGCCTTTTGTTGGGTACTTCGACAAAATTTAAGCAAAGAGGACTCTTTATACTTTTTTTAATTCTCTCTAGCTTTCAATGGACTTTGCCATCATCATCAAGAGCTGCAATTACAATGATAACAGTAGCAACAAAAATGTAAAATGAATTTAAATTGAATCAACTTACAGTAGTATGTGAGGATGTTGCTAATTGTAATTGCAGCTCCTGATGATGAAGGCAAAGTCCATTGAAAGCTAGAGAGAATTAATAAAAGTATAAAGAGTCCTCTTTGCTTAAATTTTGTCGAAGTACCCAACAAAAGGCGGAAGCTTTAATTTTTCACCTATTTATATATATATATATATATACATTATTTGAATTGCTATTGATGGTTTTTTTTCAGTACTATGGCCAATGTAGGTGCAAAGAAGGTTTTGGAGGAAGGCAGTGTAACGAATGCATGCCAAGCTTCTATGGAGATCCCAAAATACAATGCTTACGTAAGTACTCACCATATATCAAAGTACTTATCCGACAAATCTCTTGCTAGAGACATTAAAAGAAAAAGTCATTCAAACGAGTCTCGAGTTTTTATTGACGATTTAAAATACCTACTCCGATACAGATAACAGTTTCGATTAAAAATAATGCATTCAAATCGGTTCATTCGCTCTCTTATTACGTGACTTACTGTATCGAAATTATGTAGGTTTTTCAGAACAAAATGCCTTGGAATTAGCTGTCATTCACTTTAATGACATGGTCCCTAATCTTTTGTTGTAATGAAAACGTATCTTCGCAGCTCTAGGTTAGACTTGACTTTTTCATTTATGACTGGAATTTCATACATATTGTTCTCTAACAAAGCTTTGTTACAGAGTGCCAGTGTAACTACTTGGGTACGAGAACATCCCAGTGTAACAGACAAACTGGAGCCTGTCAGTGCTTAGCTGGTATTGGAGGGTATCATTGTGATAGGTGTGATAGAGGATATACAGGAGCCATACCAGATTGTATAACGTGCGGAGAATGCTTCGACAACTGGGACAGAATTCTGCAGGAAACCAAAAGTAAGTATTCGGATTTCAATCGCACGGCGACTGGTCCAGGTGGCATTAGTTTCTCGCTTTTCACATACCTATACTATGCTTCTACGTTTTTTGGCAAAATACTACTTTTATTAAATGAATTTTGATCAGAAAAATAAAGCAATGTTTACGTTACAGACGATACTGCGGAGATCATCCTCAGAGCTGGAGATATCAAAACCCTGGGCGCCACCGGTGCATATACCAAAGAATTTGACGATATGCAGACTCAACTTGAAGAGATCGAACAGCTCTTGAACAACACCAATGAAATCAGCACCGAAGATATTGAAATCCAGTTGCAAAGGTTTGTAACGGGATTACTTTCATCTGCCTTGATTTAATAAATCATAACTCTATTTTTTACAGGTTGAGGGAAAAAATCAATCAAACGGAAGCAGAGCAGTTAAACGCACTCGATGATCAGTTGTGGTCGCAAAAAGAGGACATTCTGTTGAGAGAGGTTAAAGCCAATACGCTGAATAACACACTGAACGAACTGAAAAATAAAATTAAAGAGTTGGAAAATAATGGGACGAAACTACAAGAAGCAAATGTACAAGGTGCTCTAACACTCATCGCCAATGCGAGGGATAAAGCTGAAAAGGCTGGTCGAAAAGCTAATCACTCCCAGGTAACCGACACTTATTACGTAAAAAATCGTAAACTGATAGCAATGCTTGCTGTCAAACTGAAAATCTCATCGGATCTACATACTGTGCTATCAACGGCCTTATGCCTGTTTTTACCTGAATTACTACTACTTGTAGTTCGCGAGGATGGTTTGTGGGTTGCATACTATATTTTGGCGTAAAAATGGCAGTTAGATATTCAAAGATAGATGTTGGGCGTCATTTTGGAACATGTTTTTAAATGTGTAATGTGTACTTTGTAGCCTTAGAATATAAGTTCGCTGTCCTTCAAAATGGAAAACTGATAAAGTTGAAATGATAGCGTATATATTTTGACATCTAAAATGAATAATTTTTTTTAGGAGGACATTATTTACGCTGAAACCCAATGCACAGCTACGGAAACCTTGATAAACAACTCTCAAGATAAGTACACTAAACAATCGGAAGTCAACGACAACAAATTGAAGGAAATATCGCAGAAGCTGGAGGAACTAGACCATGAATTTCCAGGTAAATTTGGCATCGTATAATTTATTAATCGCAAAAACAGATATATGTGATGCAGAATGGATATCTACCAAATACGATTACAGATAATATAAAAAATCCAAGTCGTGTACTTCTCAAATTATAGGCTTTGAAAAAACTCGGAAAAATTTACACCCTGTGATGATCTTTAGTTTTCATTCTGTCTCGTAGCTCAGCTTAATTTTCGTTTGGCTTGAGTAAACTTTTTTTTCACCGCTCCCAAGTAAAAAAAACGAAAATTGCAGTAATGGGAACTAAAACATCATCACAGGGTGTAGATTTTTCCAATTTTTAGACTTAGATTTTTTTATATTTTTCTGATAACTATAATGCGTTGGCCTGTATGCTAGGCGCCAGATACAGCCTATTTTATACCATATCTTTCTTGATAGAACCCATCATTTTTCATTTTCAATTTTAGGACTGAATAGTTTAGTCTGCGATGGTGGTGGATCTCCTTGTCATCCCATATGTGGTGGCGCTGGTTGTGGCAGTTGTGGCAATTCATTAACTTGCTCTAATGGCGCCAAACAGCAAGCTGAGACTGCAGTACTTAACGCAAATGACACAGAAATCGCCCTCAGGAATAAGGAGAGTCTGGCCAATGATTTTATAAGAAATGTAAGCGATATTTACCCTTCATTACGTTTTACATACGAGGTCTGTAAATTAAGTGATGAGGCTTGCCACGTAGCGTTCGATCTGGCAACACTGGAGACGTGTGATCCGCCTTCAGTACAAGTATGAACTCGCCCGAGTGTTTGGTTATCATTTGAATTCGCAGGTGACAAGTTTTTTCTAACTTGAATGATGATAAATAGAAAAACAGGTTTCACCACTTGGCGACGGCGACAGCTATGTTCTGTTAAATATGAATGAATAATTTGACCAGCTTTACTTTCAGGTTTCGCAAATAAATACAAATGATACAAGAAACCTGGCTCAAGCTACGTACGATAAAATTAAAGATGAACTGTCGAAAGCCAACAATTCGCTGAAATTGGTTACCGATATGCGAGAGGAAATGAACGAATTCATGGGTCAAAATAATACAAAACCAGAAGATATTCAGCACTTGGCTGAAGAGGTATGTATGCACAAATAATAGTAATTTTGCTACCGAAGATACCAGGCTAACGGTGACGTACTCGTATACACTGACACGAAAGATTCTCAAACTCAAGATGTGTCTTCATCCGAAAGTGTAGTTTGATTTAAAACGGTGAAAATGACGTTTTAGATCTTCGAGAAAAACATCGAAAAAACCCCAGAGGAAGTACAAGAATTGGCGGACAATATAAAGGATGCTGTGGATCGTCTGACCAATACTGATTATATTATTGATGAAACCAAAGATGATTTGGCCAAGGTGAATCAGCTCAAAGCACATGCAGAACAAGCGAAGTGAGTATTGGTTACAACGTGTTTCAAATACATTTCCTTTAGTCCTCCAAGCGTATCGAGCAAAAAGGAAACTATTTTGAGAAATAAGTCGCCTATTTTCCAAAATTTACGTTTTTTCTTTGGCGTTTGTATAAAATTATGTTAAATAATACTTATGCGAATAATTTAATTCTTTCGTGTGATTCAGGGAGAATGCAACAAAATTATTGAAAGAAGCTGAAGACGTGAATGATTCCCTCAACAAAACTCAGGATGCCCAAGCAGAAGCTGAAAACGCAATTGATAAGGCGAGGAATGATTACAAGATCGTCGAGGATATGCTGAATACGGTGAGTATTTATTTGACTTATTTCCATCAATCAAACTTTATTGTTTATCCGTTCCTGCAAAATACAAAATTTGTACCATACTTAAGTAATAGAAAAAAGAACACCCCATGGTAATAAATTTATTACAAAGATTTTTTAAGTACATGTTTAGATTAGGAAAGAAAACGATCAACTTTCCGACTATATCGATAAACTGGTTTTTGTGATGTCTGTAGTATTAGGACGTGTTTCTAAGGGCACAAGACCAATAAAATAAATTTTTTTCTAAAATTCTGATCAATTACTAAGAAACATGTATAAAAAATGTATTGCTACTGTATGTTCTTTTTTCTGTCACTATACATATTAGCTATCTGTGACTCATGTTTCAGATTGAGAACAATACAGACGCTGCACAGCGCACAACGAAAAACATCGATGACAATATCCATGCTCTGAAAAGCAAGCTGACAGATTTGCAGAGAAACATCACGGACAGTGGTGTCTTTGCCAACAGAGTGATCAAAAACTCGGTCAGCATCATGAAGAATGCTCAGCAAACCAAAACTGATTCGGCAAAGCTTCAGGAACAGTACCACACGGTTCAGAAAGAACTGGACGATAAGTTGAATAACGTGAAGTCTATCAAAGAAAGGGCGGACGAACTGTTCAACAAAGCCTTGAATTTAGTTGCAAAGGTAACGAAAACTCAAGATGATATCCATCAGTTAGAAAATAACAATCAGTCAAATGATTTGGATCATTTGGAAAGACAATTACAAAATCTTATTAGGAGGATGAATGAATACACAGGTGCTTTAGAAGGAAAACTACAGTACTACAAAAGCTGTGTTGGCAAATAGTATATGCTAATAAATGTATTTGAGACCAAATTGTTTTTTATTTCACAAGGAGGTTTGTACAATGATGAATTTTTAATTCCATCGGAGAACCATTCAACGTTCACTATGATATTGCAGTTTTCCTTACAGCATTGATTTCTTCTACTTTTATGTACGCAAACTGTACATTGCAATGTATAACAAAAGTTGACCCTTAACCATTGGGGTGTTTATCAAAATGGGTCCTGTTTGCAAAGCTGAAATTTGGGGCGATGAAATGAACACATAAATACTATATTTTAGCGTAAAAGTGGCAGAAAATTGTGCGCCATCTTGGAACATTTCTCGAAGGGAATTGGTGATCAAATAATACATTATTTTTAGGCTCATTGTCAGTAACGATAGAATATAAAATAATGTATTTTAAAACGTTTGTGTACATCGAATCTACATTACATTAAAAGATAGTGCCCAGCTGCCATTTTTAAGTTTTCCACTATTATTTCAACTTCATGATTCTAAATTTCAGCATGCTAGCTTTACTCACTGAAAAAATTAGTAGGAAGCGTTTTGAAAATCACTGTATATCCTCGATATCACTGTTAGTGAAGCAATGTAATTTTCTACGAACGTTGCAATTTTGCCTATAAAACTCGATCTGGCGATATATTTTTGTATTTTTTAAGAATAAATAGATACAAAAGACCAATGAGATAGTTATTCTGACACAGAAAGTTCGAGCATTGATAAGAAACTTCTGACAACATTTAAAGAGAATTCTCCCGCTGTAATGAGTGTTTGAAAGAATATGATTTTACTATGTTTTTATCTCAATTGATAGACAGTGAATGAATGGTTCACCAGATGCAGTTGAAGCTTTTCAACATTTATATGAAATTTAGTAGATGTTTTTTAAGAATCAATTGAATTTGATGATCGCCAACAATATAGCATTTATATAATACAAAAATCTATTTTTTAAGCTTATCTTCAGTCTTTTTAGACTTGCTTGAAGCGACTTTTATACAGGCAGTTTAATTTTAACCAGTTTTGTATTTCTGTAAATAAAATATTTATTTTAGGTTTTTACCCATTTTTTCTGTACCACTAGTATATTGAGTAGCATTTTTCGAAAATAATTTAAGACAGTTTTAAAATGTATGTATGTGTGTATTTATTTCCTATTTTTAGTAGACTAATAATATTAGATAGCATTCATGTATAAGTTCTGTAAAACTTGTATGGAATATCAAATAAAAATTAACGAACAGTAGTTGTTTTAATTCTTTTGCGACCTCTTCAGGGATCATATGGAAAAAATAAATTTCTCTCATGACATCGAAAACAAACTATCTTCTCACGTTTCTAGAAGCATGTTACATTTTTAATTCTGCTCCAAGGTCACAAGAACCGCAAGAGGCTAAACCTCGATTTACAAACTTGAACAGTAAAATTATCTGCAGTGTATTTATCACTTGCGTTGGAATCTCTGTCTGTACGCGCCTTTATACAATTGAAGCAGCGAAAAAACCTGGAGCAGCAAAAAAGGTGTGAAATCATATTCAGATAAGTGGTACAGCAAAGCAAAAACTGCTGACCGTGGACCAACTGAATCGTGGCAATGACTGTAGTATTCACGTGAAACAACGAAAGCGAGTATTTTTATGGTCAGGACACACGCTGTGCTTTTCTTGCTAGTTATCTATTTTATAGGATTTCACACCTTTTTGCGGCTCCGGGTTTTTTTCGCTGTTTTTGTTGGTATTAGATCTGCTGTAGGTATGCCAAATATTAATAGTTCATAATGGGATGAGAGTTTTTACCAATTCACATGAAGAAAAAATAAGTATTTCTAAAGTGTTGTAATCAGCACATCAAGATATGAGGTTGAAAGTTTACATTTAGGAAACGGTTAACTTTCGAGAGCCGAATTTTTGAAAATAATATTGATGCCAAAGGTCACTGCCAACAAATTTGCAACGATATTTTCCAAGATCTTTCTTTCAAAATCATAGTCTAAATATTGTCGAACACGTAATGCGTAATGTGGTGGGGCACCATCCTGTTGGAACATCAACCTATTCGCAATGTACCGCCGATCATTCTGATTTTCAATTATGGCTGTTAATGCAGGATCTATGGCGTCTTCCAGTAATTCCAAATACATTTCACCGGTCAAAGTTCCAGGTAAGAAAAAAAGACCAACTAAATGATAGCCAAAAATACCAGCCAAAACATTTAATTTTTGTGGATGCTGTGTATGAACCTCATGATAAATTCTGGGATTAGAATCGGACCAATATCGGCAGTTATGACGATTTACTACGCCATTTAAAAAAAAACAGTTCTGAGTCGTATGAGCTACTGCAGCTAATACTCCAGACGAGCGCATTCCAATACCTTCCAACACCAAACGCCAACGTCCCATGTGCTTGTATTCGTTGGTTTTTCGGTCTGTACGCGGCTTAACGTGAACATCTAGTTTTAATGAAAAAAAAAAACAGTTTGACGTATGATGTAATGGATCTCGCACATCATACGACACACGATTCAATAACGTAAATGAAAGGCAACAAGATTAATTAAAAAATGTATATCTTTATAATCTGTAAATTTATGTATATTAGGTGTACAATATAAAGAAATAAATAAAATAAAAATATTTCACTGTCACAGCTTCACGTAAGTTCGATAGTCTTTTTGGAGATTTCGCACTTTTTTCCACATTTTGGCTAAAACAAAATATATGAGGATATCCCTGACCTGCTTGTATAGACTGCCACAATGCGAATTAACACGATTTTAGTAATTTAGTATTCTGAAATATGCACACACATCGACAGCTATTTTTAAAGACTTGAAAGACATTTTGCTTTTCACTTTGAAACAATCTAAATATATACGTACTATTTATAATACTTAGCGGTGTTACAAAGCATTCTAAAACTTGCTCTTTCAAGTATTCACAGCAATTGTACTTTCTATTCCAAGTGAATATTGCCAGCAAACTTCAATAAGATGTATTCTGGAAGGTTCTTATAGAATCTTGAATTTTTAGATACAAGGTGGTAAAGTTTCGGACTTTAGCTGAATGGTTTCAAAAGAAAATCTCGTGTCAACAATTTTTTAACACCTTGTATGAAAAATTTTACCTGTTGTTTATTTTCAGATCTGGCACTTTTCCCTCCCTAACAATTCTCAGAGCCTTTAAAACATTAACCTTATCCAATTCAGCTTGCGTTGGCCTTTCATTATCCAACACCAAATCTTTAGCCCTGTCATCAAAGTATTCTAGCACTTTAACTCTATAATCCACAGATCCGGCCACAGGATTTCCTGTTAAAACTAGGTTAGTCAAATTCGGTAGACGTCCCAAGTGCTGGATTTCCTTCAGCTCAAAATTTTATTGCAACTCAGATCTAAACTTTCCAAAGAATACATCTTACTGAAACCATCACAAGACTGAATACTGTTTTCCGACATATTCATATGCAAAATATTCCCCAGCTTGGTGTGTAAATCCTCAATAAGTTTTATATTGTTATGGGCAACGCTGAACGTTGACAAGTTTGATAATTTAGACAGATTTTCTATTGCTATTATATTGTTATTATTCAAAAAAAGATTCGTCAATTTCGGAGCTAATGACAGAGTGGCATCAATCTGCTTTATACTGTTGTCATTCAGATCTAATGTTTCAAGCTCTATCCATTTCTGAAATAAAAATTATTTTAATCATCATTCACAATACATAAATTTTGGTCGATGAAATTGCAGTGCAGTAACCAGAAAACGATTAGCTCATTTAGTTTCTCAGGGACGGGCTAGCCCTATTGCAATATTTCAGATTTTTTCAACCTATGTAAGTTAATTCTTGTTTCATTTCGATGAACTGAACCGTTTTTCAGTCTAGTTCCATTATTGTTTTCTCTTGTTAATGATAATCTGATGGTTCCACAAGATTAAGAACACAATGATTTTGATCACAGATTCGTAATCAGCGAACCAAAAAAAAACCGGATATTCAATTTTCAGATCATTTTATTGTAAACTAATAGGAGCAATATTGAGATAAGTCTGCCTTTCTCATTTTATCAAAACAAGAATACATTTTTTGGAGAAACGATCCAGGTTTCAAAAACTATTACTTTTGAGCCATTATTACACAGGCTAGAAATATTATATTAGAGCTAGCTGTCCCTAGCCACCATCATGTTAGGCCTGAACTAGGTAACTATACAGGGTGTTTTCAAAGTTGAGTCATTAATTTGAACAGGTTGTCAAAAGAAGTTGATATACCTAGGCATATAAAAGTTGCATTTTAACAGAGTTAGCTTACATTATTAAAAGATATTTTATTATTCAAAATTGTATTGTTTATAGATCTTGTGGCATACCTGACTATTTGCAGTATCATATTTATGAACAACATCACACTGTAGAATATCTGCTATATTTGACACTTTGCAATTATTCACTCTTAATGTGACTAGATTATTTCTCAGATTTCCTAATCCTATCAATTGTTGCACAAAGAGCTTATTCAGATTTAGTACCTTCAATATCTGAAAAAAATTGCAGTCTTTGAATGATCTTTATCTGCAATTATTTACAGCTAAATTCTCTGGCATGTCACTAACAGTCCTAGGTGAATCTAAAATGCTAATTTTTAAATATTTTACTAATCCGCCAGTCAGTTTGCTACTGCTTCAGAAACACAGAATTTGTAGTAAATATCCTAGATCGCAGATTGCAGCAATGAGCGTGTCCGCACACGTGGTGTAACACGATTTGTCACTAACTGAATATATATACATACTATACTATATGATATCACCTCACGAAATCAAGTATCCTCATTAAATTACACCGCAAGCATAAGGCTTGTATTTATAGATAATATCGCGCCCACCTCGTATGTGCAAATAGCGTCACCGCACTGCTACTTGCCTCGGCACACTAAAAATACAATATTTACAACCCTGTGGCGCATTGTAAGTGCGACCGATAGCTTCGCGATCCCTCTTCTGGGGGTATTTTTCTGTTTTAAGGGCGTGAGAAATGTGTGAAAGGTCCGTAGAATTACGGGGGTTGGGAATTATATCAACATACTAATATCAATCGATTTTTTCGCGAAATAATTGAATTATTTATTATATATTAATAGAAGTATAATTGCAGTTAAAAAGTAGGATATTACCTTAAAGGGTGCTAAATCAAACTGAAGTTTGCACAAATCGATAGAACTTTTCTTATACATTGTAGAATCAGAGTTGGATTCCCCCTCTGCTTTAACATTTATAATCTCTAACTGGGAGCATAACTCTAATATCACCCCAATATCACATTTATGTTCAGAACATTCAGGCACTGGTATGGGTTTACTGAGGAATTCAGTGATTGCATACAGCTAAAAAACATTTTCGTTTGTCATGAAATTGCACATATTCAAAAAAGGAATACCAACAGAAGACCCTGCGTGACATGTCTTTGAAATATGCCGGTCGTCATCATTCACCGCGGTAATATCTAAATTTTCTGATATAATTTCACTTTCAGTGATCCTCATTAACAACAGTTGATTAGACCGAAGAAAAACGATTTTTATTGATTGAAAAGTTTTAAATTAAAATTTACAGATTTTACAAAAAACCTGATTTTTTCCCTAAAAAAACACTTGCTTTAAACCTGTGAACCTCGGATCTAAATCTAATACAGCTTCTAAGAAGAAATAGTTGATAAATCATGAATAGTCTTCTCTTGGTATACCTCTGCATTGGTTTAAATATGATCCAACTCACCTCTAAAGTATTAAAACCATGACTCTTTTCACTCTTTAATAAAACTGTGTCAGCTTCAGTGGCCATCTTCACAGTCATATCTTGAAGTAGAAAATATATATCGTATGTATTGAAATCAAGGAAATTAACAAAAACTTTTGACATTGTCTGTTGTAAGAAAGTGAGAGCATGACGTATATACTTCTCTAAGCCTTTTCTTCTACCCTCGAGAAATGCGGGACTTTTAATATGAAGGAGTTGTTTATCAGGTAAAATGTCTTTGGAAAGCCCATGGTCCACTACCAGTGTCTGATGCAGATTGTAGAATTCTCTATACCTCCGAGACACTATCCAAAATATATCTCCAACTGTCACCTGAATCAATTTAATTTACATGAAAATTCTGCCATGAAAATCCACTACACATCAAACTTGCATTTTTTAAATTTCAAACTTGCAGATTATACCAAGTAGTGATACCACTGTTTGTACAAGTAACAATGGTTGTTAAAAAGTTTGCCAAATCTTTTGTTACTGATGTTATTAGTTACCTTAATGTCGTAAAACACAGCATCTTTTTGTTGTGTGTAAGAAGGTATTTCCACATTTGTGGCAGCTTGGTTCAACCAGAAACAAGCCATTTACTATCAAAGCTCGTGAAAATATGTGAATATATGCTTTAGATACTGAAATAAAACAGAAAGAAGTAAAATGTATGTGTAAGGTATTGTAGAATTTACTGAATTGGACAACCGAAATGCTTTTAAACAGACACAAAATTAGTGACAGATTTTCATAACAAAGGTCTGATAAGACATACAAACATACTATTTGAAAATTGTTATAACCACTACACTTTTATGTGTAAAATAACATTTGAGATATCTGCTTTTCCTGGAAGTATAGTACTGGATGAGGTATTTGAAAAAAAAATTGGGACATCAATATTTTGCAGTGACTGGTCTCAAAGGTCCGAATCAATTACTTTGTAGGGGTTCAGTTAGCGTATGATAGAGTAGAATTTGGTAATTGATCCTGGCTGTGTCATGTGATAATTCGAGAGGGAAGGGAAGGGTTCTGGGACCTTCTGGAATCGAGATGTGCTGCCCCTTGCCAAAACACAGTGTATCAAATCAGATCTGCGACTATTATAAACTGATGCTTAGAATTTGTTATAGTGATTGATACACATAACAAGATACTAAAAATAAAACTTTCACACAATGTTCAAATCTGAAAAATAATTTGAAATACCGATATGCTCCAGTTCATAGTACAAAGTTAGATAAACCATGGTTACAAAAGAGTATGTATAAAAAAATTACCTTTATGTATATGTATTCTGATATTGAGGTATCACAGATGTGCTTGTGTATCTTTCCACGTATTTTTTCATAACTCACTACCTGTGTTAATCAGGTGAATTGCAAATAATTTAATTTTAAAACAGCCTTGAAAAACCACAACACATTTGGTTTACTGGGAACTCCAAGAATTTTTGGGTACGCTTTATTGACATACGAAAAGTACGTTTGATGGTGCCAAGTAAAAACCAACGATGAGGAAGTGGTTCTAGCTAAGATGTTATTTTCTAGCTTTTTATTTTGGTTGATAAAAGTTTTTTAAGAGTTTCTTCGGATGTTTGAATCACTCGAACATCCTTCACTGACGTTTAATGACAACACTCGAGTTGACAGTTGACATTGTTGGCAGAGCCCCGAACGGAAAAGGGGCGTGGTCAACGACGATATTCGTCCTTGGGCGTGGTCATTGTAAACAAGAATACCAGTAGAAGGGACACTCGCAAAAAAAAAGCCTTTTCAAAGAACCTCCATCGTTTTTGAAGATGCCTTATTTGATGAAGAGGTCGAAGCTTATTTAGGTATAAATAACAACACATGAAGTTTTCATTAATACACCTTTATCTTTTATACAAAAGCATATGCTGCATAATTTGCAATTCCACATCTGTTCCTACTTCTTCTCAATCTCATGTATCCATGTTCACCCCAATGTTTTCCCCACCAGTTCTTCAGTATCCAGGCTTCTCTTGTGTAGCCAACGATCAGCATTGCATGGTTTACGTGATTTGATGAACAACTCAAATCATCATAAATGCCTCTACTGGAAACAGAACATTCTTACTAGATATCCATGTGTGTATAAACTAGATTTTTTGTAGTCCTGTACTTACTGATATAGCTGGAAGTGTGAGGACTAGCATTTATTGATGCAGCTATAGGCCCGATGTTTGCAACAGCTATTTCTAAAGCTCTTTCGTCTCTAGCTGGCAACACTGCCCATGTCGTTATGTTTATTATGGTTCGATGCTTGTCAAAGTGACATTTCTGTTGCTGCAATTTAAAATGTCTACAATACTGCTACATACAGGCCAAGATAAATAAAAGCGTGTTAAAAATGTATTTCACGCCTAATGACTATTGTAATACAAATTGGCGCGCCAATTTGGAATACGTATTCCAATGTCACGATATTAGTTATTACCTTCGAAGCGTAGGGGTAGTCATTATACGTCATGAGTCCACCAATTTTTTCCAAATACCTTAGGGTATTTCTCAATGATCCACCAGCACAGCCATAGTTTCCATATGACAGGCTGCAATCTACAATTTGTTGTTCGCTGTAAGAAAAGGCAATGGAAATAATACGAAATTTAAATAAAACTCAACCCAACAGCAATAAGTTTGAATTAACTGTTTCCTATACCATATGCGAGGAAGCGTGCTTTGAACCTTTGAGGTATACAGGGTGTTACAGAATTTTTTCAAGAAAACTGAAAGACAGCGCACCAAGCCGTTACTTTTGGGCTGTGCAGCGGTCTTTCGTGTAACTGTTGCGGATTTTCATTAGCCCAATAACGACAATTCTGCTAGTTAACCATGCTGTTTAGGTGAAAGTGGGCTTCGTCCACTCATAAACAAAATGAGGTTCTCATTTTGATCGATCAGTGCTTCCATCTCACGTGCGAAGTTCATTCGTTGTGCATAATCTCCGGGCTGTAACTGTTGCACAATGGCCAATTTGTAGGGGTGAAAGTGGAGATCCATATGCAAAATTCGCCTTACCGAACGATCACTAAGGCGTAGTGCAGCAGCATGTTTCCGGGCAGATCGAGTCGGACTGCGAAGAAGGACCTGTCGAACGCGTTCAACATTTTCAGGAGTTCGAACTGTTCGCGGCGCTCCTCTTGGTCTTCTGTTGATCAGTTCACCACGCCTGCGAAGTGACTCAACCCAACGAAGGATGGTGTTTCGAGAGGGCTCTATTCCGATGAATGTTGAAGTGGCGACGAAACTCACGCTGTACGACGATGACAATCATAGGCGAAAACGCCGTACTCCACCGTTCAAGGCTCCACAACGACAACTGGTAAAATAATGCTAGGATCTCACGAGTCAAACGGCACCCTCCCCACCTCTCTCGTAGACGGACGCGGAGAGTACTACCCATCCCAAAAACGTCCGTCCTCTCTGCCGCACCCTGTAGTATGGCTCACATTTCTCGAAAACATGCTAAAGTATTGGTTACGTTTAGCTGTACAGGGCACTATAAAAGTTTTGCAACAAACGGACGCAGGAGGCAGCATGTTGGGATATGTCCAAGAGTGCGTACTAGTCGTCAGCAGCACGTCTGTTGATTTAGTTGTTCGTTCGTATTGACAACGTAAAGTGCTGACTATGGTCAAGTAGTGAAATAAGGGCCGTTTTACGCGTCGTTTAAGCATCGACCACTGCTTAGAAGAACCCAACCCTGGCAGATACCCATCTGATTTCATCTAAACGCCGAAGTACACTCGATGAACACATACCTGAGAGGTATCAACTTATCAGTTTGTTTGAATATTTGCGCTTGAATGGCATGAGCGATACTGAATGCGTAGCAAGACCCGCAGTCTTTTTGGTTGTAAGCCGGCGTCTTGAATCCTTTATCAACCCAATTCATTTCTTCGGGAATATGCATCATTTTGTCATAGATATCACCAACAATTTCCGAATCTACTTTTCTGTGCGTACTTTTTGTCAGCTTCGCCATTTTCTGCAGGTATATGTCTTGTGTCTGGAAAAGGCGTAGATCTAATTTCACCAGCTGACTGTTAAAAACGAAATTTCGTACTCAGTATATAGTTTGCGACAAACTTATAGCGTCTGCTCCCTTTTTTTTGTCGTAATATTGAGAAGGCGGGTTCTTTAGCACCTGCTTGCTTGTGGAGTCTAGGGCGGTGTTATAGCACAGTCAAATTATGAGGGCGATTCGATAAGTACCCGCAGAAAAAATGTAAGCAGACACTTCAACTTCGTCGTAAACTATATACAGTTCTTCAGTGACACACAGGGTTGCCAATTGCTTAAAAATTGAGTTCGGATTTTATGTCCTTTAAAGAATAATTGTTAGGTAGTTTGTTCCGTTTGAACCTTGCTTACCATATCACTGAGTGGATTCGCTCTGATATAATAAGAATGTATTCCTTTATCTGCCTCTTCATTATGCTTTTTGATTTTAATCAAATTTTCTTCCCATGCTTGGCGCCTACTGGTGTCATGATAATCCGAATAGGTTTTGTTGAAACTAGCCTGAAGAAAGACGATTCTAGATGAGATCAGCCTTAACACAAACTACAAGAGGGGTATTTGCTAGTCTTGTAGTTTTTTTTTGTGCGTCACATATTCCGGTGATAAGTAACCTAAACTCTGGGCGCTGAAGAAAGACATTAAACGTAAACAGTGATCAGCACGTGAACAGATCCCTCGAAGGCATCCACGGATATACTCCAGTCACTTTAGGTCTAAACATCCTCGGCAGTGTATTTCTAGTGAATCCACAGACCCTTTTTCGTGTCATCTTGAGACTAGAAAAAGGATGACTGTTAAAATAAGTTACCTTGATCTTTCATGAGCTCCCAGTACAAAACATCATCGATATATTTTTGATGTAGGAACAACAAATTGGTTTAGAAAACATCCACTTTGAACCTAAATTGACTGGAGTAACATCGATCTACAGACAAATTCAAGGTCACTAGCAGTCGTCGGCGCTCTACGAATCTGCACAGGTTTGGACTTGTAAACGTGATTGTAGATGACACGACAGGCATCTAACAGTTAATTCACGCACAGGATTGCATTGCATACGCATTACGCATTCAGTAGCGTATACTCGTTTTTCGCGAGTGGAACGTTTTGTTTATATATTGCCTAAGATACGATGTCTGACACAGATACAGCCGACGAAGTGGTTGACATCAACGCAACCCCACCCAAAAAAAGGGCTAAGAAGCTACATTTAAGTGCAAATGAAAAACAAATAATATTAAATATATACAAAAACCAAATTCAAGAAAAACCCGATTTGGTCGTGGACGAAGTTATATGTAAGGTAGCACATATTTCTGGAGTATGTCGGTCCAGTGTTTATAGGATCATTAAGGAATATAGGAGCACTCACTCACTTTCTGAGCCAAAACCGTATCCTGCAAGAAAAAGGATAACGGACGGAGTAGATGACTTTGACAGAACTGCCATCAGGAGGAAAGTGCATAATTTTTTCTTCCGAAATGAGATACCTACAGTAGATAGGATATTAAGATTAGTTAATGCTGATGAGGATCTTCCATCATTTAAAAGAACCACATTCCGAAAACTTTTGAAGGAACTTAATTTTCGATTCTTGAAACGGGGAAGAAACAGTATGTTAATAGAGAAAGAAGAAATTGTTGTGTGGAGAAGGGAATACCTTAGGAAGATTCGGAAGTTTCGCGATGAAAAAAGAAAAATTTACTATTTGGACGAAACGTGGGTGAATGCTGGACATACTCAAGCGAAAGTTTGGGTCGACAAATCAGTAACATCATCAAGGCAGGCTTTTCTAGACGGTCTTTCGGCTGGATTGAAAAATCCTGCAGGTAAGCTCCTTCATCTATCCGGCAATTTAATTTTGATAAATTCGGGCAAATAATATGCTGTGATAGCAGATAATGTGTGATATTCTCCAAAAATGGTGCATTCGCAGTGTAGTCATTAGGGAAAAACTTCGACCCTCTTTTAAGCGTTATTTTGAAATTTATTATCATTTTTGGGTGCAGTCAATTTGCTTTGAATGGGTTTTGAGAAGTTGCAAACTTCAATTTTCTACGTTTTTCAGTTTTTGATCAGCATTCCGTGACTCTTAAATTCAGCTAAATGAACTCAATTGCCTCATTCCTTCAAATTTAATCAATCCATAGTGTAAGGAATAATTTATTTCCAGGAAAAGGCCAACGGCTGATCATTTGTCACGTAGGTAGTGAAGACGGCTTTGTTCCCGAAGCACTGTGGGCCTTTGAATCAAAAAAGACAGGGGACTATCATGAGGAGATGGACGGCAATTCCTTTGAAAATTGGTTCTCCAAATGTTACTAAAGCTGGAGAATAACGCTGTTATTGTACTGGATAATGCCCCGTACCATTCTAGAAAAATAGAAAAAATTCCCACAATGGCAACTAAAAAAGCAAACAGACAACAATGGCTGGCCTCAAAACAGATCGATTTTGATGAAACAATGGTCAAGGGTGAATTGATAAGTATAGTCAATAGACATAAATACAAATACGATTTTAAAATGATCGACGAAATGGCCAAAAAACAAAATAAAACTGTCTTGAGACTGCCACCCTACCATTGTGAGCTGAACCCTATTGAGCTGATTTGGGCCAACATAAAGCAATACGTGGCGTCGAATAATAATACTTATACATTTTCTGATGTTAAAAATCTCTTTCACATCGCAGTCAATAGAGTTACGGCAGAGGAATGGAAAAACTGTATCCGCCACGTTCGGGAGAAGGTTGAGGTCAAAATGTGGGATTTGGACAATGTCATCGATACCCAAATTGAACCTCTAATAATTCATTTAAACGATTCAGAAGATTCAAGTTCCTCTTCTGAATGAGTGCGCGCAGCTTACTTACTAATAACTAAAAAGTGTAGTTAACTCATTTGTGAATCTCTAACTGAAATTTACTGTAAAAGATAATAATTATCTTGTATGAAATTTTTGATGACTACCCATAATATCTTGATGCGGTCCTGTAATGTCTCCTGCGCCTAAACACTCACTCACGAGCAATATGCGTGTATTTGTTTGGGTTTAGTTTCTTTCTTCAGCGCCTAGAGTATACAGTAGTGTATCAGGTTTTCTAATAGGGACTTGACAACTTTGAACTCTCACTGTGAACGCACCTTTAAATCAGTTACCGAACTGTCAATGTCAAAACATTCAGTAAAGAAAACATTTTCATCATGGTGAAGTACACGATCGAACAACGCTTACAAATAATCAAAATTCGGTGAACGTGTTATATCGAGAAGTGGTCCTGTCGAATGGCCGCCTAGATCATGTGATTTAACACCTCTAGACTTTTTTTGTGGGGCTACATTAAATCATTGGTCTATGCCAACAAGCTGACGTCGTTAGAGGACTCAGAGCCAATATCGCGGCCGTTTCTGCCGCAATGTGTGGACGAGTCATTGAAAATTGGGTTCAACGAATCGGTCGCTGCGCACGTGCCCATGATGGACATATGAACGAGGTCGAATTTCATACACAAATGTTTTGAGTATACTTCAATCGAATAATAAAATTTTCGAGATATCTCAAATGGTTTGCGTTTTATCTAAAAAGAAAGTTGTCAAGTCCTTAATGGAAAACCCTGTATTAATAAATTGCCCAATCCTGAGAATATTCCCAGTATATTTTTGTATCTTTTATTGGACGAAAATAGTATGTTGCCCTATTTGCTACAAGGTAGTGACATTTTACGATAAGCAGGTTACATATGCTTAATGCTAAAGTGGCCATACAAGACATTATTAGAGAATACAAAAAGCATTAAAGAAATTTGTCAAGTGCCTTAATGGAAAGCCCTGTATTGATAAATTGCCCAATCCTGAGAATATTCCCAGTATATTTTTGTACCTTTTATTAGACGAAAATAGTATGTTGCCCTATTTGCTACAAGTTAGTGACATTTTACGATGAGCAGGTCACATATGCTTAATGCTAAAGTGGCAATACAAAGCATTATCAGAGAGTACTAAACATTAAACAAGATTATGAGAAAAATCTAATTAAATACTTTCTTACCTTAAACTCTCCCCATAGTTTGTCAAGATCTTCAGACTCTTCCGAAGAGTCTTCCGAGCAAGCATACTCAGATAATAAAATAAAAACTAGGACACCTATACACTTCATTTTTCAACAGGAAGTAACAAACGCAATAGAATTTGATATTGCAATTTGCTGATCTAGATTTTTTGCTTACTGTGATGTTAATATCATGATGTGGAATTGCATTGCCGGGGGAGAGGGGTCGAGTCTTTGTTATATTTTATTAGTCACAAAGGCTAAACATAAATGCTAGAGAGAGAGAGAAGTTATAGGAGGTTTTTGAAATGATTAAAGTACCGAAAATTGAACAGAAACATAGATGAAAATTGTAAAATATTATTGGAAATATTACATTCTACTGATTTACCAAAGCCAGACCCCTAATTTTTCAAAAATCAATATTCTAGCGATATCAGTTAAAAGTCTCCTGAAGCACTATTTGTAAGAAAATATCTTCTAGAATATTTTTATAGTTTTAGATTTTGATCTTCGCGATCTAATCTAAAAAATTTGCGACGAGGGCTATTTTTGACGTCTGTTCAACCTCAAACATTGTTGGCCAGTATTTCACTACCCAGCCATTACGTTTCACGTCTCTGTCGGTTAAAGTTAAGTTGAAGTTAGATATTACAAAAAATGTGTTACTGTATTGTTTTAATAGTGACTTAAATTTATGATATTGCTGCATTCCTCATACGAGGGATGTCTTTTAAGTTTTGCATATGGAATAAAACAACACGGTAGGTAGTTTTAAATGACTTTATTGTTTTTCGAAATATTCTCCACGAATATTAATACACATCTGCATGCGCTCCACTCGTTTGCTGGCAGATCCAAAACGGCATTTTTGAATGCGTCAACTGCTTCTTCTGGTGACTGGAACCTTTGACCACGCAGTCTCTTTTTAATTTTCGGGAAAGTAAAGAAATCATTAGGACTATATAGAGGATGGTCCAATAATTCCACGTTTTCTTCCGTTTGCTTTTTTGGGCTGTGTGCGAGCTTGCATTGACTTGGTGGAGGATGATTCTTCTTTCGGGGTTGATTTTTTGAAGCTCGGTGATGACTTTTGGCAAACAAATGGTGGTATACCAATCCGCAGTAACAATTCTTTGCTCAAGAGGAATTGTTGCAATATGACCCGCTTTTGACACAAATGTCGCGACCATCTTTTTCAAAACACTTCGACAACGGATGACTTGTTGGCTTTTCTTCACCTTGGAACACCCTTCCGGAATTAACCCTGGCTGCTTCCTGCTCTTCAGTCAACAGGTGGGGTATCAGACGAGACACTAATTTTCTTACTTCTAATTCTTCATGTAAAATTTTTTGAATGGAGGTCTTTGAGATCCTCAAGGACGCCTCAATCTCGCGATATGTCACATGTCTATCTTCAATCATGAGTTTGCGCATAGCATCGACGTTTTCCTGGGTGACTGCCGTTTTTGGTGCACCCACCCTGGAATCGTCGCTAACACTCACCCGTCCACGTTTGAATTCTCCATACCAACGGGAAATTGTCTACTGATGTGGCGCTTCGTTGCCGAAAACAGACAGTAACTCACCGAGGCATTCTTGTTGCGATAATTGTCTCTGAAAGTTGTAATAAATTATGGCGCGAAAATGTTCTCGGTTGAGTTCCGTTTTTCTAATAACTTGGTGACACTTAAAAATTTACTGTAGTGAGAACACTGTACGTATCGTTGTGAAACTTTGAATTTAAGTTTACTAAAGAGTGCGACCTACTATGTTTCTATATGCAAAACTAAAAAGACATCCCTCGTACAGGCCAAGCTAATAAAAGCGTGTAAAAAAAGATGCTCGTATATTTTGATTAAACAATGTGCAGTACAAAATTAGGCAGTGTCAATCAGTATTTTTTTTGTAAACCTCGATACAAACTGCGCGAAATGTTTTGATAAGGTGCCATCTCATGAGAACGTCGAAACTTACGGAAAGTCGTAAATATAGCTCAGCGAATCTACAGCCGCTTGCTGTCCACTGTCCACATTGTATTGGGATTGGATTAGGATTGGAAGCCTCAGTTTATAGCAACGCGGCGGGATCTATGATCTGCGAATCGACCGTGACTTTGGCCGTTAAAGTCGGGGGCCAAATCGTGCCAAAGGCCATTGGGGATCTGTGTTTGTTGTGCAGATGTGACTAATGTTTACTCCGATGTATTTTTACACCCAAAGATATTCTTTACAGTGCTTGCTATACCCCAATTGTATTATGCCTGTAATTGTATGTAAGATTGTTACCAAAACATGCGACGCAGAGCTTTCACCACTTCTGATAGCATGCAGAATGATCAGAATTTTGGGGAAAAACAAGTCAACTATAAGTTTTCACCAGACAATCTATTTTAACGTTTCTAAACTTCTATAACGGAAAATTTGATGGAGCCCCTGGATTCGCCAGAAATATGAGAAACGTATTAAAACACTCGTGTTTTCTTTTTTTTTTAAATAGGGAATTACTATTTTTATACCCAGTTTCTTTACAGTGTGTAATGTTTATCGTTGTAGTTATTCGCAAGGTTGCTATGAAAACATGCGAAACTAAGTTTGTCTATCCAGACAAGTAAACTCAAAAATAATTCGTATTTATGATGACTGCGCTTAGAATTATCAAAAAATTTTTCTATGGCTGTTAACTATAACGTAAAACGCAAAGGCGCCTTACTCCCACTTGAGAAGTAAAATACAGGGTGTTCCTTAATGTTATGCGAATATTTAAGGAATGAAAAATTACTGTTAGTTTACTTTATAAACTATCGTCCAAAAATGTTTCCTTACATAAACTCGGGGTGTTGAAGTTTTAGGAAAAAAATGGAAATTAATTAATATAAATAAATCTGGCCGTCAAGTCGTCCCGGCAAGAAAAATGGGCCAAATAAAGTGGTGGCCAATAATTCCTGCCCATACGTTAACCGAAAATTGGTGTTGGAAATGGGTTTCGGTTATCAATCAATTGTGTTAAGGACACTTTGGGCTATAAATATAAATCTGAAAGTCGAGGTTTCCTTTCAAACAGGAATTCCAAGGTTATTTTTTATCAAATTGAAGCGCACTCAATCTTCAATCGCTGGCAACGCGACCCTAATGCACCCCTTGGCTTTTGCTACAAGGACGCCCTTAGTAAAACCGTAGTCAATTCAAAATTGGTACTTTTGTGGTTGAGAAGTGACTAAGTTAGGGTTCAAACCTTCTTCTACAAGGCCACGAAGAGTACTTGACACCAATGTTTCCTCTCAAAAACTACAATTTACTTTACGCCTACTGGCGAGGAAGTATTGTAATCGCGAAAAATTTCGAACAAAAAAAAAATAAATCGATCAAATTTTTTGACGTTAACGTTCATATATTTATATATATTGTCATCCACGCGGTATTAGTCATGGCAACGATCATGTGCGCCCAAAGGAATTTTTCTTCGTTATGCATGTTCGTAGCTAACTTTTTTCTCAGAAGCGCCAAACACAATCCTTCACGAACTGATGTGTAATGTGGGAAAAACAGAGTCAACATACTTGACGTCATTTCACGGAGGTGGTGAAGGTATTTGAAAACTTTCTGGTTGGCCCTTTGACGAGCAGAATGAAAAATATTCATATTATTGTTTTCAGTAACGAATATCTTTCATAGACAATCTTAGACAGTGATGTCTTCGTACAAAATGATCTGGTGACTTGTGATCAGTGCATTTTATGTGTTTGTGATCTGTGATACCTGTGATACTACACACCATGGCAGAGTCTGGTGTCGACGTAGGTTATGACTTATCTGCTTTACTATCTGATGACTTCGACATCGAAACTGCCATTGATTTTGATGATCTGCTGGGCACGCCAAAAAATCAGGAGTATTATCAGCTTACATCCAAAACCATGCCGGTTTCAGACAGGTCAGTACATCAGGGAACATTGATTCAACTACCAGTAAGCTCGGGCTTCACAGAGAATATATTTCGCAAATGCTTCTGGCGTCATCAAATTCAGATGGTTTTGAACATACCGTGCAAATCATTCACGGTTGCGGTCGGGCGGGTTTCAAAGTGTACGAGAAAACGAGAGAGAACTGTAACACGTATGCTGGAACGAGTTAAAAGCAGTGTGCCCACAAGTAATCACTACGTTGCCTGCTAACAAATAACGAGGAAGATCACGAAGTACTATTTCTATAGACTCTTTATCGAAGAAAGAAACTAATCCCAAACATAGTCACGTATACTTCATGTGATCGGTCACCGGGGACTTATCAGACGAACGCTACAAGTATTATAAGTCTACAAATTACAAGTGATAGGCCGAACCTACAAGTACCACTCAAGTGTCGATGTTGTATTACAAAATACGCCTACAATTGTAATTTTCCTCCTGTAATTACTCGCGTCGCACATGTAGCTACAAGTGGTGTGGTGATGCGAAATAATTGCAGGTGTAGAGAGAGTTTTTACAATTTGTGTTACATGGTCCTGAACGCCAAACTAACGCAAACGTCCGGCAAGACTGCATGCACCGCCGTGTCATCCCCCACTCGACATAACGACCTCTTTAACTGTACGATTAAGCTGCTTCACAGCTTTGCTGATGGCAGTACTCTACATAACGGAATTATAATGTATGTTGCTGACTTAACAATCTGGTACAGTCTTATGCTTCCAAAGCACAGTACTCAACCTTGACTAATAGGACGCGTCCGCTCATCGGATTTAGATAAATGGCCGATCGCCGAGGTCTACCACATTTGGGCGCTATTGTTTTCACAATCAATGTTGCTAAGAGTTTGATTGGCTTTCATTATAGAGTAAATGTAAAATATATTGAGAATCTCTGACTGGTTTATATCCACATTTTCTAAATGAAACTATTTTTAGGTGCAAGTTCATGTCTTGGAAGCTTTGATATATTGCCAGCGTTTACGTCTCGGTTAAGTTAAATTGGATCTTTTCAGCGGTTACTAGGTAAAGTGTACCGTGAAAAAGTAGGCTTCCTTTATTTATTATTATACGCAAATACATATTTTAGTATTTTTACACTACTATTCATAAGTGTACCACATCGCGTAACTCATCATGCAGAAGCGGAGTCAAATATTTAAAAAGTGTGTTGTAATTTAATGAGGAATATTTGAAGATAAAATAAACTCCGAGCTGTACGATCAATCCGATCCACAAATTTGCTAAAGGGTACATGGGAAAAAGATGAATGTAACAAATTTGTGTCGTTAGGACCGGTAACATGTAGTCTTAACGCAGTACAATCCCATGAGGTATCGCAAACTTAGCGTGCAGGGAAAAAAGAAGAATGTCATAGTCGTTGTATGAAAAAATATGAACGTCCACTGATCGTTACCGAAACTAGTAGCTACTAGAAAAGTTTACCATACGCCAATTTGCGACGAAAGAAATAAACGTTATCATTTTTAAGCAAGCATTAATTTTCTTTTGTTTGATCTATAGGGTGTCCGCAAAGTTGGGGTTTTCCTTTACACGACGTGTAGATCTTGAAAACATAAGCAATTTTTCTTAGTACCATATACACCAATGTCTTAATTGAACCGAGATAAAGGGCTCTGCAACATCAAAAATATCTGAATACCGTCCTGTAGCCGCGACCCGCGACATCACCGACTGGTACAAGGTCACTGGCTCAACCCGACGACACAAGTGGGTCGGGGTCAGTGTGTCAGGTCAGTATGCAACCTTCAACCGACGGTTACGGTCACGCGTCTAGAGGTAATCGCGTAGACGAGAATCCCTCAATAAGCACTAGAGACGTGGCTAGAGAAGTGCAAGTATCAAAAACTAAAGTGTGGCAAACGCTGCGTGAAGAGGGGCTGTATCCGTTTCACGTCCAACGTGTACAAGCCCTTCAACCTGACGATTTTCCAGCAAGAGTGCGGTTTTGTGAGTGGTTGTTGCATCAACATGACAATAATCCGGACTTTTGAAGTGCATATTGGTGACAGACGAATCTACGTTCACGCGTAATGGGGTGAATAACTTTCGCAACACTCATGTTTGGTCAGTAGAAAATCCGCACGCTGTCCGTCGGCCGCATTTTCAACAAACATTTTCGGTGAATGTTTGGGCTGGCATGGTGAACGGTATGCTCAATGCTCATTGGACCATTTATTCTCCCAAATTGATTGGGCGGGATGCAATACCTAGACTTTTTACGCAACATTTTGCCTTCCTTGTTTGCCTGCGTCTGCTCGGTAGCGCATCAGCTGATTTCATTTTCTGTTGGAGCGGTATGATTTCGGGCAGAGACGTACTTAGCCCTTCTCGTCAACTGGACAGTGAGTACTTTTTCCTTTATTTTTTTTACTTGGTCGCCCTCGTTTCACTACACATTACCTTTGTTATTTCAAGGGTAGTTGTTTCTGAAAAGGAAAACCCCAACTTTGCGGACACCCCTGTATATTCTTTTGAATAAAGCTTTTTTTGGTTCATTGTTTTTCTTGTCCCAATTGAAAAAATACTTAATAATAATTCTGTTTCAGCTATAGGTTAGAAAATCACCACGGATCGTTAAATCTAATACAGGCATTTTGCTGGTTAATCAACCCTTAGATCTTACAGGGTGTCGCGTACGACGAAAGGCTCATTTCTAACCTCAATATCTCAAAAAAAGTTGAATTTAGGCAGCACAAAGGCTTTAAGATCTAATTATGAATTATAATTTAGTTATGAACCGATAGCTTGAGGATTTTTGAAAGTAAGAAAACGCGGCTTTTTGAGTTATTAATACTTTTATCACTCAACGGAGATTGTTGTGCAACTTTGTAGTAGCAGATGGGTTGTTCAACTCATATTTGTTTATACTGTAATAACAATAATTAATATTTTCAATCACCTTATGTTAAATCGAGCAAATAATTATCCTATTGGATCTAACTAGGCCAAAAAAACATCAATAACGTTTATAGTAATTTAAAATTGGCAACAGATTTCATCCAGTATACGTCATATCTAATATAAGGTGTAGCGAAAATTTTGTTTTATTTTTATACATTTATACGAGGGAACTACCAGAAGGTGGTGCAACATAAAAATGAATCGGTTAGAAATTGTATAAAATTTAAGGTTCTAGTATGCATTTAAAAATAGCACCCATTAGGTGACGGATCGAGTCATATACAGGGTAATTCAGCAGCAGTGGCAGAAACAACGTAGAAAAATAACATGGCAACTATACGTTTCTTATTGTGAAAATGTGTCGCTCTCTCTACAGGGTGATACATAACTACTTTGAACACACACATGCATTTCAATCATTTCATCTCAAGAAATCAAATGGAACACTCTGCATATTTTTAACACGCTTTTATTAGCTCGGTCTGTATGTATGTATAGAACGGAATCTTTGAGCATAGTTTTCGATGATGAAAAGAAAAAACAAACGAACTGTCACCTGGAAGACAGATAAATAAAATATATTGTCATTGTACTGACGAAGAAAATCTTTGTGATTGAATCCTTTGACTCTGATTTATTTTCTTTTTTTCAGCACACCAAATTTAAAAACGACCAATCTGGTATCAAGGACCCAGCTGAAGCTTCAGTTGATGCGCGACCAAGCTCTTTTGGAACAACAGAGACAACGGGAACAGCTACAAGTACAGCAACAGAAGCTACCCCCCTATTCCTAGCGGAAAGACTGATCCCCAATCAATTAGACTTCCTTTGAATACGTTGGCAGAAGTTCCTCCTCAAGTGCTGCAGGTTAGAATATCTAAAAAATTGTTTCTTTTACTAGTGAAAAATCACCATTAGTGGCCGTAATCCTCAAATGCCCGGTGGCGAAGCGTCCATGTAACCATTGTTACCATTGGTAACCGTTAAAAATCTTAAAAATAAATATTTTATGTTTAAGTAATGTGAAATAATTTCATTTATTTGTTTACCAACAGCGATATGTAATAGTAATTCAGTAAATAGCATTTTCATTTATGGATACATTTGGTAGTCCGTCGGGGACCGTCGGTAACGGCTCGTGTCTGATCGCGGACGCCCGAGTGCGTGCGGCGACCGCGAGATCATTGAAAATGGAAGACCAACACCTATTTTAGATAGTTTTAAAAAGGAATAAAAGAACGTGGTTTGATATTTTAAATTAAGTTGGTATATGGAAACTCTTGTTTATGTGGTTGCAGAAAAACAGATTGTATTATTCTGTTTTATACAGAAAAAAGGGAAAAGAAGGGCCGTTTTACTTCACCTACTAGCGAGGAAGTATTGTAATAGTGGAAAATTTTGAAAATAAGATATTATGTTTTTTGATGTTGCTGCAACGTGAGGCCGAGCGTTGCCGTGAGGCACAATGACGCCGCTGGGTAGCAGGCCCTGTTTCATTCATGTTCACAGTACCTCTCAGCATTTAAAGAAAAACGAAATTTTGTGAGTTCAAAAATCGAATTACTGAGTGACATGGCGAAAACAAGGTAGTATAAGACGTGAAATGTGATGGCGACTTAGTGAAAAACTGGCCAAGAGTATCTGAGGTTGAACGGACGATGCGTGAGCACGATGCGCAAGCCGGTTCTTACTTTAAAAGTAACCCTCGTATTCTGCGTTAGGTTTGCGAACTGAACATTAGATTTTGATATATTTGTAAACTTTTGATGAATGAGTAATGCTGAGAATAGCTCCTCATGCAGTTTTTCTCCGTTTTCTCCTTCCGTTTTCCAATGAAAACAGAAGGTGGACACAACCAACGGACATTTGCACCTTTAAGTTGGACC